TCATTCTGTTTGTACTTTCTAATTATTGTTCTTTTCTGCCTTATTTAAAAATTATACATCATTTAAAGTAAAATAAAATTAAAATTAAATTACATATTTTCTAAATTATCAAGAGGATCATATTCATAATTAAATACTAAACATATGCTTGAAATAAAAAAGTTGAATTTAAAAATCGTAAAGCTATTTTAAAAATTTTAAATAAATAACAAAATTAGTCTTTTGTAAACTTATAGAAATAGACTTTTTAATCAAAATGTCATCAATGAAAATATTTAATTTGAGTTGCTAATATAAAGTTTTTAAATTCACGGATTCTTTACTATACAAAAAACATATAACAAACATTTATTTTTTTGTATAAAATTTTAGATTTATGAAAGAACAATTTATATTTATTTTTATTACAATGTTAATATTTCAAATAATGTGATACTTTATGTAACAGCTGTTCTTATTCATAATTAATATATCACTTTAGTGATTAATAATATTTTCATGATCTGTTAAGAAAAATAAAAAAATATTTCGATCAATATATGTAATTGTTCTTTTAAACAAATATTTGTAAAATATGTTGAGATTTACAAGAAAAATTGTTAATAGCAGACATGCTTTCATTAATATTAATCGAAAGATATAAATTCAAACAAATAACAGTAATCAAAAAAGATAACGAGTCCTATATAAATAGCCTATACATATTAGATAAGACAGAGATAAGCCAATAAAAATCAATACAATTGCGTACATGCAAAAGAAAAAGGAACGTATGAAAAAAGGGAAAGAAAAAGAAATGTCTTCTCTTCCTTCTGTATAGTTACAGAAATCCCTGACCAAGTCCAACGTGTGAATGAACACGCATCACGTAATATGCAGTCATTAGTTGAAGGAAGTTTCAAAGAAATACAAAAGCTAATAATATGGCGCATCGGTCTCGAGTCAAAGTAACTCTTTTTTTGTAGTTTGCTCTCTGCTCTTGCTTGACTTCTCTTCCTCCACTATTTTCTCTTTTCCTGAAACCACCAATATGTCATGGGCAAACTGCCACTCGTGACTTTTCTGCCCTATAAATCTTACATCTGTACTTATTATGACGCTTGAAATCAAACCAATAACCGACCAGAAGTTTTTCAGCTTTATTTTTAATTTATCTGTCTTTAACTCGGATTATTATAAAATTAATCATCACGATGATTGTTTGATAAATTACTTTGAGATTCATTACGCGTAACATATTTAATAAAGTATCAAAATTATTGGAAGTATTCAAAATAATATTTACCATTAATAATATTAAGATTAAATAAAAAAAAAAAAAAAAAAAAAAATCGTTAACAAATAAATAAAATATACGGATGTAAATTGACGGTTACTCTTCCACGTGTGCACGAGCATATGCTAGTTAAATTATAATATTCCTTTAATTGGTAAACATTTATTATATTGTTCTTTACTTTTTCTAACTGGATATAGTTATACTTATTTACTCGTACACGTGTACGGAGTATCAAAAGATAATATTACTAAATTTTATATAAGCAGGAGGATAATCATTCATCTTATTTATGATTCAATTTTAATACAGTACAAATGATGGTATAAGTACAATTTTGTTACAAGTATTTCATTTCTAATAGGCATTTTTTTAATATAATGCCGTAAATAAATTATTATTTAATATTTAATAAATTATTGAATAATGATATTTGTTTTAATTTGTAGTTTATATTATGTTTATTAAATTGAATTACACGATAGCATTAAATCCAGATAGTACATTTGAAATTCATAAGAAATAATTTTATATCTAATGATATATTTTATGATACTACATACATTGTATTAATATAAATACTTCGACTATAATTACGATTATACGGAATTTATATAACTTTAAAAGTTGGATAGTGAAGAGTGGATAAAATTATAACAATATTTATGTATAACAGATGATAAAAAAAAATTAATTTAATTTCAAGTATTGCAAGAGATTAAATATGTAATAGTTAATGTTGAATATGTTTCAATTCAGAATTTTATATTTATTTAACTACATAATCTTTTATACAAAATTATTATTCTAAAATTAATTTAAGAGTACTATACTTAAAATATTAATTACTTTTAGCTATAAGACTTTGATATAATACAAATGTATCATTTAAATTCTTTTGTTTTACAATTTCAATTTGACATTAGGAATTTATATTTATGAGTTGTATTCAAATTGTTCATTTTCTTTAATGCTTTGACCAATATTTCTTTATTGTTAACCACGCTAAAATAAATATTTTCTGTATTATATAAATATTATGTTTCTTTTTGAAAATTAGAGAATATATAATTAATTTTTATCATAAACAACTGCAAAATAAATATATAATATGTATTATAAGCGAAGTTGTTAATTCATATATATATTTCAAATCCTACGCGACAATATAAACACAGGAATAAATTAGTGACGTGTTATTAAAATAATTTTTGACGAATGATTTATGAATTTGAAATGATTATTAATCGAGCATTAATACTGCTTCGCCTATTATTAATTAATACTGAATAAAATTGGTTGAAATATAGAATTAATGGAATAATGTTATATAATTATTTTTATTATGTTTATTTCATTTTTTGAACTTTTAAAAACAATTAATTTTGCATATTCATTTCTGGTAACGTATTTGTATACCGCGCTTTTTCAAAAAAAAGTATTTTAATTTTTTCCTTAATATTACTTTTGTTTTTATTCTCTAAGACACTACACTGAACCAGATCTTTTCACTTTTCATTTGATAAACAATTTCATAAAAGTTCACATTGATTTTTAATTTTTTCTCAACTTGTTCTATTTATATGAAATTTATATTTTAATTTATGTGTACTTGTATACATTAATTCATACATGGAGCTAAAAATTTTGTATTTGAGTTCAACATTAATCGTTGAGAAAAATATGTTCCTTTTCAAAGTAATTACTATATCTCATAACTACATACAGGCACCCCCCCCCCTCCACACACACACTATGAGATAAATATAGCCAAAGGAGAAGCATTATCTCTAATAAAAAATCATAGTGAATCAATTAATGAATTAAATAATTAAATAAACAACGCAAATATTCATAAACCTCAATATTATAAGAATTTATGGTCTTCTCCATTGTATAGTTATAATTTTACATGGTACAATATATTGTATAGTTGTAAACCTAATCACATATGTATGTGAAAATATGGTAAATATAACAGGTTATAGCATGTTAAATGGATTATTTGACTAAGCTTATTATGCATCTCTATTATGAAAATTGAAACTAATTGATATTATTGATAAATAAATCTCTTGGATGTATTTGGTCTTTATATTTTCTCAATGAAAATAAAGAAAAAATCTTCGACCAGATGAATGATTAAGTGAAAAGCTGTGTAATCGATATACCGTGACGAGTCGCGTGTGTGACAACGGAATGCTGCATAATCTTCTGTCGACTGCTAGAATACCGAGGTCTTTGGCCTTTGATATACTATAACGAATAATACAAATTTTTAAACATTTTCCATCTTCAGAAATACTTTATTATTTTTTTTAATTTTATCGCCTCTTCCTCCATGTCGATTTTCCTTCTTCTCTTCAGATATTATTTTTGTCTTTATTAAATCTTTTTCCAACAAATTATCCAACTAGCCGATATTTTAATAATAAATTCGTTAGTGGCATAAAGGTGAAGAACGTTTTTGTACTATCGATACGATTTATCAAATTCTATATCTAAATGCTAATTTCTTAGATACTGTTTCCTGTTTCGTGGGTACTATACAGCTGAATTTCAAACGTTTAATTGATCCGAATGAGTAAATTAAAAACAAAAATCATTGTTAGCTTGGTGATAAGAGAGGACAGTCCAAATTGGAATGGCCGACTATGGCGAGAAAGGTGGAAAAAACAGCAAGTTCAGTCAGAAAACGAAAGAAAATAAAAAGTGTTGTTTGCGTGCATGACTGCAGGCGAATAAAATAAGGCGACATTGAGATGATTCGTTCATGGCAAGAGTCATCGAAAGCAAGGTGCTCGTGATTAGCGACAAGAACGGCTTCCCAGTCCTTCGGCATTCACGAAATAATCAATATAATTCGCGACGAGCCCCTCAACGATTCGACTCTACGAACACTATCTGTCCCACTCTTTTCCTCTTTTCTCCTCGATCATAATCCACGCGCCGAATAGATAACAGGTTGTCGCAGGCAGTGAGTCAGAGAGCTAAGATTCTTCCCAGTTCAACTTTCGGTATTGGCCTGACCTACGTTGTGCACCGGTTGTATGTTACGTACATGCGCGTTCGCATGTAGGCAAGGAAAAACGCGAGCAGAAGCCATTTCGACGACGTTGGCCCCCGTACGCGTCCAATGTGCTGCTGATAGCAAACAGCTATGCAGAACGTAACGTACGAGAGAGGGAGAGATGGTGGGTGGGGGATTTCGTGTGTATGTAGCCATACGATAGAGAAATGTGGGAGGAGGAGGGAGGTAATAACGAAGGAAAGAAACGTAAGCGTCTCTTATCAACGTGCCACAAGGGTCATGAAGAGGAAAAGAAAACGAGGAAGCTGCTCGGTGACGCACTCGGTAAAAAAGGAAATGCTAAACTAGCAAGCATTAATTTCTTCTTAGTTTTGCCCTCGGCGTCAATAAATAGGGACAGGGACGACGACGACGACGACGACGACGACGACGACGACGACGACGACGACAATGGTAATATCGGTGACGACACGACAATAAGGGAAACCGCGAGCGATACAATACAAGAAGTACAGTAGAAGGGCGGATGAGAAGGGTAAAAGAGGAGAAAGGGAAGATTTCGAGGGCTGGCGTCTGTTGGTTATCGAAAGGAACGGAACGCGCGGTTTTCTAGCATCATTCATTTATTCATGCGCGTTGCCAGGCAATGCCAGCGATCGCGAGCCAATCGACTGCTAGCTTATTCTTGCTCACCCTGTGGCCGGACTCCTCTAGCCTCTGCCTCTTGGAGTGGGGCCCGTCCCCGTTGAAAGCCATCTCCTCTGTGGTAGACAACTCCGTTCCAAAAGTAAAGCTGGCGTCGAGCGACTGCTGCTCCTCGCGTCGCACACGCACGCGACAATGGCTCGTGCTCTCCTCGGCTGTCGGCGAATCACAACGAGATGAGAGTAAACGAACTCACAGCCGGCCTGAAGCTAACTGCCGAACTGCTAAACTGCCCGACAACTCGACGTCTTGGCGAAACCGTGACGATTAGAATGAGACTACGGGACAGAGAGAAGGGACGAAATGAACACCGACCGGACCGACTGGAGGACTGGCGAATTAACGAAACACCACGAACGGCGAACGACGAACCATGTGCAAACGACCAGGACGAGCTGCGCAGTAGCGCTCGCGCTCACTTGGTTCAGTGTCGCTACAGCTCGCGTACTTTTGAGCCGATTCGTCGAGCGCCACTTGCGCAGTCGCCCGTCGGCATCAACAATATGGCGAAAATCCCGCTTCATCCATCTCACTGCCAACCTTTTATCCACCCTTCCCATTCCAAGTCCATTTCGAATTTCTATTCCGAATCCTATGCCGATATCGCCTATCATACGATTTATAACGTACAAGTTTATATGCCGGCTGCCCCACACTTGCTTTATCCCACTTTCTTGTAGAAGTTTTCTTTCTCTTCCACCTTTAGGCCTCTCCTTACCGCTGTTTGTTCCATGATCCCCTTTCCAACTCTTCTAGGCCGATCGCTAATCAATAGCCACGTACGCATCATCCCCTCTTTTATACATTTTAGATAAATATGGTCACGCGACTCTACTTCCTTAAAACTTGCTTTATAAATTATATTTTTTCGATATTCCTAATTATAAACGCCTGGGCGTCCTAACGATTAATAAACAAACGTAAATTCTGCTCGTTTCATTATAAATTTATTAAAAATTACTCCATAACACCAATCAGTTTCACCAAAATTTAAAAAATTTCTATTACAAATATAATACAAAACATAATTAATGCAAACTACAAATAACTTTCTGATTATTTTCTTTCTTTCAATCTAAAAACAATGATTGAGTTTAAATAGCTTTCAATTTCCAAATTATTAGTTTCTGAAAGTGAAACGCAATGAAAACAAAATATTTTTCATAACCACATTGTCAATCTACCATGAATTTGAAAATAAATATTTTTCATATATCACTAACCTCCTTCGTTACTATTAATGACATTAAATTTCTAATAGCAGCCAACGTAATGAAAAATTTAATTAACTTCAAACTAACAAATGGAAAATTAAAAAATTTTTGCTATTACACTGATTTGCGATTATCATAAAGCGTACTTCTAAAGGAAGTATAGACGCGCATGCGCACCGTAGTTTTGTTTAACTACATCTGAACTCTGGACCAGTCTAAAGTTCAACGACCAATAAATGTATTTTTCTTAAAAAAAAACGCTTGGGCTTTGCTCATTTTTGCTTTTTGCTGCTTCGAACAATCTGAAGCACAAATATATTGCCATCGATTAAATAAACAATCGAAGTTGTACATTCTCGTGTGTGAATTGTAGAATGTAGATGCACATCATCTACAAAAGCGCTGCAGACCATCTCAATTATCAATTGTGGGTCTCGGTTCTGCAGTACAACTCCGCATATTCGTCTGCGCCTTACAGCCAAAATAATTCGTACTGCAGTTTTATACTCAACGCTTTCACTCTTCTTAATAAACTATCGCGCTACTCGCAACGCTTTACCTTCGCGAATTGTTGACTTGTGCAATTTTTATCTATATGCGCACATTGACTCGCATCGTATATACCTTTCTTTCATGACGTTTCGTTAAATTTGTAAATCTCGATAAATAGCTCGATAATTCTCGTCAAATTTTTTCATTCGTCTAGTCACGCAAGCAATGAAAACAAATATTACGACAATTGGCTATTGCCCCAGCTGATATTTAAATTTGTGATTCTTTACCAGATCATTTTAGTACCCAGGGTATAACTAATATTCATCTATTAAGCTATCTGATTTCTCAACCTATTTTCGTCAAAGAAAACAATTAAAATGAAGGAAGAAGGAACAACGTTGCAATTGATCAATCTGCCTGATATAGTTCTGGAGACAATACTTTCTAATCTTACCTACGATGAAATTGCCAAAAACAGAATAGTAAGACATTTTTTCCGCTTCTACACTTTCCCCTTTATTAACAATAGACTTTTATTACAATTCAGCACGGTGTATGTGAATTCTGATGACATATACCTCCTTATATAGATATACATATATATATATATATTTATTTATGTTTATGTTTATTCAAGTATCTTTTATAGTTTCATTATAGGAATTAAAAACAAAATCACTTATTTTATACACATATACATGCACACACATATAATTCTCATAAATAATAAACATAAATTAAATTATCGATTGATTTAACAAAAACTTAATTATCTTACACATAATTATTTTTCAATTAAATAGAAAAATTTATATATGTAAATATATAATCTTAAAATACAAAAAATATCTGCAAGAACGAATTATAATTGTAATTACAATTAATCAAATAAATACATAGAAATTTCTAATATTTTAACAGGTTTGTAAAACATTTGATGATATATGTAAAAAGTTGCTCAATCGAGGATTCAACCTAATGGAAAAATATCATGCGAGGTGCTTAAGAGCTGTAAAAAGTCAACTACCACGCAGAGAATCGGAAAGGAGAACTCATCCTCTTGCACGTCATTGTGATATCTTAACAGCTATAGAAACCAGAATATCTATGCTGTCCATGACATTTACTAAATATGTAGATTTAAATCTTTGTTGCTTCATACCTGGAAAGGTATATAATTAAAATTTATACATACACATACAAATAATGTAAATAAATATAATTTTTTAATTATTAGAGAATATAAATTATTATTCTTGAATAATAAAATATTAATAAAAATTATTATTATAATATATTTGTTTGATATAATCTCATTGGCATTTATAGGAAATTGTTAAGTATATTATTTTTTTATTTTTTCTGATTGTTATAGGTCATCGATGAAATATTTAGAGTCTTGCGTCTTATTAGAATAAGTAAAACACCCCCAAGAATCCCTGAAATACTTCAAGAATTGCGAGATATTAGCTGCATGGCAATGGAACATTTTGATGAAAAAATTTTACCAAATTTGAAACATAGTATTTATACCTCTGTTGTTGCTAATGTAAGTTCATATGAAAGCTTAATGATCTCCCACCATAGTTCTAATTCAAAGGGTTCACCACTTCCGCATAATTTTGGTGTAGATAAACTTAATCAAGCATTTAAAAAAATTTATAGCCGTACTAAAAAAAATAAAAAAACAGTACTATGCGTTAAAGGACAAATAAGTAAAATGAAATTAAGAATGAATAGGCAATCGTTTCAAATGAGACTACAAAATTTAAAATTACAAGAACATACAAAAAAAATTCAAGATCAAGATGCTCAGTTAGCAGAAATGAGAAAACATTTAGAAGAATGGGAACAAAAATTAGGCGATTTAACTGCTGAATTAAGTCGTGTCAGAGAAGAAATACAAAAATCAGATTCGTTAGAAAATTGCAAACGAAAAATTGCAGATATCTCAGTTCCTTGTGAATCTAGTTTACTCAAAACAAAAGATCTTCAAGTTAAAAAACGTAAATTAATTGTAGAAAGAAAATCATCTAGTGATAATCAAGACATTAAATTTAAAAAATTCATGTCAGAACTTCTTGCAGATAGTTCTATTGGATCATACCCTTCAGCTTCTCATTAAACTATTTAATTTTTGTCAACTTTCTACTTTATTACTTAGTAAAGCCAAACTTTTACAATTATAAATTTGAATATTCGTTTTAAAATTTAATAATTGTCTTGGTTAAGTAGACTTTATTTATGTGTAAATATTTCAAAATGAAAAGAATCGCCAACATCAGTAAACAAAAACATATTCTTTGAATATTATAAATATGTTAAATAAGTTACAAATTAATTATAAAATACTATTCATTAAAACAAAGCTTATAGAAGAGTTTTAAAAACAAATGAAAAATGTAATAGTTTAAGATAAATCTCATTAGGCAGTGTTTAATTTTCTAATAAAAATTTAAAATTTATATAAGTGAATTTATATTTCTGTAAATAATTTGAACAATTTTGTAAAATACATGTATGCTCTGTGAATTAGATAAATAAATAGTAGTCAATCTTTAAAAATTATGTATAAAAATGGTCTTGTGCAATAAACTTATTTTATTTTTATAAAATAATTTTTTTGTTCAATCCAAGAGACCTAAAAAGTGAAAAAGATTTGTTTATCTTTTAACTAATACTAATTAGTTAATATTATGTATTTGTTATTTAATAATTGCTGCCATATTTATTTCTTCAATATTTAAAATTATAATAAGCTTTTATTTATATAAAATAATTTTCTCGTTCACTTCGATAGATCTAAAAAGTAAAAAAATTTGTATCATTTAACTAATTCTAATTAGTTACAATTTTTTGTTTGTTTATTTTTTAATAATTACTAGAATATTTATTTCATCAATATTGAAAAGTACATTTAAATAACAAGATTTTACAATATATATTCGATTGCTGTGATTATTTAAAATAAATTATATTAAATGTTTTAAAAATTTATATTGTTATATGATTAATTTATTTTTAATCTCAGTCAATCTGGAAACATAAATCTGTAATCAAGAGATTATTTTTATGTATTGAATATAAAGAAATCTTAACGATTTGTTTTTTTTTTTTTTTTTTTTTAATATACGACTCAATTTAATAGTTATATTAGTAATTTTTAAATATATGCATTCAGTAATTGATATGATATTGCTACAAACGATATGTAAAATAAAAAATGTATTTTTTCCAAATGAAATTAATTAAAAACTTATCAAATTTATCATCAATAAAATAAAAATACAAAACTTATAACATTATTTTTTCTTAAATTCTCATTAGTGCAATTGATTAAAACTTAATTAATGAATACATACAATAAATTAAAATGAGTCGATATTTAATCACAATAATATTTTTTGAAGTATAAAATGTTTATATTATCTGAATTATAATAAACTTACTGAAAATCATTGGTTCTTTGTTTGGCAAGCCATAACATTCGAGTTAAAATATTGCAAACCTCCAACTTGTAACTCCCTTAACAACAATTAAGTTAAATTTTATTTTTAAATTAAATGTTAACAATAAAAATAATTACCTTCTGGCACTGTTACGCGTTTTAAAATTAGCTCGATTATTTGTTTAAAAGAATCTTCGTCATTAGAAATATTATAAGTACTTGGCTTATAAATTTTGTAATTTTCCTATTATATAAGTAATAATATTTAATTTAAAATTATTCATAAAAAAAAAAATATATTTACTTATTCCATTTACAAATTCACAAGAAGTCGAATTTTCCATAAAGTAATCGGTAAGATCTGACATGAAATCTTCATCGGGAAGGGATTGATCGACAGGTACCTTCAACTTTCTATCATTGTTTATAGAACGAGTATATAAATAATTTGTTTGTTTATTAAACAATTCACTCTCAATTTCGGGTAAGATGAAATTATATATTATATCAAAGACTTCTTCATCTATATTTTCAAAACTAAAAGTACATAATAAACCTTTGTAAAAAACATCGATGAAGTATTTATTATAAGACTTACTTTCTATCTACATAATTTGCAGGTATAGACATACATTTCTTTACTGATGCTTGAGCTGCTCTAAATCTCTGTAATTCAAATTGCTCTTGAGTCTGAGCTTTCTCCTTATACAAAAACGATACATAAGCCGTCTCCTTATAAAGTGTTGTTAATTCCTATTATAAATTTTTTTTATTTTATTTCAATTCACATATGGATACCAGGGTATATGAGCATATATTATGATAAAATATCATATAAAATAAAAAATTATTAAAATTATACAGCTTTGAGTGATTCAATTCAGTGTTAAATAATTTGATTCAATAATACAGTATTAAAAACTGGCACATTTATAAATTAAAATATTGGGATCGATAAGATAATTAATTATATAATTCTATTATTAATGACATATAAAAATGCTTACGTTGTTCAAAAAAATGAGTACATTTACAATTGTTTTTCCGTCAATTGCCTGTAGTATTTCATTACAATTTTTTTCCAACTGCTTTAGTTTCAAACGAATTGTTTCATTCGATAAATTATTCGAATTTTCCAATATTTGAACTGATTGTAAATCTTTAATTAAGTCTTTAAAGTGATATTTTTCTTCAAAAATCTAAAAATTTTAACATAATTTAAATAATCACTTTTAGACATTAAATTTACAAAAATTATCATCGAATAATTACGACATTAATAAATAATATCTTTTTAAAATATTTTTCAACTTACTATGTTAATAATCTTTTCAATAATATATATTAAAAAATTACAAATTTTATTTCTAAAATCTTAAAAATAGCAAATTTGATCATCATTCGTAAGTTACCATGCATTGCTCAGCTCGCCCGTTTAAAAGTTTTCGAAGGAAACTTGATGGTAAATCCATCTCATTTTCGAATCTTTTAGGCGGTAATTGATAAGGTGTTGCTGGCAGCAACATTATTTGCTGTTTGCGTTTCAATGAAGCATAAGTATCTGAAAATTCGAATTTGGTTTTGATAGATTCTAAATTCTGAGATAATTCTAACAATTTCTTGTTGTTTCTTTTGGATACTCGTGGACAAATTCGTATAAAGGTTTTTGAAGTAGTATAATTCGGTTCTCTTGTGACGAAAAACCAATCCAGTGATGTTTCTTCCTTTTCAACTTCGTTAACTAATGCAATTAAAATGAAAATTAATTAATTTTCCTAAATTAATTCGAATAATTGATAAAGAAATTTTTAAAGATAAAATAATTTTTTATAAATAATTTTTTATAAATAATTTTATTCTAACTTTCTACGAAAATAAATAATAAATTTAAAGCAATTATTATGGCATGTGCACTTTATATTTGCACATTTATTGAGTACATATTAGATTACTGCAATAATTTTATACAACATATACTTGCCAAGAACAACATTTCATATAAGAATACATATCAATAACATATTTGTTTAAAATATTGTACTTTAGCATTTTTACAATAAACTTACTATCGGAAAAACTTTCATCGTAATAATATTCGGCCGCATAACCACGACGTAGTTTTGGATTGTAGAAATTTAAATTCCTTTCAGCATGAAGCTTGATAATGCTTGATTTTTCTTGGCCAGTCCTAATGCTTCTATGTTTCGTTGCGAGTTTACGTAACTCTCGTGTAAAAGTATTTCTAATACTATCCATTTCTTGTTGTTTACGTTTATTAAGGCTTTCATTAAGTTTTTTAAGCCTATTTTCAGTTTGTTTATTTTTTTTATTGGCTTTATGTTGCATCGATGTATCTTCAAGTGCCATTCGTAAATTCATTAAAAATTGTATTTCCTTTTAAAATAAAAACAAAAAATTACTATGTATTACTCTATTAAAACAATATATTTAACAATTATTAGTGATAGAAAAATGTACAGAATATGTTGTTTTTTTTTATAGCACAATTTCGTTCTAAAATATAAAAAGTTTTAAATAATTAGCTTAGAAATTTTCATTCTTAATTGATTTTTAAATATTAAAATTACTTATAAATAAAATATAAATAAAAAACATTGTAAACAATTAAAAACTTATTGCTTGAATTTAAATGTGTAAATTTCATTCAATTTGTGCTGTGCTACATTAAAAATAATAAAAATAAAAATTATACAGCTTCTCGGAAAGCCCATTCGTCATTTTCGAGATCAGCTATTAATGCAGAACGTATTTTAATATTAGCAAGGGTATCCATTGGTGGAAGTATTCTTTCCCATGCTCTTCTCTTTCTCATTCTATTAATGATTTCCAATTCATGCATTCCAGCTGGTAATTCCATACCCCATCTAAAATGTTTTAACATTAATACTTCTGGATTGTGCCCTAAAAATAAAAAAGTAATTAATACATACGTAATAACAATAAATACTTTTCTTATGATTACCTGGTGCAATTTGATACGGTGGCTCCCATGGTAAAGTTTGACAATCGCTTTCTCTATAATCTGTTTGTACTCCCTTATTTTTAAAGTGATTACTTAAATTTTGAAGACCATAATACTGTCTATGGATATTTTGGACTCCACTTCCAAAAATACTTCCTTCTAAATGACTTGACATTCGATTGTTACACATTTTAACTACTATTATAGCTAATAATTTTCTTCACTTTAATTAATAAAAACTTATTTATATTTTTATTTGATTTGTGTTAAAGCTTCTTCTACTGAAGTTCTATTAATAAACATGAATATATTATTACTTATTTAAATATATAAAGTAAATTAAAGAATTTAATTTAACAATAAATAAGTCCTCTGAATAATTTAGTTTGTGCATATATAAAGGAACTATTTATTGGAAATTTGACAAGATGTTAAATAAAATATTGATTTACTTATTTTTATTTTTTCACAAATTTTATTTTATAAATAAAATTACATTAACAAGAATATCTCCTCTGATTTATCAAAAATTAATATAATATAGCTAATCACATTGGTTAGAAAATCTGCTAAAAATATAAATATGAACGATACAGTAAAAAGTATATAATCAAAACAGTTGATAAAAACAGTTGATAATTAATAATTATTTTTAGTACGAAAGCAAATACCTTAAAAATAAAATTCAAGCAACCATGTATATGTATGTTTCTTAGTAACTATAGCACATTAACAGCCAAAGTAAGTATTGATCTAGTATACTTTTTTTATCATATTTGCATATATTGTTGTTACAATGCATAATCGCAAAAAAAAAAAAACAATACTTTATAATAATTTTTGTATTTATTATTTGTACATCATACATTATATTCTATTCTTTTGATTTTTAAAAACTTTAAAATTAAATAACATGAATAAAATTGTAATGGCTATGATAATCACAATAAAGATATCTTAAATACAAACAAAATTTGAAGTCTTTTATGATTTATATATATATATATATATTATAATATATTTTTATGTAACATATAATAATTATTAAAAATTATTAGAATAATAAAAGTTTGTTACTTTAGGAATTATAAAAATGTGTCATTTTTCAAAATAATAAAATAGCATAATCCATGTTTATTTGCATACATGGAAATATAAATTATATATTAATTACATAATGATTTTATATAGATCACTTATAATTATACATATTTTTTTTTATCAATTTAAGATACATTAAATTTATATGCTCACAAGTTTTGTAAATACTATAAAAAACTTAAAACAAATCTATAAAATAATTTATAAAATTTATTTAAATTCTAACATAATTGATTAAAAATTTATTTAATTTAAAATTATATATTAATCCATAATTTAATATAAAGTATACACAACTTTATACAATTATATATGAATTTTTTTATATAACTGACATTGATATCCGAGCTCCATACACATGTACGATCTACTCATTAAATACATCTCATTCATTATCACATACATATCATATGTATTAAGTAAATATAATAATCCTTATGAGTTTTAAGTTTTAAGCATTTCAAAATATCCACTTCCAGAAGCTCCTAAATGTTCAGGCCAACTTTGTTGTTTAGAAATGTCTCTACATGTTTGACCTGGTAGCATATCTTCAGGACAAACGCATTGCAATTCCATTCTATACAAGGTCATTTGTCCGAGCCCAATTCTCGACTTTTTTTTGTCTGTTGCTTTATTGTAAAACTTATAATCAATTCCTCTATTTGTTAAGCAATTATTAGCAATTAAATCTCTTTCTTTAAATAAAACTTTTTTACCTAATTTTTCTTCAGCTTTTCGAATACATTCCAAATCTTTAGGTAGAAGAAAAAAAGGCGTGATTAATGGTGGAAGCCAGAAAGTTGAAAAAATTAAATCTACAGAATTTTTATTAGATTTTAGAGGAAAAAGTAAAGCTCCAGTAGGTGACTGACGTTTTATTCCAACTACTTTTTCTATTTGCCTTAAAGCCTCTTTCGTTTTAGTTTCCCTTTTTAATCGTCTATTAAAAAAATCTATAATACCTTTCTTACGAATTGTTTTTATAAATCCATTTTTCACTTTGTTATTTGCATTAATTGTATTTACCCGAGATGATCTATCATTTATTATAAATGAGTTTATTTCACTTTCATTTTGCTTAAGATTACGCTTTTTCTTTTTTATTTCACGTTTTCTTTTGTCATCAAGGACCTCAGCATCTTTAATATTATCAACGAAATCAATGTCAGGAATATTCATGTAATCAGAACTATCATCGAGATTACTCGATCTATTAAAATTTAAAGAAGAGTAGTAGTTATTTTGTTTACTCTGTCCATTAGTGTAATCCATACTGGGATCTAACTGATTTTCTATGTCATTTGTATCATTATTTATATATCTGACATTACTTTTTTCACTTCTTTGAAGACGAATTTCATTTAATTGACGCGATGTTATAAATTTTTCTTCCTCGTCATCATACATATCATCATAATTATCGTCAGTTTGTGCGTTATTTTCTTTCGACTTATCGTTCTCCCATTTATTTTCTTTCCATTCATTTTCATTCAGCTGATCTAATGGTTTATCTAAAAGGCTTTCACTTTGTTGATTATCCTGTGGATTATTAAATTTAATATTGGAATACAAATTTTCTAATTTTTGGGAATCTTCATTCTTAATATTTTTATATTGAATCAGATTATTTCTATTATTTGGTGATTGATTTGGAAATCTATTTGAAATTATTTCATCTTCGACATCATTAAAATCAAAATCTGAATCAGCATTATTTTCAAGTTCCTTTTGGGAACTAATGGAATTATTAAATTTCATGTTTTTCCAATCTTCAGAATGATACAAAGGTATTCCTGGTGGTTCAACATGTTGGCTAAAAGCAAATAAGGATGTAACAAGAGTACTGTTGAATCGTAGTTTGCATAAGTCTGCACCAGAACTTGGATCGTTTATAAATTCATAATTATTTTTTGCTCCCTCTTTATTAAAACAATTTGCGGACCAATGTAAAAACCAATCATTACCAAAGCCATCAACTGTTACAGACAATCCAAACATCTGTGTACTTAGAGTATCTTCCATTGGTGTTTTTAATAAAGGTTTTCCGGTTTGTCCATCTAATACAGTTGCAGTTGAATAGTAATAAACAGGAAAACCGGGACCAATCTGATGTTTCACCATAAAATCTGGTATTCTATCATCATTATAGTATCCAGGGATAGGAATACTAATAACTTCAGAATTCGGTATTGTAAAATTCCAAATTTCTTTAAAAGTTATGCCATTGAAAGCCATTATTGTACAATTAAACATAGCAACAATAATGTCTTCTGTTCCATCTGAATTTATATCAATCAAAAGAGGAGGCAGTGCAATACCTCTACCTGGACCGTTGTAAATTTCTTGCAATTCCTAAAAATTAAAAGAAAATAAAGATCGACATATTTAATAATATTTAAAAACACTAATACTTTGGTATTTAATTTATAATTTAATTAAATTTGATAACTTTGCTTAATATTAATTCTATTTATTAATTTATAATATACGTATAAACGATAAAAAATGCAACTAATTAAAAAGCAATTTATATTCTATATATAATTTAGATATTATATATTTTTTATAAAATTAGTAATTTTATTTTAAATTATAAATTATAATTTTTCCCTAAATTAAATTGTAACTTACAAATTCTCCCTTCAGTAATTTTGAATGTGGAATAATATAAAGACCTCCAGCTTTATCTTGATTACTAGCAACTAATACAAAATAAGTTTCTCCATCTGGATGCACAATAATCTGGGGTGCTACAAACAATTGTTCTTTTCCAGGAAAATCCATACTGTTGATTCTGTTTCCATTTTTGCCTGATACTAATATTACTTCTGATTGTGATCCATCAGACAGCCAAGTATGGGAAGCAACAACATCACCAATTCCATCATCATCAACATCAGCTATATACCTTGCATCATAAATGTCATAATATCTATGTTGAGAAATCATAGATAAATCTTTATATGGCAATTCCCATATACTAGTTCCATCTTGACCATTAATAGCATGCAAAATCCCACCAAGTCCAGATATAATGCAATCCTTCACTTTATCATCATTCAAATCTAAGCCACAATCTACAGAAAATACTGCATGAGCAGTCCAGTGAGTCCAAATTGTTTCACCAGACTTTCCATCTAAGGCTAAAACTCCTCCTAAACAAGGCGTACTTTGATCAAAGTTGAATGTACAAACATATTCAGGAGCATTAGCTTTGTCCAGACCTATATATAAAAAAATCTCTTAATAATCTTACAAAATCTCAAACAGTATTAAAAAATTATATAACTGAAGACTTTGTATTTATTAATTAAATATGAAAAACAAATAAATAAGCAATGAAATAATTCATATTTAAAAAACATTTAAATTAGTTATATTTCAATTTATAATTTATATAACACAAAATAATTTTAATTGATAGCTTACGTCAAAAATAACCAAAGGTAAAATATATATTTTTTTTATAATTCGTACGATCAACAATGAATAAAATAATTATAAATACACAAGTAATAATTATAACAAATGTATTGAACTTAAAATTATTGTGAAATGAATATTAAGTTTCAGTTATATATTTGATTAAAAGGAAGAATATAATTATTGAAAATAAAACTGTAAATAAGTTCACCTTTCAAAATAAGTAATGAAATAAAATATAAACCAAAAAAACTCTGCAAAAAGTAAAAAAAAGTTTAATACATATAAAGCAGACAATATTTTGTTATATAATTTTAATGAAATAATATTTACCGGTACTGAATCCTACGATAACATCTTCTATATTATCTCCGTTAACATCGTTACTTCTTAATGGGGCTTCTGATATCAGCTTAGGTAATGTTCTTGTCCACTGGATTTTGGAATTCAATGATGTACAAGGAATAGTGTGTTGTTTATCAAATGTCTTTTCCTTATTATGAGATAACCAAGTTTTTAGTAGATTAATAGGCATGGGAAATCGAATTATAGTAATTATGCACAATATAATTATACCCAAAATAATAAAAAATCCTAATAAAGTATAGCAAAATGGTGCAAAAAGAGTTTTATATGGTAAAGATGGCGTTTCAGAAAAGTGTGTTTTACATTTTCTACGTGGAGCCATGAGAGGTCTTTTGGCTCCACAATCATCATCAATATTTAAAATACCATTTGCCCCATCTCGAATAAATACTTCATCGTCGATATCACTTAAGTCATCATCTTCAAAATTATCTCTAACAGCAACACGAGGTAATTTTGGATATACTCCTGACATCTACATTTAAAAAATATATAAATGAATTATTTTTTTTATTAAAATAATCAATAAATAATAATGAGTTTTTAACAATATTGCTTAATAAAGTTCGTATATGGGATTATTGAAAAGTTAAAAACTCAAACCTATTGGAATTAAAAAATAGAAACATATGTTGCCTTCTACTTTATATATAAAAATCAAGATAAATTGATTAAATCTAAATTCACAAATGTATAAATACTTACATTCATTAATCTACAAGCTGTAGCATATAATGATGTTTCAAAATCTTAATTTTCGAATATGTGAACTATGTTATTTTGAAATTCCATTTGTCAAAATACACGGCATTAGAAAATGCAAATTTGAACACTGTATTGTAAAAAAAAAAAATATTTCCATGTATCTTCCTACTTCCTGTCTTCAACACCTACGCTTCAATGTCGAAACTTCTCTAAAATTGATGATCCAATACAATTTTCGTTTGTCTTCTATCTTATTTCTTAATGCACCAATCAACCATTTACTTACTGCATCGATTTTAAAAGGCGCTGAATTTAAAAATTAATATTTATAAAGATTAAAAATTGAAGGCTTAAATATTTTCATTGACATAAAAGCCACGACTGAAATCTAAATTCGTAACGTGAATTTAAAATAATTATTAAACATATTGAAAATAATTTGTTTTATGAATAAAAAATATACTATTTTCATAAAATATGATAGTGCAGAATGTATACGATATTAAAATTTAAAAAATTTTATCTAAACAAAAGCTAAAAAGCCGTAAAAAATTATATATCATACATACAAATTAATTATTTTGAAAATAGATTTTGTTTATTTATCAAGCATAACTTCTATAATTGAAAAAATTCATTCGACACATCCGAGTACTGTTACAAAATTTTAAAAACGAAATAAAAAGAACTTTTTAGTTTTAACATAAGAATATCGGATTAACCAACAACAACAACAACAACAACAACAACAACAACAACAAAACCTATATAACTAGATATAATTAGTTCATATATCTATAGTAAAACTGGATGAAAATTTGCGACTTTAGCAAAATATATATTTTCGTCATGTTCTTCTCTCCGTAGCACTTTTAAATACGAATAAATTCTTAATAAGACTTGATATAACTTTAATAAGAAAAAAGGATACTTCTCTTAATGTTACTTTACTGAAACATTATAATTTATATTAAATATAATCGCCTAATAATATTAAATTTTTCATCATAATACTTATTATTTTTGTTTCGTTATATTTATTCATTTACTCGAAATAGATGAAGCATATATTTATTTGTTAATTTTTATTACTTATAACAATGTATATCTTTATTTACTTTATATGTTTTCATTTAAATTAGAAAATACTCCCATAAGAAAAGTAACGTAATCATGCCAAAAAATTATTCATAGCAATGTTTTTATTTATTTATATTTTGACGAAAATAATACTAATTTATTAACCAGATGTAGCATAACATTTTAAATATAATTAGAATTATTATGATTAAAAGGCAGTTCAATTTTTGATAGAATATTTTTTATATATTCTTTTAGTATTTATAACTAATAGATGCAAAATGTATTATAATTTTTCATTTTCTGAAAAATCTATGTAGAATCTCGCCACTTGACTTTCGACTTATAAGTAAGTAATGTTCATTAGTATACTTAATAAGAAGATTATCACGCATAGGAAGAAAACAAAACATGAAAGCTGGGAATAGATAATGGAGATAATAAGTAGTAAAAGGAAAATTCAGTAAAATAATTACAAGCGAAGTAAGTTTCCACGTGTTACCACTGGTGGGAGTATGTACAAAGAATGAAGAAAACATGAAAGTGAAGGAATATGAAAGAAAAAGCGCGAGTTAAGCGGTAGGCGCTAAGGGTGTGGAGGCCATACAGCGTGGCAAGGGTGAGGTGGGACGATTTGACGACTCGAGCTTGTGTAAATGTTCATGCCCAATGCTCGGTATGATGCCCAGGCCGTACGCGTTGTCGAGTCATTATTGAATAACAATGGCCAATTACAAGCAATATATTAATTCTTGCAACGCACTCGTGCGATAGGGTCGAGATCAGGCTCGGCCGTTTGGTCGTTCAGTTAGCGTAGCGATAAAAAGACGACAGTAGGTCGGTACCGACGGCGACACTCACGAACGGAGAAGAGAACAACCGCGATAGCAGTTACTCGAGCTGCTCCAACTACTTGGGGCGTTCATCTACAACACAATCGCACACTCACGCTAAGTGATATCCCCTTATCGCTTGTGCAATTCGCACTTTTACGTTTCTTCGTCACTTTTTCGCTTTCTTTAATCTACTTATTCCACAAAATAAACTCGAAGACTAACAAAATCGAAAATAGCAAGCGGAGGCTCTCCTTTGTTATTTCCGTAAGTATGTCTGTTTTCCTGTTTTTCTCTCTTTTATCAATCCACGATTACACTGCCCGCTAAAACTATTCCATTCATATAATTTTTAAATTTTGTTAATCCTATTTACGAAAATCCTCTGCATTTATAATCAACTGCAACGAACTGTTTTGGCTTTATTTTTCATAACCGACGATCGCTTTGCAGTGGTAATCATACAGATCGTAAAAGTGTTACACTCGTCTTCATCGACACCACGCCGAACTTAGTATCCGAAAGCTATAAGTCGAGCTTCTTCTGAGTTTTCGTTAAATACCTGCTTCGGCTTCTTTTCAACTCTTCTCGGCAGGTGCTAAACATAAATGACATTGATTTTCCTCATTTAAAATCGGGGAGAGAAGCAATAATGTAAATAACAACTTGGCGTGATATTACGCCGATCAGGAGCAAAAATCCCGAGAATTAAAATTAATTCCAGCGATTTAATTGTCGGCTAATTTATATTTGCACCGGAAGTTTCACGTTGCAGCATGCATCAATTACCCTTCATCTTGTGCTTGATGATGATTTCGCTCGCCGCGGCCAATGGACCCACGGCCGCCAACAGGTGCGTTCAACCGTGTTTTCTTTATCTTTTCATTCTGACCACGTTTCCTATTTCCGAATAACGTTTATCTTAAAAATTCTGATTTTCATTTCGTTCATACGCTTCAATGATACTACGAATTAATTGCTTATCAAAATAACATTTATTATTTTCTATCTTCGTTCGCAATGTACGTGCACAGAACAAAGTTCAGTTTTCAAATTTTCCAATCGATTATCATATGCCTGAATGATTAATTGCATTCGCTCACATAATTCCAGATTCAATGTTTAGTCTTTTTTGTTTTTTTTTTTTATTTATATTGTACATTTTTATTTTTCTTCAAACATTTATATTATAAATGTGTAATTGAGAAATGCAAATATGAAAACAACGTAAAATTACGATACAAATTGATTTACAAGTAATAAAAGTATATTTGTTAATGATAATGCCAATGTTATGGCATTTATATTATAATGTAATTCAATCAATTTGTATGAGCTATTATAGGCTAATTTAAATATATATCAAAAATCATTCGGCAAATATTATATTATCGCATACTTTCTTTAATATCGATTTTATTTCCGTATTTTATGTGTTTTTAAGTATAATAAATAGAATTTCAATATAAAAGGAAATAAAAATTTAATAGTGTATAAATCAATAAAATAAATTATACAAGTTAATTTTTCTTTAAAAGACGCGTTAAAAATACATTCTGGATTTTAAAATATGAAATTAATTTACAGTTTAATTTGTAGCAAAACCGAACGTTAGATAAATATGTTAATAAATGTTTACATAACATTAACTATCTTCTTATATAAAGAAAGTAAAAAATAATAAGAAAAATAGATAATTCTTAATACAAATTTTTATATTTACTCACTGTTTAAATTTAACACATGATAATGTTGACAATTTTATTCAGACCAATATAAAGACGTTTTACAATATAAAAATGATTTTCATTTATATGGATAAATAAGCTTTATTTCCCGTGAAGATAAGTGTCATTGTTGTAAATATCCCTATTATTTTTCATACTCTAACGATCATAATATATCAATTAATTAAATAAATATAATAATTCTTAAAATATATTAAAATAATGGCAATTTTAGTTGTTCATTCTCCCTTTTAATTAAAAAATACCTAGATGAGAACTAATTAGCAACTAAGGAAAAAATAAATGTGTACAGAAATAGAGGCTACATTTTTACGGCACCGAAACGGCTAATCGCAGGAGAGACAGAAAAGGTATGTCTTTCTCTCCATAATTTGGAAGCACCAGTTCATATAAAAGTTGATTTATTGTCTTCGTCGAGTTTACCAAGTAGCGTCACGCCATCAACCAACGTCGAGGATGACATTCTCGGCAGCACCGAGACGACTCTTAAAACCGGTGTGTTCAAATACAAAAATATTACAGCCGCTTATCTCTTCCAAATATTCGAATATCTTGGCCCTATTTTACTAAATTTATCTGAATGCTGTCTATCTAGCTAAATTTTATACTTTTTTCATTTATTTAATTGTCTATTTAATTAACTATTATTAATAATTCTTTAAAAAATGTAGAAAGGCATGAAAATGTAAGAGAAAGGAGCAGGTAAACGAGATAACGAACGATAGAAATTGATGAAATAAATACAGTTCTTGCAAGAAATTTTATTTTATAGGCTAATAATTCTTATAACTTTTTAATAAATTATATAGTCAAATTAATCTATTAATTTCCAATAACCTGATGAATCTTTGTTAAAAAATTCCGTCAAATATTAAATAAGATTTTATTTAAGCTGCTACTATGAAGTATCTATTTTATTTGCTTATATTATACCATAATAGGATCGGTCCAGCAATCTTAAGTAATTGTAGTTTTATTATATTAAGACAATGAAATACGTTGGAAAAAGTAATCAACTTTATTGTTTTAAAATTGGTTTTATTGATACAGATTGCATTCATATTTAACATCAATAAGAATTTATTCTTCTAAATTAATAGAAGTATTTTATTTGGATTTCTATGTATTGTATAATATGAACAGAATATTTTGTTAAAATAACTTTTTTCAATATTCTAAATACACATGATTTATATTTATGTGGCATTGTGATTATTTAATAATTTCTCATAATTACTATGAAATATATACGTACATTTGTGTATATAAACACATATATCATTTATTGAAAATATAATTATCGTAAAATTAAAGTTCATTCATTTTTAAATTAGCAGATTAAAAAAAAATCGGTAATAATTTTTCTGTAAAAACTTTCGATTGGTTTATATATCGTAAAGTAAGAAAAAAAGGACCTTTGTATGATAGGTGCCTGCGCGCGCGTGTGTGTGAGTGCGTAAGTGCACAAGTGAGTGAGCGAGCGAGTGTAAATGGTAAATTGAAATTACTACGATTTCCGGCGGGGAATCAGTAACGGACTAATTGAAAGTTTCTGTGCTCTATCCTCGCAAGTACGTATACTGAACTATAATACATTGACGCCAATTGCTGCTTTAGCCATTTATTTTATATCGCTTCAAAAACTTTAACGAACAAGACTTACTGAAGTATATTATCGTTAAAATAAGTACTACAGAGAATTCTTTCTCTATTTATATGCACGCATACAAATACAGTAATGTATATATCCAGATGAAATTGTTATTACAAAAATGCAACAAACCAATGATCTATACCTACAATATTTTTTAAACTGTATAATATTTTATTACTTTTTCAATAACTAATACATTATGTATTTTTTTTTTTATTTCCAGCCCATGATTTGATTTACATGATTCTAAAACTATTTTGCTATATTATATATGTTATTACAAAATTTTTAAATATACGTTATTGCCACTAATGGTTTTTAATCCTTTAAAAGCCATTATAAACTTTTAATTACATTTTGCTTCATAAAAATACGATTATTTAATCAAAATAATTTCTTCTTTTCATTCAGAAAAAAAATATATATATATACATATATAATAATTTCAAATAATATAGATTATTATATTGAGTTTTTCAATGTTTATCATCATGATCATTATTATTATTGCTGCTACTATAAAGACTAAGATATTAATTTCATTATTATTATTATTATTATTATTATTATTATTATTATTATTATTATTATTATTATTTATACTAACGAAATATTTGTTGTCATTGTTTTATTATAACAAATATAGTTAATCAATTTTCATAATTATTAAATATATTGAAATTCTCATTAAAATTGTAGAAATGACAAATTCAAACTAATTATAGGAATTGAAACTTGTTTGGAATTACGAGTGACAAGTAGTACAAAATATCGCGTTGGAAGATTGAAATTGCGTATGAAATTTGATAAGCACTCGGATTATATTGTGGATACAGAAAAAAAAGTTTTCATCGAATATGATGCCTTGATCACTTTCGTAGAAACAGATAAGGCCATTTATAAACCTGGCCAAGATGTCAATATTAGGGTGTTAACGCTTAAGCACGATCTGAGGCCTTGGATAAAGCCGGTTAGTGAAATTTTACATTTCGGTACACTTCTTTATAAACAATAAAGGTAATATGTCCTTAAATAAAACAAAATATTCTTCTTATTGAATAAATGTAAATATATATTTTAATGGTTTATGATTTTACTTATTATTACTACTGTATATCCTTGTTATTGTTCTTGCTAATATAATAATTTCTTTAATTATATTATAATTATAATTTTAATGTCGATTTTAATATTGATGTCGGTGATGGTATTGCTTTCTAATAAAGCTACATGAATAAATTATATTTTTGATAATTAATTTAAATGTTTCTTTAAAATTCATAATTATTTTCAAGTAATGTTGACAATCGAAACTTATTTCGTTACGATTATTTATGAATATGAATATAATAAAGATTACGAATAAAAATTTATCCTTACAAAATATATTTTACAATACTATTTTTTCTATTAGATATCTAAAGTATGGATCGAAAATCCATCAGAAGTACGCATAGCTCAATGGACAAATGTATCTACAGAAAATGGAATGGCCCAACTTTCATTTCCCTTATCATCGGAACCAATCTCCGTACGCAAATTAGAAACAATAAAGATATTATTAACAAATCATTTCTTACTATATAGTGAAATGCTCATAATGATATATATATATATATATATATATATATATATATATATATATATATATATATATATATATTTATTATTTTTTTTTTTTTAAAGGGAATATGGAGAATTAAAGTCGAAAAAATGCGATCCCAATTAATTCATACTTCAACTTTTGAAGTAAGAAAATATGTTCTTCCACGATTTCAAGTAACGATTAATGCTCCGAATTATATTCTTGCAGATGCCAAAAATGCCACTTGGAAAGTTTGTGTCAGGTTTGTTTAGAATTAAATTATATCATATATTAGCAATTTGAAGAATGTCTATAAAATAATTCATTTCATTGACAAAAATAGTAGGTTCACGCATAATTATTAGTATAGTTATATCAATTAAGATTATCTTCCTTCGGATAATTAGTAATATTTACAAATATTTACAAGAATATAAATTTCATTGTGTGTTGTAGATACAGTTATGGCGAACCAGTGAAAGGAACACTTTTACTGAGCTTACGCCCACAAACATCGATATGGAAAAGAAAACAGACCATTGCCGAAATTAAGTTTGAAGAAAAGGTGAGATTAAGTAAAAATATAAGTAAATATACTTATTTAATGATACAATAATAATAACTGTTCCTCGCTTCGTTCATTAATAGTTTGATGCCTCATCAGACGGATGTATGAATTATACGGTAAGCGCTCAAGTTCTTGGACTACCGCACTGGAAGGTCGCACCTAATAATGTAATCTTGCTGGTTAATTTCACGGAAGCCAAAAGCGGAGTTGTTGAAACGGCTAGTAGTCGTACTCTTGTTATGCATCAGCCTCTTAAACTTGAGTTTGCCCCGCACACTCCGAAATATTTTAAACCTGGCCTCCCTTATCACGGCAAGGTAAATAAATTATGTGCAAACAAGTATTCATATTTAGACATTTAATGAAAATTTTTAATTTTCCAGTTACGAGTTTTACATCCTGATGCTTCGAATCCCGCGCCAAATGAAAAAATTCAATTGTGTTTAAGAATTCGTCGTAAGGATGAGTGGCAACGTTCAGTTGTTGAATGTCGTAATTACACCTCCTCGAACATTGATGGATATTTAGATTTTATTGTGCCACCGCAGCATAAAAATATTGTCCTTCTGAGTTTCGTAGCTACAGCGGTTGATTATCCCACCAAGTATTATTCACCTGATAAACGCTGGCGGGTAAAAACAAATAATTTTAATCATTAAAAAAATAATTATATAGAAGTAGGAGAAATAAGTAAGTTGTTGCAAATAAGGAAAAAATAATAGAAAGGAGAAAAGCAAAAATATAAATTCAAATGTTTAAAGGTATTTCTGGATCAGCCATCGGCCTATATAGACGTAGAGCCATGGTACTCACCATCCTCGAGCTATTTGTCAGTAACACGGACCTATCAGCCGATTGTTTGTGGAGAAAAATACTCCTTTAATGTCATGTACACTAATGGTAATATGAATTCCGAAGATACAGATCCCATAACTTTTCACTATTCCATAAACTCCAAGGGTGATCTCTTGGTTTTTGGTCATATCAAGTACAAGCCACACAAAGACACGATTCTCGATTATTCTGAATTTCGTAATCTTCTTGGTGCAACCAATCAGTCGAATGTCGGCAGTATGAATCCTACGGTACACAGGTATAAATGTTAATTTATAATCTGTAAATACGTAAAATTTACTTTTTTTTGTTTAGATGAAAAACTATCAAACGCAAACTATTCGTTTTTAAAAGAAGTACAAGCCTTAACTTATTGTTTTTATTTGTTTAATTAAACCTTGAATTATTATTAACCATATTTATTTAATGCTTGAATATTGAAATTTTAATTTTCTTTAATTTTCAAACATAATACTTGATTTTATATATAGTGTATACAAATTAGACACTCGAATTAGCGTATAGAAACTATGTCAGAAAGATTAAAGACTTCTACTAAATTATTAATCTACTAAAATATTAATCAAATTTTTCATAAAAATGTTTATTAATTTATAGTACAAATTATGAGATTTCACTTAATATTTTTTTACTCATATCGACCAGTTTCCTACATTCATTAGGAAGCACAGAACTTCTTTTATTTGATTACTTCTTAGTAGTGTAATAATTTTCAAAAAAAATGTATACATAAAATATACTAAATTATGTTGCAATTCATAGCAACGTATAATTAAAAATATATTTTCAATATTTCAATAAAGACGAGGCTTGATTCAATATCGTGAAATTTTACATGTTTGTATGTAAAATTTTACTCAACTAATAAAGTATAGTTTAATTAATCCTTGTGGCTAATAAATCGTCTTTTGATAAAAATTAATCATTAATTAATTTCATTTAACATCTCACAAATTAATACAAGTATATCAAGTTATTTCTTTATAAATTAAACAATTAAATTTTTCATGATAAGAAAATATTAAAAAAATATATATAAAATTAAAAAAAAAACAGATAAAAGTTAAATCTTATTATTATAGGCTATTCAAAAAATGAATAATCAAAATTCAATAATTATAAATTCATATGAAAATAAGAAATTAAATTGACGTAGTACTAATAGCTTGAGCTTGAAATTGCATTATCAAGTCTTAATATAGGAACTATTAAAGATGGAAATAAAAAATATTTAGTGAGGCTTCTCTTCAAATGATATTGGATCACTTTTGAGGTGGATTGGGATGATCGCAGGTTTCCCTTGAGTGTAAAGATAACGGCAAGTATGGCTCCCATCTCGGAACTCTTGCTTTACTACGTACGTCTGGACGGCGAGGTAGTGACTGCGAGTCAGGGTATCCAAATTGGCCAGTGTTTTGAGAACAAAGTGAGGATGGCGTGGAACATGGACAGTCAAAGTCCCGGTTCGCTAGCTCATTTGCAGTTAGAAGCAGCCCCCCGATCTCTTTGTGGTCTCTCCGCTGTGGATAAGTCCACGAAATTCCTCGGGACAGGCCAAGCCGCTCTCTCGGAGTCCAATAAACTCAATCCCGAGAACGCTTTCGCTAGGCTCGTACCTTTTCACCTACCACCCGAGGCTCTCCCCGTTCAGAGTACCTGGACTCATTGCGATAGTTAGTTTTATTATTATTTTGTTCTGCTTATTATTAGTTACGGAGTTATTTTTAAAAAGTTGCTTTAAGAAACCAATATTTTCAAAGAATTTCAAAGTCCGGAGGAGGGTATCGAGAGAATCGAGGAACCTGAGGAAGAGATGGATCATTTACCAGGACCCGAGGCTTCTGCGATGCGCAACAAACGTCACTCAGTTACCTATAATGCTTGTGCCAATTACGTTGATGCTATCCAAGCTTTCGATGTAGGTTGATTGGGACTGAAAAAGATCAAATTCGAAATTACCGACACTAACTTATATCGATCTTTTATTGTTTTCAGGACTTTGGTACTATTGTAATGAGTGATCTGACACTGGAGTCTCGTCCATGTCCACCTTGGCGCTCGAGCTTCGGTCGACATTCTCTGAGTCCGATCTCCCAGGAGGACATCGATGAGCCAGGTAAGAGATAGAAGCTTCACTGTTTCACCGGCCATACTCGTTACTTTCATCACTCTCATGAGCACCCACTTCTTCTCGCAGACAGAATGCTCAAGGCCGTGAAGGCCATGCCCTTAGCTTTCCAGTTCACCGCACCTGGAGGTACCGTTGCTGAGAGCTCCGCAATCGGTCAGGACGTGAGCTACATAGATCCAGCCATGCTTGAACTACAAACTACTAACGTCGTTAGGTCTTATTTTCCGGAGACGTGGATATGGGAGCTCGTATCAATCGGGTAGGTTTCGCTACCTTCCCTCATTTCGCTTCTCTTGCAAACGTGTGACTTTTGGCGACTAACATTGGATATTCCTAGACAGAGAGGACGGCAGAGCTAACCTCGAGCGCCAACTACCACACGCAGTGACAGAGTGGGTGACCGGAGCCGTTTGTCTCTCAACTGGGCACGGACTTGGTATTGCACCTCCGGCCAAACTTACAGCCTTTCAACCATTTTTTCTTGATTTTGGCTTGCCCCTGAGTATCAAGCGCGGCGAGCAACTGCATCTCAAAGTTTTACTCTTCAGCTACGTGGATCATAGCTTGCCAGTATTATTGCGACTGCAAGCGCCGGATGGCCTCGAGCTTGATCTCGATCGCTCGCCAGAAATTCAACTTTGTCTCGGGCCTAAGGATAGTGCTGTGCATGAATATCCGTTACTGCCGAGGCGTCTCGGCCAGCTGAACATCAGTGTTATTGCAGAACTTAACCCGGGCGCGGAAGACTGCGGTCCTCAAACGCTTCTCTACACAAGGCAAGTTTAAATTCATAAATATTTTTAAACTCTGCCTCATCCAATTAAAAGAAAAATCTTTCATTCCCTTATCTCCGGACACAGGGACGAAGTTTTAAAGCCAATACTGGTAAAGGCTGAGGGCTTTCCGATCGAGATTAGCAGGTCGGCCTTCTTATGCCCGATGGACTTTGGTGAGGACTCCTCCCTGGTCTGGGAGCTCGAATTACCGAACGCTGAGTCTGAAGAAGAACAGCTCGTTGAAGGCAGTATCAGGGCACATGTGTCCCTCATCGGTGATGTTCTGGGTCCAGCGATCGACAATTTGGACCGGCTCGTTCGATTGCCAATGGGCTGTGGTGAACAAAATATGATACTCTTCGTACCCAACATCCATGCAATTGCTTACCTTGATGCAATCAATCGCCACACTGCCTCTGAGATGAGAACAAGGGCTCTTAAAAATATGCAGAAAGGTTGATACTACTAACTTTGCTCTCTCTCTCTCTCTCTCTCTCTCTTATCTTTATCCTTGCTTTTCTCATTTTTCCTCTTTGTTAAAGAAGAGATAAATTATATAATTTTAATGAATAAATATATAATAAATTATATAAAATTAATTGCAATAATACAGTTAAAAAATGATGTTGCACTAATGCGTAAATAACTTATTTACAAGATGAATGATCTAAACAAAATGTTTGTAAAATAAAACGCTTTCAATTAAAAAATTATTTAATTAAATAAAATGTTGATAAATATTTTACTATGTACTTACTGTAGATGTGATCAAATTTTTAAATAAAAATATTTTACATTTGTACACATATCATGTACATAAGTACATTATGGAAGTTAAATTTTGCACATTTTGTAGATTATAGGATTTTTTTTATAATACTTTTATTATTTTAAAATAAAATTATTTTATTACTAATACGCACGTATACAATATATTCATATCCACTTGAAAAATAAATGTATATTCATATAAAATTAAAAAATTCTTATACTTATTATTAATTCAAAGTTTAAAAAGAAACGTCTTAACGAGTACATTAGATGTTTTCAATTTCAAAAATTATTGTTGAATATTGATTATTGAATAATAACATTGGAATATGTAATGTAATAAAATAATGAAGGGAAAAGTATATTTAAGAAAAATAATAGATTAGGGAAATCAATGAGCTGAAAAGTTTTATGAGGGAATGCGCACAGGCTACGAAAGAGAACTGAACTATCGACATCCAGACGGCTCGTACTCGGCTTTCGGAGTGGCAGACGAGACCGGAAGTGGTTCCATGTGGCTCACTGCCTTTGTCGTGAAATCTTTCGCTCAAGCTCGGTCGATGATCCAAATCGATGAACGCGACCTGAAACTTTCGGTGAAGTGGATTGTGCGGCGGCAATTGGAAAATGGCTGCTTTCCCGTAATCGGACAGGTTTTCCACAAGGACATGAAGGTAGGAGTAACTTCAACATCGACCGAATAAATCTGAGTTTAACTCTTTATACAGGGCGGCTTACGCGAGGAAGATGGCTCATCCTCAGCGTTAACAGCCTATGTACTCGTGGCCCTCCTAGAATCCGGTGTTCCATTAAGCGCCGCCCTTGTCAACAACGCTCTCTACTGTCTAGAGAAAGCCAGCGCCTCGGATCAGCTGGCCGATAGTCCCTATGCAGGCGCCCTTACGACTTACGCTCTTGCGCTTCTCGAGCACCCGCGAGCCAACGAAAGTTTACGCAGTCTTTTGAACCGCGCCTCGCGTCTCAATGTAAGTCTTCAAAACTTGGGATCTTCGCGGGATATTTTATTAATGGATTATAATTGTCGAAAGGATGCGATCTGGTGGGAAGATCGCAGTAGGCCAGATTCACTTGCCCTCAATATTGAGACGACGGCCTATGCGGTGTTGTCGCTGGTGAAGCTCGGTGGTGAAGCAAACATAATGGAAGCCCTCCGAGCCGTCCGCTGGATGTCCAAGAAGCGCAATGCCCAAGGCGGTTTCAGTTCGACCCAAGATACAGTCGTCGGATTAGAAGCACTGGCCAAGTACGCACTCGCAGTTGTCAATGCAACGACAACAAATCTCTTTGTTCTCGTGACAGCGACGGACTTTGATCGCGTGCTCAACATTGGCGAAGATAATCGCACCTTGCTGAGTCGCTTTGAGCTTCCAAGTTTGCCTACCACCCTCGAGCTCTTTGCTGGTGGCGTAGGCTGCCTTTTGGTGCAGGTGACTCTCTTCGACCCTGAACTTCAATAGTACCCTTGCCCACCCAATCCTAAACTTAATCCAAATAATGCCCTTAAACTAACGCTTGACTGGCTAATTGTACGCAGAGCAACCTTAGGTACAATAAAGTAAAGGCCTCGGGATCGGAGGCATTCGACCTCTTAACGAGTTCGGAGAGCATTTCGACACAAGAGCTGGAAACACTTAATGATACCTGTTCAGTACAGCGATTGAATATCTGTGCTCGTTACAAACTGGCAGACGAAGAGAGCAACATGGCCGTGCTGGAAATCGGCATGATCAGCGGTTTCGTTCCAGATCGAATATCTTTGCACAACTTGTTGTATGAACCCTCGACCGGTGAGCCACGATCTTTAGAATTTGTTTTTTTTTTTTTTTCATTCTCTAATCAAATGAGAGTGACTTGTCAAAGTCCGGAAATCCTCTTTCATATTCACGGAATGCTCAGCAGGCTTTCTTTCATGCTCTTACGAATCAAATATGCACTTTCATTTGAATTAGACTTTATTAGTTGTTTCTCCTTCCCATTTTCTATCTCCCTGCTTAATTCTACTCTAATGCTTAACAGTATTTCAAAATATTTTTGAAATATGTTTCAATATAATCATATTATTTATTTTTCGACGAATTATTTTAATGGTCTATGCAAAATCAAACCTAATACAATATAAAATAAGGCTACATTTAATTGTATTTCTATATTTGTATTACTGCAAATATAAAGAAAATATATATTTCATACATTTTTTTTTTGTAGTCCAGAAAACAATAAAATGCATCATTTATATAGATTTTCTTCTACATTAATCATTTTTCGTTTTACATATTTACATTAATGTGTAATTGAAATTTAGGTGTGAAACGATTTGAAGAAAATGATGACACGGTAGCCATTTATTTTGACAAACTTACCACGCAAAAGACATGTATTTCTTTCCAGGCAAATCGTGAAAATATCGTTGATAACATCGAACCTGGATATATTAAACTTTATGATTATTATCAACAAGAACTTACAGTTTCCACGGTATGTAATTAACATTTTTATTAAAATTATTATTTATGAATTGTAACGCGATCAGTTATATTTTTATATTTATAGAAGTAAGGCAGAATAGAATCTATTTTTATAATTATATTTTATTGGCAGAGTTATACATTCATGAACGTATGTGATTATAAGAACGAAAAATCTGATATTAATGGATTGTTGACAAAAAAAATGCAACAGAAAGACAATCGTCAGCCGAACGATCGGATATCTATTGATGAAAACCCACCACAAATTGAGAATATAACAAGAGAAAAAAAAATTGATTCCTCCATTTTTAAACAACTGTCAATAAATATTACTGTAGAACCTACCATTATAGATTGTAAGTCTCTTTTCTTTTACTCAATAATTCAATTTAATGACCTAATTGTCAACTGGATCATTGAATAGAAGATCAAAATATTATAATAATTGTAATAATGATATTAGAATAATTCAAATAATTAGAATAATAATATCCGGACAATTGCGAACAAATTTTTTTGTTATTTTCAAATTAATAGATTATAAAAAAAAAATTTTGTTAAATTATTTATTTTTATTTTTTCATTTTAATTATGTAAATGATGTTACTTAATATATTATCTCTTGTAGTAGTTTTATACTAAATATACTAAATATCTCATAATAATTACATATGTATATAGTTTAAACTTTTGAAATTTATATAATAATTTTATAAAGAATATATTTTTGATTATTTTTAATCCAGATAGAAAATAATTACCAAAATTTTCGTTTAATACATACAAAGTGTTATCATTCACAATTTAATAATAATTATGAAAACACCGGTAGCTTTTAAACAACAGATAAGTTAGATTCAATAGTTAATGAAATATATTATCATATTAATAAAAATGTGATATAAATTTTACAACAAAACATACGAAAAAATTATAATATATTTTAAAAATCTACACTTAATATAATACATTTCTTTAAGAATTAAACAACCATTAATAATCAAAATATGTATATTTTTAAATAAACTTGTTACTTTTTAATTTTGATAATTTTTATTCTAAAGATAATTAAAAATTCAGTAAATGAAATATATATACATATGTGTGTGTGTGTGTGTGTGTGTGTGTGTATGTGTGTGTGCGTGCGTGCGTGCATAAATTGATATACGCAACCAATTTTTGCACTATTATAAAATTGACGTCTTTCTGAAGTAAAGAAAAATTGTTCAAAAATTAAAAAGTTACAAAAATATATTTACTTAATTGCAATTGTCCTAGATATAGAGGAAAGTAGCGGCGAATCGGAAAGTAAACTTATCTTGCCCGAAACGATTTTACCAAATTTTGATGTGCTTGAATCAACATTTGTGAACATCGACCACGAACTTGAAACTCCAAATGGAATCGAAGGTCCTGTTCCAGCCTACATCGATATATCTTCTCCGACAACTGAAATAAATGACAAATCCCTATCACATATCATATCAAGTATTAATAATTTTTCAATAACACAGGTACATCTTTCAGTTATTGCAGTAGATACGTATTTTTGTATCTTATTGATTGAAATTTTTATTTTTTCAAGCTTGTTTGATTATATTGCAGTTACATACGATCTTATCAAAGCGATTATAAAAATTGAATTGTCAAATTTATAGCACCGTTGAATAACATCACTGTGCAAATGATGTTTTAACTGATTTAAAATTGATTTTATCTTTTCCTTATCTTCCTTTAAAATACTTTAAAATATCTCGTCAAAAAGATTACGAAGCCATTTGTAGACAGCATCAGTACTATCGTAGAACTTCAATAATTCATTATGCCCGTCTAATTAATGCGCATTTCTTTTTTTTTGTTCTTTGTTTTTTGTTTTTTGTTTTGTTTATATATAAATATATATATATATATATATATATATTGTTGTATAGCTATTATATTTATAATATAACAAAGACAATGAGTAAAATAAAAAGTGTTCTATATGTTTATATTGTGTAGGATGTACCGGATGAAGCAAAGAGTCAGTCGAGGTGCCCAAGATGCAAGGAAGAACTGCCATTCGACATTAAAGAGCTCTTCTGCTCTTCGAAAAGTGCTGTCAAGGCAGTTATTAGGCAGTCGCGAAAGGCTCGCTTAATTTTAGATTTAAGCTCATCTAATGAGGCAAGAAGACTTCGCTCTACAATTGAACTGAACATCAGACCCGAATGCTCGTGTGTACTGCTCGACAGACGTAAGTTATAAAAGCCGTCTACAGTTAAATATCAATTTATAATAATATTCATTTACAAAAATAAAATGAGCACAGAAAATTTATTGAAAGCGTTTTTTTTTTTGCAGCGGGAATTATGGTCTTATTGCTGAGCTCCGACGAGAATCGCGATTTCTCGAAAACAGTCTATAAGGCTAAAGCATATCTGGACAACAGTAACTCCTTGTTTTTGCTTATGCCTGTTGTTGGAACCCCACGTGAGATTAAGGAAGCTCGACTCTCATGTCCAATAACATTAAAGACGTAAAAATTATCTAAGAAAGAGACTGGCACTATAGTAACATTTATATCGTTAATTGATTATCAACCCGAATTATGGAGCACAATCATTTGTAACCACCATTTTTATTTATACACTTTTAAACTGTTAATTTTTCTACATCTCTATCATCAACTTCTAAAGAGCAATCAACTGACAAGTATCTGCTAATGCCGAATAGCATATAGTAAATAATTCATAAACCTATGAACATTTTATATTCTTATTGTGTATATTAATTATTTTAACAATTAAACTTAATGATTATATGACTGCTGTTTATTGGGTTGATATTTTAGCAGACAAAATAAGTAATGCAATTTTTTGTAACAATGTTATTAACAAATGAAAAAATTAAAAATAATAAAAAAACATATAATCACAATAAAATCTGATCTGAATGTGAAAAACAAAAACAAAAATTTACTCAGATATTTTTTTATTTCTTATTTGTTAACCTTGCATATTTTTTTTTTTTTTTTGCCGATATACAAGTAATTAATATTACAAATTAACAACATTCTTTAGACAGTAGCTACATTAAATATAGTTTATTTTCTTACAGCAGATTCACGCGTCAAGCGTCGCGATGGCACTCCATCGTCCAGCGAATCAGCGATTACTTCTAAAACATTTTTCTTTATTTTAATAGCAGCAGTTATCATTAACATACTTTATATTTTAATTTATTTATTATTTATCATTTAATTATTTTTATTTATCCTATTTAATTGGCAGTTTTAATTAAATTTCAATCGCCGATCCGCAAGACGCTGTACGGCCTTTTAATAATCTCTTTTGCACTTTATTATAAACCTGCTCATATAATTCGAACATCGTAATTACGAACTGCTAATCAGAATAATCGCAACAGGAAGAAACTGGCACGTCCCAAACATTTAAGGGAGTGCACTTGAAAAAATATAAAATAGGAGCTGCTATTGTAGCGATTAATATTTTCTTGGTAATATTTTTGAAATTTTATGAGTATTGAAAAAACAATTGCACAGTGACTATTGAATTTATTTGTGATATTTATTGTTTCAACGGGGAAACATTATGCGTGTAACTTGTTGACTGCATTTTGATATTTACAATAGTTCTTTTAAATTAGCAACTAATTATTTAAACAATCATTTCATTTTATATCTTCTACGTATATTTTGTTTTACTTCTAAATATAAAATTAATCTTAAAACACGAGTTGTGTCTAATAAAATATTTGTATATTTTTCACAAAATCTTTTATATTAAGCCACTGATTCGATATTTATCAATAAACATAATTTCAAAAATTTGATGAAAATAATTACAATTATTTATATGTGTATATACGAATTCACGCGAAAAAATTGGAATTTCTAGTAGAAATTAATTTTAGGAGGCATCATTTTGATAACTCACTGAAATTATACAAAAATAAGGGATATTCGCAAAATATTTATGAGCCTATACATGTGTCAAATATGTCCCTGTTTCTACGTATTTTTTTTTTCTTTCTTTAGCTTCGGTGCGCTGATAATACATAACGACAAAATAGAAATTTTCGTACATTTTCAGATGTATTCCAGTGCAACTGATCAGACCATAATATCAAAATCTATATATTATAATATAATATATTTAAACAATGTAATGGACTAAATGAACTAAAATTATAATATCGTAATTTATGGTAAGAAGTTAAAGTGGTCTAGATTCCCGGAGATGGCCTTGTCTTAGAGTTCACTAATCTTGTACTTTCTACCACAATGTGTTATGAACTTGCGCACACTCTACTTTCGTCGCTCCCGTCATTAATCCTCCCTAAGCATGCCTGCTCCCGTATTGAAGACAACATGTCCATGTAAGGGACACTGTTCGAGGAAAGGATGTTTCGGGTATTACTCGTGACCAAAAAAACAAAAGCATGTCACCGAGCTGACTTTAGCTTATAATTTAGCCGAACACGATTTAATAGGAGTAAATCCTACAATGTTGATAATAATTATACTCGATTCAATTTGTACTTTGCATAATACTTAAATTTGATATGCTCATCAGTTCAATATCATATCCTGCTTTAGAATTTTCAAATACATATGAAATAATTATTTTTCTTATAATTCAAAACCCATCTTTGCGTTTATATAAAATCTATAAACTAAAAATTATTTGGTTAATATCACGCCCCCATGCACGAAATATATTATCGCACGAGGTGACCCTGGCTAAAATCCTTACATCCTTCGAACAGTATTATTTCGTAATTTCGCATTACTCAAAGGATAATGTATACCAGGGATACACAAATAAAAAAAAAATGTAAATAATCGTAAGATTAATACTGGGACGCTTAAGCATTCGAGTCTACAATTTAGAGAAGAAAAAATTCATTTTACTCGCTAAAATCGTTGATTCGTACGCACTCAGTCTTTCGTTTCAAATATATTGATTGAAAAAGAAAAACATGAATGTTTTAGAAATATTAATAATAAAAATGAATATTAAGAAAGTAAAAAATGAAGGTACGTGTAAATCCTGTTATAAACAGGTTAGCGATCGAGGAATGCTCCGTTGTTATAATTCAACTAGACGCATATTCCCCTCGCATAGATATGGACGTTTTTATCTCTCTTGTAGAGTAGATATTTAATTTCAAAATATTATTTTATTGAAGTAGATCGAACGCAGTATTAATTATTTGCAGAAAAAATGATAATGCCTTTTCAATATATTTTGCATAAATTCTTTATGTCATAGTTGTCAATGTTTACTCAAAGCAATAATAATATATTTATTAAATCATAACTTTTTGACCTAATCTTAATATCATAATACATGTAAAATTTCATTGGAAAATACAAAAATTAAAAAGTATTTATTTTTATTATTTTACTTTATTTTATTGGATCACTTTAATACCTCATACTATATAATAGAATCAAAAATAAATCATCAACTCCTGTTATTTATAAATAGTTCTTATTATATAAAAATTAAATATCCATATAAAATTTTTAATAATTAAAAAACTGTGCATTTGTCGAGATTTTTCTAGTCAGGAAAAAATACAATTTTGTAGAAGCGAGGCATTATCATTGTGCTTATAAGCTGAATTGATCATAATGATCGCATCAAACAATTTGTTTAATATGAACCGTCATCGGCATTTATTAGTAGATCTTAGGCGCCGATCTGTCATTGATTGGACCGGCGGTTTTGCGCAGCGAAGTACCCCTACGAATTTGATCCATAAGAGAATCTCTCACTTGTAATGGATCTAAAATAGGTACTCGATTAGCCATAATACGTCTAACACTAGCCGATCTAATGCTTGCGCCACCTTGACTAATAACACGTTGCTGCTGAGCTAATCTAGCATTAAGAGTTTCAAGAAACTCATTGGATGTCTTGGAATTTCGATTATGTTGTTGTTGTTGTTGTTGTTGTTGTTGTTGTTGTTGTTGCTGTTGTTGCTGCTGCTGCTGATGATGATGATGTTGTTGTTGCTGATGTTGCTGGTGTTGGTGTTGATGATGGTATTGTTGCTGCTGTGGCTGATGGTCTATAAAGTTTTTCCTTATTGGTTTAGGGCTGTTACCCGCTGAAGCTCCCATACTAACATTACAGCTTGAAGAGCCCAATGTTACACTATTAGTAAGTTTGGCACTAAGTACTGCCATGAAACTCTGAGCAACTCCGCCTGGTCCTTGACTTCCATAACCATCAATTGTTCCAATATTCGAGTGCCGATCTTGAGATCCACTACTACCGCCATTGCCACCACTATTTCATTTAATAATTTTTAAATATAATATATGAGATACTCATATTTTTATGATTTTAATAACCTTTATATATTTTAAAACACTAATGATCTAGCCCAAGTTATTTCTTATTAATATTTCTTGTGAAAAATTTAAGAATTTATAAATTAATAATATATTTAAAAAATATGATTTGACAAAATTATTTAAAAAAATACCTGATAGCCATACTAGCGCGCTCCATTGCACAACAAGCTATTTGCATAACTGTCGAAGCAGCGCTACTGCTAGGTCGAGTTAAACTTTTCTCATCACCCGAAGTCGACGTCCGAGCATGTGCTTGGCCCTGGGCTTGGGCTTGGGCTTGCGCTTGTGCTTGAGCTTGTGCCGCAATTTTACGTCTTAAGAGCGACGGACTAGCTGGTGTATGCCGTAATTCTGTTAAGGTTCTTACTGTTTCCGAAACGGACATCGATCTAAAGAAAAAAATATAGAAAGTAACGAAAACTTATCACAAAGTTACGTTACTATCAGCACTTCGAATAAAATTTATTTTATGTTTTTTTGCTTTAATACAAGCTATATATCTTGATGTTATAATAATATTGATGTCGTAAAAAAAAATAACTGAATCCTAATACTCTTTTTCCATGATGCAATTCTCGAAAATATCTGTTTTATGCATTATAAAAACATTGTATTTTAAAAATAATAATGATATGGCTATGGCTAATGTTTCTTTAACAAATATTGTCAATTTATATTTATATAGAGACAGAAACTTTTTTATAACAATAATATTGCTTATATTAATATTAACATTGATATTTATTTAAATTTTAAAAAAGTATTTTAATTGTAAAAAACGAAATTCAAAATGAATATTATCTGTATATTGATGTTATTAAAATAAAATTATAAATTCTTAAATAACAGTGTAATAAAAAATACATTATTTTACAATATACCGTCGTTGAGTAGCAGGGCTGCCAGCAGCACTTGGTGGAGACGATCCTTCTAATAAGAAAGCTGGAGGAGGCGGAAGATTTTCTAAATCTTCATTTTGGCTGCCTCCACGCTCATCATAATTTTCAGTAATGATTGCCGAAGCTCGACGTGTAGGCGGCATTGGCTTATTAGTTTGAAGCAACGAACCTCTACGTTGTACAATAGAATTTGCACTAACTCGCTCACTGATACATTCTGTATTTGATTCTGTTACAGCACTCTTATTCTTTATTGTTTCTGAAGTCTATCAATAATAACATTAACATCGTTATAAATTAGTTTATCGTTATAATTATAATACTTTTAATAAACAAAAAATTCGACCTTCCATTAATGATCACTAAAAAATGTACACTCGAAGTATTCTATACCTTTGGCTCTAAAGTTTTTTCAATCGTTGCAGCAATGCTGGTCGTTGCTGGCAGTGGAGGTGGTGGAGGAAGCATCTCTTGAGCTCGACTAGCCGCTAAACTTGCTAATTCATGCATATTCACATACATTGGTTGTTGAAATAATAACGGCTGTTGCGATACCAAATCTATAACACATTTGTTAAATAATAAATCTGTTTTTATTAAATATTTAAAAAATTAAAATTGCAACAATTTAGTTCTATCAACATTATGTAACTTAATAATTTTATTATACAAAAGGCCGTCGATATATTTATTTTAAGGGCATTTTCGGCAAACTTATCAAAATTCTTTTACTAATATTATATACAAAGCAATACGATATAATATATACGCACGAGCACACACGCGCGCACTCACGCACACACACGCGCTCACGCACAGAGAGACACACGCATATATTTGTAAATAAAAAATATACTTGAAATAAAAGGTATGATTCTCTTTGTAATAAGTTAAAAAAATATAATTAAGTGACTTAAACATATTTTGTGCTTAAAATAGTTATATATATAATACATGTTCAACAAGGTGTATACTCATAATAAAATATAGTAATGGAAATGTAGATTAAATAATAAAATATTCAAATTATAAAAAATAAAAGTAATTAATTTTAAAAATTTTAATAACTACAATACCATAAGCATAATGAATATTACATAAAGATAAAAATGTAAACATTAACTTTTTAAGAGTGAAAATTGTATGAGAAATAAAGTAAAACGTGCAATTTTAGAAAATGCTGTAACCTTTTTAAATTAACTAAATACATTTGATACTCGTACTGTATAAACCAAATCTATAAGTCAAAATATTTTATTTTTCAATAACAGTAAAAATGATTCTTCGAGTGTACAATATTCTCGTCGAGTGTACAACTTATAAAAAAACTTTTAATTTATAATTTTTATATATTTTAATTTTGTATTAAAAAATAATTTAATAAAAAACAGAATTTTTTACCCTTACTAAGATGAGCAGGTATAGGTATTTTAATTTTTCCTTTGGGACTGTCTGGGCCATATTGTTGATTGGAAGTTTCTGCCGAATCAATTCTAGTTGGAACCAAAGGTCTTTCTAAACTAGAACACCTATTTGGAATAGGTGGTCTTTCACGACCTATACTTCCACTGCTGTTTTTTCTTTGTTGCGATCTCGTTACATTTTTTTGATTATTAACAACAGAAATAGAAACTGGAGAAGCAGGTTGACTATGAGAAGAGCTACTTTGATCTGGTGCTTGAAATGTATAAACCGTAAGGGCTGGTCTTTGATGTCCTTTCTCATAAGCTAATAAATAAAATATGTCATTTTAAAAAGCTATTGATTTTCAGAAAGATTAAAAGTTAAATAGATAAATTTGAACTCGTGATATATTAAATATATATATATATATATATTTATATACCTGAAGAAATCGTATGAGGTCTTTCGTTTGTGGAACATTGATCCTTTGAATCAAACTGAGTATTTGCAGTTTCTTGCTGAAGATCAGGACAAGTCAATGTAGTATCTGACTTTGGATTTCGCTCATTCTGCAATAATGTACAGGATACCTAAAAACAATAACCAACTATGAAATAGAGTTAAATATGTCAACTCGGCAAATGTTTTATTAAAAATATTTCCTTAATAATTTTATTTAAAGAAAATATATTAGATGTCTAATAATAATTTACTGGGCTTGGTTGAATTCATGTGCATAAAAATCAATTATCTACACTGCCAATGTATCATTACTATAATGAAAAATGATTACATTAAAAACAGATATTGTTAAATTGTAAATAAAAATTGAGGAAGAATTATTTTACTTGGATAGTAAAAATGAAGATTTTTAAAAACGCTAGGGATAATGTGCATGCAAATAAGAAATGAAAATAAAAGAGTAATGCTACATTGTACCTGTTTACGGTGCATAGGTTGAGAATAGAGGGTTTCCTGAAGAGAAGTGAATCCAGAATCGCGAGAGCCACTGTTGATTGAACGACGGTAACGCAGAGTCACCATACCGTTGAAAGGCTACAAAGAGTAGATACAACATTGACCACTACATTAAAAATGATGCTAAGCAGTTGTGTTGTGCACCACCACCTGTTTCAATTGATCTGTTTTTAGTCCATCTTTCCAACTATCACTGCTGAGACGATGAACAAACGGCTATGAAAAAATGGAGCAACTACCAAAGCCGTATATCAACATGCTTTACATCATGTCCAACTAACATCTAACAACAACAACTAACGTACCTCATGTCCCCAGAAAACTATTGCAGTAACTTATATAATTGCGTGTTAAATATCGATCATTATAAATGGAAGATATTATGCTCAATAATAAGTCACGACAATCATTAACTGGTAGTGCGATCATTTTAAGCTTTTATAAATTATAGTTTATTACAAGCCTTACCTGATGTGAAATTGATCGATGCCAAGCTGAGGATGGATGTCCGGCTGAAGGACTCGGGTGACTTTTACATGAGCCACTGCTGCTGCTTGTCAATGAACTAATTGAGCACACAGAACTTTTCCGAGATCCAAGAGACAGTGATGGACTTGAGGGTGGAGAAGCCAAAGACCAATGAGCAGGATCACGACTTTTCACATCCATTATCACCTGCTCTGAAGCTGGTGGTAGGTAATGAGGTGATGCTGCATGCTTTTGCAATTGCTCTGCAACCTCTTCTAGATGGGTAAGTTCCATTAGCATTGCAATTTCTTCATCCTAATGAAAAGTTTTGTACAAATAATACAAAATATAAAATTATGTTTTTGTAATTTGAATTAATTTAGAAGAAACTTTCTTATTCTATTAAAACAATTTATTATTTTAAAATAGATTATTTTATAAAACTATTTTTATAAAATAAGTAGTTTTATCATATTGAATTTATACCATTTTATCAGTGAAAAACACTTACAAGTACAGGCTTTAGAAATCTGGCAAATTGACAAAACCTCCCTCTCTCTTCTAGCAAAGCTGCTCTAACTGCTTTCCTTTCTGTTTCTTCCAATGTTTGGCGTTTCTCTTGAACAACAGCAGCAGATGACTCAAGCAGTTTTCCTAATTCAACGTCACTGGTAAGATTAGATGAGCTACCTTGAATGATACCATGTGGCAATGTGCCATAAATCTGCTGTTGTTGTAAACATTTGCGAGCTTTCTTTTTCTGTAATCTCAATGTATCACTGGATTTTTTTTTCAACTCTGTCCTAGCTTTTTTGTATTCTAAAAATAATATTCATTTTAATCATAAATATTTTTAAAATGCACATTATTATTAATAAAAATTATTATAATTAGTAGAACCTTTAGCATGCTCTTTGTCAAGGTACACCAACGACTTCTTCCAGTCTTCTAATTTTTCTTGAAGAGGTAATACTAAACAGTCCATTATAGCACTAAAGATCATATATAAAAAATTTTTATAAATATTTATTATATTGAAACAGTACATTGTTATTATATTTTTAAATATTTATTTAAAATTACCTAGTAAATGATTTAACTCTTGTTTCAACAGCTTTATGTCGAAGACAAATTCTTGTAAGGGCTGTTCCAATTTCTCTAGTTGCTCCTAAAAACAGCCATTGTATTAAAATCTCGATACATCTTTGTTTAAACGAACTTTAATAACGATATGAAAAATAATAAAGACAACCTTATATATTATATGATTAAATTCTATGAACGAGCTTAGCATAGATTATTATTATAAGCTACAAAATTTAATCTTTAATTAAATGAATTTATTTAGTAAAGAAAACGCTTAAGATACACGATTGATCCTTAGGTAAATTTATATATGTATATATTCAAAACAATAATTATTTCATGAAATACTGTATAATAGTTTATAAAATAAAGCTAAAAATTTAAGTGAATCAACTACTAAATTAAATAATAGATTAATCTATATTCTATACGATTGTAAATATTTTTAATAATTTACAATCGATGCATAAACATTGATTAATAAACAAAAGTATAAATTACTCAATAATCCATTTTGTTCAATTATAATAATCAATTATAGGTAGGATTTTTCTTTTTTTTAATGATTTTTAAAATGATATATATTGAATATTTCAAAAAGAGAGTGTATTATAAACTAGATTTTTATTTGTTCTGTATTAAAAAAAGACAACCTCTTGCATTCGTCGCAGCATCTGCAATTCTCTGAAAAGCTTCAAGGTATGTGGAAATGGCCAAAATTGCAGCTCTAAATAAAAAAAATTTTTTAATTACAAAAGTAACTAAATAAACAAATAAGATATCAGAAGTTAACTAACTTTAAACAAGTATGTAATTTTGTTGCCTTCGAAATGAGGTCCTCCCATAAAGGTGCTCCATTCTGTAATACAACAATGTACCGGGTGATTTAATGGATTTTTAATAAAGGTGAAAAAGGCAAACGAAAGATAATCGAAGGCCATATCATCGTGATTAAACAGATAAGAATAGGACTAAAATAAGAGAACGATGAAGGGACAATTGAATGAAAGATAAAGAAGGTACAAGAACGAAAGGGAGTTGTGAAGCGCGCGCTCTACGGAAAAAGTTGTGCCAATTGTCTAAAATTACAACTTGTAAATGAAAAAAGAAAATAGGTAGTTGCGGAACGCATGTCAAAGAACAAAGAGAATAAAATATAGCAAATCAAAAAGTGAAACGAGAGATTGTTGAAAGCAATGAGACGAAACAAAAGAAGGAAACAAAAATTAAATGGAGGGAGGGGAGGGGGATGAGGATGAGAAGAAAATTCACCTTCATGTCCTGGATAATCTGCTGAAAGAGACAGCCCAGGGCACTACAGTCCCTTTCGACGCTCGCGTCCATGTTTGACTCGTTCCTACGGAACGTCTCGGGTTGTTAGAATGGAAGTACGTTGCGACTTCCAGCGAATGCCGACAGCAACGACGAAACGTTCTCCCGTCGTATCCCGTCAACCTAACGTTCAAACGGACAAGCGTACAAGCTAACTTAATGGATACAGATGTTAGGGAGGGGGATGGAAGAGGATAGCGCTTCCTTCCGCAGCTCCGGATTCCTATTTCAGGCGCTCCTTCCCGCTCTCTTTTTTCTCTTTTTTCCCACGTCGCATAAAGCGCGTGTCGGTACTATGTAATATCGGCGTAGCACAATCTTCGGCAGCAGCCGTGACTCCAAGCCAACCTTCCCCACGCGTCCCTCTCCCTCTCACTCACTCACTCACTCACTCTCCCTCTCTCGCTTTCGTGTAGACCATATAGCGAGCGAAGCTGCGGTGCAGTCGGCTCTTAGCCGATTTAACGCGACCCTACGCGACTATACGCGAACTTACATTTATATGCGTATAAACACTAACTCGTTCTGTCCCTCTCGCTCAGCCACCGAAGGGCGGCTCGTACCAGCTATACACGCGGAGTGGAGTTTCCAATCTCGCCAGTTTCGCCTTCGTTCGAGGAGAGTATGTATTGAATCGCGGCGGCGCATAATATAAACTTTTGTTCCTTTCCGTTCCTATTCCGGCCTACCGAGACCAAAAATGCATCATCGAGGCACTGGCTTTCTTTCGCACTCGGATTTTTACGGCTACACCCTACGATACGTGACTAAGGACAATGGACCTGTCACACCACTGGACTCCACGACAGCTCCATGAAATACTAGCAACGACCGACTAGCATGATACATTGCTATTGGTATAATTAAAAATTCGAATACCGAATAGCTGTAATCGATGAAACGCTCTAGCTGTGCTCCCCTTTGCCACAATACCCACCCTCAGGCACATGCTCCATTGCTCCTTTCATCTTTTAGCAGCCGCACTTGACATGTCGACAAGTCGTGCTTAAGTTCGAGTACGCAGACACAATTTTCTACGCTATCCTCCATTGACTTCGATTATCGTTACTCTATTATTGTCACATGCCTATAAATATTTATTTTTCTGTTTCGCTACATATAATATGAATTTCACGATAAAACTCCATATATTAGACGCCACATAAAGCTTAAGAAGCTGGAGCCATTCTACTTATGGCCGATGTTACTATAATTTACTTTTTATAATTACCAATTTTCATTTTTTCAATTTCTTCAATCAAAATTTCCATTTTTACTTCCATATACTTTTTATAATTGTTGGGATCTTCTTAATATATTTAATATGTTTCATTATAAAAAGACTTGAAAAAACTGTATTTTGCTGTTTTACGCGTAATACATCGATTAACTTTAAAGTTTCTTGAGGTTCTTTAAATTTGTAACTTCATTCAGTCAATCAACAAAATTAAATAATAAAATTACAAAAAAAAATTATAACATTTTGCTAACAAAATCAAAATAATAACACATAAGAAAAAGTGATTCCTGTACAAATATATTAAATGATACAGGACATTAATGAACAAAAAACATCTATGTTTACTACCGCAAACATAAACACATAAATAATAAAATAAACTACATAGTCGTATCAATATTTGAAATTAATAATTGTTTATAATGATCGTATAATAATTTTTTCCCTAATTTAATTTTGTTTTTTTATATTATATTATATATATATATATATATATATATATATATATATATATATATACAATCTTTCATATCATTCTTGTCGTAAGTACAGTTTTTTAGTATGCATTTAAATATAATTTTGTATATAAAGTATATAAAACAATCGCATGTTTTATACTAATCGAACTTTTCTTTCAGTTCTGAATTTATATCTTCATAAACATAAACTTTCTTTTTTATGAAAATGTAATCTAACGTGTACACATCTTCAAAATCTTGAAAGATGAAATTTTGTTTGTAATTATCTTTTAGAACTGTTCATTCACAAGATAATAAATCTATTAAGTAATTCTATTTTTATAATTAAATATGATAATTATTTACTATTATTATAGTAACAAAATTGATTGTCAAGAATAAACAGTTTTAATTACTATACATTTTTCTAATATTGTTAATGCGTTTTAAAATTTTACTCTTGATATTTTTATTTAAAAAAAAAACCTTAAAATATCAAACAGTATATGATAATTCACCATAAAATGTTTTACAACATCATATCTTATTGCAAATTTAAAAAAAAGGAATTAAATCTTAATGTTGTAAAATAATTCAAAGATCAACATATTAAATATAAATCTATCGATATAAATGTGCACACTGATAAGCAGCTTACTATGATAAATATTTATAATACTTTGAAATATATTTGAAATATTCATGCTTTGTTCTAAAAAAACTTAATACTTTTTCAATATATTTATATACTTGATAATGCAAGCATGTTTTAACCTATAATTTTAAAATACATATCATGAATGAAATTTATACATTACTTACTATAGATAATTTGTTCAATATTGGAAAATTTGTATTTATAATAAATTATTTTAATTAAAGGCGGCTAAATATTTTATTTTTAAATTGCGACTATCATAATAAAATATTTGAAAAGAAATAGTTTAATAAAAAAAATAAGTAACATAAAATCGTGTTTTATTATGTAGCTTATTTATATTTACAAGGAAATTAATATTACTTCGTAATCTATAACAAAATCTAGGTTGAATTTTTGTATTAAATCTCCTCAGTATTTCTGGCTATTTCTATACATATTCGAATTTTACATTTTTTTTTTTTTAATTTTGCTATTCATTTCTATTTCAGATTTTAAGTATCAATTCATATTATTCGTATCACCAGCTGAGTATTTTAAAAAACCGTAACTACATGTCTACTTAGAATATAAATAATAGCGAATTATATTAAAACAATGTCGAACGACTAACCGGTTCATATTATAAGTATAACAACTCAGCTATAGGTAATTAAGTAACCTTAAAAATAACCTGAATTAGTCAATATATTAATCAGACTACGCACAAATAAATAACGTAATATTCAACTTTTTTTTTAGAAGAAACACTTTCCCTCGGTCGCAGTCTTCAATTTCAAAAATTAAAAAATGAAGTGATGTAATAATCACCACTAGGTGGCTACGTATGATACTTATGATATCTTATGTTCGCACTCTGTTTATACCATGATTCTATGGACTCTATTCATTCGTATCTCATAGTTTACATCTTATAATTGAGCATCATAGTTCATGCTTAACTTGTATGCGCGTTTTTTTGTTAAATATTAACTAACGAAGAACGACAGCGAGGAATAGAATTAAGAAAATTTTGTTTGAACGAAAGAAGCTAATGAAATTAACCATCCATATTAAGAATATTTAATTGAATTAAAATAAAAGCGTAAATTCATAGATGATGAATAACGGAGAATTAATGGCGGAATCCTTGTGTAAGGAGTCCAAAATACCAAACAATAATGTGAATGCCGTAACTGACCAAGAACGTGAATTGGCTCGGGAGGCACAAGTTGAATATTTAAAAGCTGACTTTTCTACTTGCTCCAACTTGCTTGGAAAACTCGAACTTCTGAGACCCCAAGATTTAAAAATAACACACAACAAAATCATTGTTGACTACTACAAGAGCAATGATTATAGGAGAACAGAGATTTTGAAAAAAAGTTTAAAAGCAATATATATTCAAACGCCAGCGCCGTCAGCGATAACAACAGCAATGCTGACGATAACCGCAACAACGACGTTGACGACAACGACGACGACGGCGATGGCAACGGCAACGGCAACGGCGACGGCGACGGCGACGGCGACGGCGACGGCGACGACAGCGACTGCGACGACAACGACGACTACGGCGACGGCGACGGCGACGACGACGATGACGACGGCGACGACGACGACGACAACGACGACGACGACAGCGATGACGACGACGGCAACGACGACGACGACAGCAGCGGCGGCGGCGGCTTCGACATTTACACCGACATCAACCAACGCTACAGCTTTGGCAACAGTAACAATTGTATCGCAGACACAAGAAGCCGACGATATTGAGAAGAGTGTCTTAAGGTATAATCAAGCAGTGATCCTTTATCACTCAAGACAATATCTGGCTGCTTTGGAAATTATAAATAGTTTATTTGCATTAATTGAACCAATGGGTATGGCTTAATTATACTTAAATTATTTATAATAATGTTTGTCATACAAAAGTATCTAAGAATTTTTTTAATTTAAGCCATATATTTAAAATTTTTATTTGTTTATAACCTGTTATTATTTCTAAAAGTAAAATTGTATTTATTGATTTTATTTTAAAAAAAATATAATTGATGCTATTTAAAAAAAAAAAAAAATTTTATAAAACAATTTTCATTATCTAATATTTATTTTTATAATAATTTTATCATTCCACTTAACAAATAGAAGTATTTCTTATTCTAAAATATATATTATAGCTGACTATATAGTATTGTCAATATTTGTTAACAACATTTACCTTTAATGCTTAAAGATTAGCATTATTGTATGACGGACTAATTATCCTTTATAAAACATTAATAAAAATTATAAATATTACAGAGGAAAGTTTTGTTCATAAAATTTGTCTCCTACTCATTGAACTGCATTTGATATTAGAAAAGCCAGACACTGCTTTAACATTAGTGAATTATATAGAAGGTCAGTTCACATCAACTGCTGAGTCTTCAAAATCTGCATTAGGTGAACAAAATCAAAATCAAAAACATGATGGTATAATCAAATCTAGTGCGAGAACAACTGCGATAGAAAAAGAGCCAAAAAAAGATAGTATTGATGTAGCTACAGATGCTTTCAGAATAAAACTTCTAAAGTATAAATTAAGAATTTATCTTAGAACTCTTCAATTGAAACTTTGTAAAAGAGAATGGAAAACATTGGTATCTTTAGGAATGCCTACTGTAAGTATTTTTGAAGAAAAATTTAATGAACTTAACTAATTAACAATTTAATTTTAGAACCTTTCAACAATTTTTTTAAAAGCAAATCTTGAATATTTAAGAAAAAATTTTAAAAAAGCTTTAAAACTTCTTAATACTATCAATAAAGAAACATGTCCAGATTTCAAGTTAGTATAAGCATTGAAAATTAGAAAATATTAATTGACTTCAATAACAAGATCTTTTTTTTTTTTATTTAGAACATGCGGAGAGTGCATTGCTGTCTTGTATTATAATAACATTGCGAGCCTTCATTTTGCACTAGGAAAACCAAATCTAGCATGTTTTTATTTAAAATCTGCATTGGAAGAAAATAAAAAAGTTGTTGATAGCATTAGAACAGAAAGTACTAACAATTTAATAGCTGATTTATCACGATCACCACCACCGCTACATGCTCTTGAAAAAAATAAACATTACGAATTAATGTATAGTTTAGGTGTCAGTTTTCTCTACACAGGGCAAGCAACAAAGGCTTTTGATTATTTTATCGAAGCTGCACAACAATTACATAATAATCCAAGACTTTGGTTAAGAATGGCAGAGTGTTGTATAATTTGTCATAAACCCGTGAGTATACATTTAATTTAATGAAAACTTTATTTTTTTTTTTTTAAATTTGAACTTTTTATAGTCGAACAAAGTTGATTTTGATATTTGTGGAAGGCGTAAAGATATAGTAGAAAAGATTATAGGAGAAAACAATGGTAGTAGTATTAGCAAAAAATTTATCTTGGCAGCTACTCTATCGAAAAATTGTAAATATAATTCTGAAGGGATATCATATGCAATTCCTCAACCAACATTAGAGTATGGAATGCTGTGCCTTAAAAATGCTTTTTTTTTATTACCAACGACAAATTGTGAAGAAATGAACTTACCTATAAATAATTTACCAACTGAAGAAGGAGTAAAGAAAACAATAATTGGACATCAACAACAAACAAGTTTACTTGGGTCACTTACCCCTTCGAGTCACAAATTAGGTAATAATAATTTTTATGGTTTTAAAGTGATTAGATTAAATTTTATATATCATATATCCCCAGCAAATATTAAAGTATAGAAACATTTTAGGAATTATTTAATATATGTAATTATTAAAGAAATCTTTACTATAGCAAAATAAAATGCAAAGTTTATTTTGATGATTCTGTGCAATTGTTCTTTCTATTATAAAAATAAAATTTGTAAAAATGATAACATGATTTAATGTTGACTAATCAATTTAATTTTCCTTTTCAATTATATTTTGAAATATTTGAATATTTTAAAAAGAACAATAATAGATGATATTATAATAAATTAAATTGACACATACTTATATATATATTACTGCACTATGTTTTTATCAATAAAATTTATTACTGAATTTCTATTATAAATGATATTACATTATGTAAGAAAGAGTAGTAAATTTTAACATCTCTATTAATTTTATCTATTACAACAATAGGAAATAATACTAATGCAACTGGACATGTTAACTCAACTCAAAACTCAACTCGAACAATACCATCACAGTCAACTATTGTTGAAAATTTAAATTTAAAAATAAGTATTTTAACTGCCAGTGCTTATATATCATTGTGCTTGGGTGATTATTTATTAGCATTAGAATATGCTAAATCTCTACTTAGTATCAAAAAATTACCAGGAGCACATTTATTACTTGGCAATCTATATGCAGCTGAGAGTCTTATTTTTTTAGATAGAATTTACGAAGCCTTAGAACATTTAAAACCTGAAAATCTTCAAGATATTAATACTTATATACCCATAGGAGAGGTCGTTGGTGATAAAGAAAAAATAATTGAAGAAATCATTGAACAAAAACCAAGTAGAAGTAACTATACATAAGTTTGAAACTATTCATTCATGTAATTTTGCAAATGCAAGTTAATTTAAAGTTTTTATCTTTAGTATCATGGTACCCACTAAATATAGCTACTGCAAAATCAATTCTTCGATATAATTTAGCAGTTGCTTATGCTATTCGTGGCGAACTTGATAAATCTGGAGAAATATTAAAACAGGTATTTCATTAAAATTAATTAATTTATTGGTATATTTTTATTGTATGATTTAAAATATTTCAAAACAATAAGTTATCACTAATTTTAGGTTTGGACATCTAAAGGCCCTGACTGTGATGTACCAATACATATTATCATGTTGGCTCTTTATATAGAATTGCAATTAGGTAATGTTACGTTGGTATTTTATTTAATCCTAAATTACTTATATTATCTTAATGAAATCAATTTTTACACTGTATTTTTAGGTCATGTTGATATTGCACGTTCTTTAATAAAACAACATTACTATCCAGTACAGCAATAATAACATTGGATAAAATTATTTATTGTTGAATATATTGTTAATATAAATTTGTAAAAATAACTGTGTACATATTACATTTATTACATCATTCAATAACACAATTATGCTGTGTGATAAAAACTTATACTTTTAGAAGTTATTTTTTATTAAATATACAATTGTGTACAAAGACATGGAACAAATGTAACAAAATTAACAAGTCGTGTTTATTTATTCCCAACAATCGGAATGTCTTCCTTCATTTCCAGGGTTCTTTTTTCAAGGAAATTTTAAATATGTAAAGATAACTTGTTCGAGCTAGTCAACTATCAGTCTAACTATTTTAAATTTATGATATTAATCTGTAAGCAATTATTCCAACAACTGCAACAATAGTTCCACCAAGCAAACTCCAAGTGAGTTTGGTAGGTGCTTTTTTATAATCAGGTGTGTTCTTGACATCATTATTTCTTTTATCTGGTACAGTTCCTAACATTTTACGATATAGATTTTTTTCGTGTCGTGCATCCTTAGCACTTTTTTTCTTTAAAATTAATAATTTTTGTTGTATGGCTTTATTTTCTGGTTCAATTTTTAAAGCTTGCGTTAGCACTGTGCAAGCTTTGGTATTTTCTCCTTTGTAATGAAGAATTGTTCCTAAAAAATTAAATAAAATGCATTACAATATTATCATTTTTAATAAATTTTAAATTACCTTTTCGAAATAAGGCTTTAACATTTTGTGGTTGGCATCTTAGAACATTTTCTACACTAGTTAAGGCAGCATCATAAGCTTCACATTTCAATTGTGCGGCAGCTAAATTATTGTGTACTTTTAAAGCATCTTCAAGAATTTCTTGCAGCTCATTATCACTTACATGCTCTAGCATTTTCTCTGGTTTTTTGTCATCGAGAACATCACCTTCCCTAAACGGTGTTAAGTATTCTAATGCTTTACGATAACAATGGATTGCTAATGTACACTCATCACGTGCAAACCACCAATTTCCTCTCTCGCGTTTTTTATTACTAAAAAGAGAGTATTTTTATGCAATATTATACAACACTTATTGCTTGTATTATTTTTATAAATACACAAAATCTTCAAATTTTTTTATATATTTAGACATATTTATAAGTAAAAGTACAATTTTTATATTATATACCCTATTCTTCGTTTTTCTGTATATGGTAACTCATCAATATCGGGTTCCATCTTTATATCTTTAAGTATAACATTATACGTAAGTTTAGAATTTGGTGGTATTTCTGGTAATGGTAAATTTCTCCCTAACGCGCCATATGCAAATCTTGGACATATTTCAAGTTCGGCTTCTTCTTCCAAATCCATTAGTGTAATACCTAAATCCAATCCCTGGTAAACATAAATTTTTTCACAAAATTACTAATTCCATTATTATTGTTATTGATTATCTTTTAAGAGTATAATGCAATATAATATTATATAAATTTTACATCAATTTTTGAATATTCTAATTATTAATTACCTGAATAACTTCCATATCTCCTAATTGAATTGTGATTTCTTCCTCATTTTCAATAATAGTTCCGTCTTCTAATTTTCCAATAAATTTTACACTACATAAATCTGATCGATTTGGTCTAGAATTTTGTTTACCAGCTTTTAATACTTTTTTTTTTAATTGTCCATTACCAACGATATCCATCCATTCGTTCACTGGATGGTCATTTAAACTTGCTTTGGTCAACGGATCATTGGGATCAATGTCAAAGTTTAATTCCTTTTGAATAAAATCAGATTGCGTAGAATTTGAATCAGGCGTAGTTTTAATAGTATCCACTGAACTTGCATCTGTCTCCATTATTAAATTAATTCTTTTTTATGCAACTGCGTAACTGTAGATTAATTAAAAACATGTCAATTCATTGAAACATTCAGATGATGTACAAAAGATATCATTTATTTCCATAAATACAACTAAATAAGATATTAATTACTTACCTGTTTCTTTAATTTTTTAAATTAAGAAAAATACATTAATAATGTGAGCCTTTGGTTAGTTTCATATACAAAATTGTTTGCTACTTAAACTCTGCTTGTAAATTTACAAACTATTGCCAAACTTCAACTGCTTTTGTATTTGTATATATTTATTGCTAACCTTACTATATAGTATTTGTACATGTGGTCACATTTGTTTTTTCTAAAATGTACGCACACAGTTATATGATGAATATGCTCCAAAAGTGAATTTAGTATTAATACGAATATTGAATATAAAAATAAATATAGGGCTTGATAAAATAATTTTAAATATTTCGATTTTACGCTTAACTTATATCAATGTGACGATTAGATGTTATCGTACACATTACACATTTGCATTAAAATTGGAATTTCGACAAATGTATGTTGAATGCCTGGATATGTATTTGATATTATATAAACAGCTGATTATTCTACCTTATAGACTAAATAATTTCAGATAAATTCAATAACTTTTTTTATTTTCATAACTATCGCGAATTAGAGTTTAAACGAAAACAATATTTAAAAAATCCATAAAACTCACGTTATTATAATCGAATATTATAATTGCATTATATAAATAAACACGTATGAATGAGCGCATACTCACATTATGCACAAGCAATGATCATCTATGAGTAGAGTGAATGTTTATTTTGTATAGTAAGATATGTAGATTATATGCTAAGTCATTGTCGAGTATGTAAAAATTAAAGCTTTATATAAGAAATGAAAAATCTTTATTTACAATGGAACTCAAATGAATTACATGAATGAGAAATAGCGAACAATTTGGTTAAAATGATCATCCACTATTAATTTATTATTTATCATTTATTCCTTTATTTGATTTATTTCAATTATTATATACTATATCCATGAGTCTATCGAATTAGTACTTAATGTTTAAACATTTTATAAGTGATTAATAATGAAATAATTTTATATATAGTTTTATAAACAATGAAAAATAAGGATTATCGATAAAAAATTCTTTAACCAAGCAACGTATAAAATAAATTATGCGAATATGTTATTGCAATTGAAACGGTTGAGTGTAAAACAAGTATTCATACAATTATAATGTAAGGAAATTAGAGAATTCAAATCAGTATGCAGTATATACTCTTCAAATTTATAATATTTAAAATTTATTTTAATTAATAAAAAGAGTGTGTCACGATTAAGGATATTTGTGCCTCAATTTTTAAACACATCCAGAAAAATGTTGCTTTTAAAGACCATATGCTTACAAGAATTGTTTATTGTTTATTCTTTGAAATTAAGAGTTTTGTCTAAACAGCCTATGCAAGAGGAAGCATTGGCTTCAAAGAGGTGTTGTATATAATTTATTATACGAAAAATCCAAAATGGACCAATCACGTGTTCCAGCGTACATTTCAAGGGGCGACGTGTCTGCGCAATCGCGCATACATAAACACATGTGATACCGCGCTATAGGTGCACTTGACCACCGACTTCCGAGAGAAAGTGGTTTTACTACTGGTGCTGTGTGCCTACGTTTGAGGTGTCTTCTTTCTGAGTACTGAGGAATCTCGCGTTTCCGAAGGCCAGGACATCATGAAAAGTTTAGCTCTGCTATTTTGTCTTGCGTTGACGGCTGTTTGCGCAGAATCTGAATCAGAAGAAACCGGCAAAAAAGGACCCAAAGTTACTCATAAAGTAGGTATTTATTTTATCTTTTAAAATGGAGTTGTTTCCATTTTAAAACTTATGTTACTTTATCATATAATCTTTGCATCATCAACTATATTACTAAAATATCAATTAATATTCAGGATTTTAAAACACATAGTTTTTTAACTAAATTAAATTTAATGTTTCTAAATTTATGTTTTTCAATTTAATCAAATTTCAAGTCTTCCATTAAAAGTTTAACATTTGAAAATGTGGCATTTGTGCAACTTCCATGAATATCTCTGCGCCAGTAGTTTAACATATTGAATGGCTTTTAACATTAACGACTGCACGGACTATACAAACATACACAGGAATGTAATTACCGATCGTGTGCTGTTAACCTTGAGATTCGTTTTGTAGGTATGGTTCGATATAGAGAGCGGAGGTGAAAAAATCGGTAAAATTGAAATTGGTCTTTTTGGCAAAACTGTCCCAAAGACCGTTCAGAATTTTATTGAATTGTCAACAAGATCACCCGGCGAAGGTTACAAAGGCAGTAAATTCCATAGAGTTATTCAAGACTTCATGATCCAAGGCGGTGATTTCACCAAAGGCGATGGAACTGGAGGTTCGTAGCATGTTTCTAAATTTTATTTAATAAAAATTAAAATATTTCGTAATTTTATAAATACATATAGTTCAATATTAAAACATTTATGAGATGTAACAAAAATTTTTTTATTTAATTCTGATAACAATTGTTAGAAAAAAGTTAAAAGATAACTAGTTGAGTATAAAATTCAAATCAGTTCCTAATTATTATAAATCTAATTCTTGTAAATTATTTAGACAATAGCTAACTTTATGGATAATTTTTTGAAAATTGCTTAAAATTATGTATATCTTTAATGTTTTAGATTTTTATAGATTTTAATACTTAATATATATTTGTGAATAATATAAATGTAAAGAGTTTTTAAAAAACAAGAAAATACAAATTTTCAGATAAATATATTTGTTTTAAAGCATAGTTGATATGATGAAGTTATACCTTTCAATTTAAATTACACTTTTAAAATATTTGATTTACAAATTTACAAAGTATATAAAGCAGCTACTCTTGTTAATTAATTGATTTATTTATTATTTATATTATATAATAATTGCATTATTTTAGGAAAAAGCATATATGGCATTCACTTTAATGACGAGAACTTCAAATTGAAGCATTACGGAGCTGGTTGGTTATCGATGGCTAATGCTGGTGAAAACACCAATGGTTCACAGTTTTTTATAACTATAAAACAAACTCCTTGGCTTGATGGTAAACATGTTGTATTTGGAAAAGTAATTAAAGGAATGGTAAGTATTCATAAATTTATTTTTTAAATATTATATTCTTTATAAAGAATACTATTAATATAAATAATTGGATGTAATTATAGGGTGTAATTAAGAAAATTGAAAAAACAAAGACAGATAATAGAGACAGGCCAGTGAAGGATATTGTTATTGCAGATTGTGGAGTAGAGATTGTTAGTGAGCCATTTAGTGTCACTAAAGATGATGCTCTTGAATGAAGGAGACAACTGTCTATTTTCTTAAATAGTGTTAATTTTTCCATGACTACGCACAAGATAATGCATTTTGTAAAAAAAAGAATGAATTCTAAATGGAATAAAAAAATTTATTTAGTAAATGAAATATTGAATTTTTGTATTTCATACCAATTCCAAATAATAATTTTTTTTATACTTTAAATTCAAAATATAAATAATTTAATGAAATTAAGTTACATATATTGTATTTTAAAGGAAATGTAATTTTAACATTCAAATATTTTATATTTTACATCTAATCGAGTCAAAGTGCTTTTTTGCGTATAATTTAGCATAGATAATTTTCGCATGCTTGACGAAATTATGAACAAGTCATATATATATATATATATATATATATATATATATACCAACGCACACCACACGCATGTATATATGTAACTTGTAAAGGGCTTCGGGATTGTTGCATTTGTATTAGTAATGCCTTATTTTAAATCTAACCTTCAAATAAAAAGTTTTAACAAAAACATCTGCTTGAATCAATTAAAATATGATTAATTCTTTTAATTAAATTTATTCTTGATTTTATAATATATGAAAATATAAGGGTAAAAATTCTTATTTTAAATCAATCTAAGATGCAATTATATTTTCTTGAAAAACCAGTTTATTATGGCAGTTTGTTGTCTGTTTCATCGTTAATTTTTCTTTTATATATAACGAGTGCTGTACATTATTTTACACATCAAAATGAAAATACTTGCGATATGACTTACATGTTTGAATATCCTCAATATGTGGTTAGTGCTTTATAAAAATTATTTCATGTTATATAGTTTTAATATTATTTATTAAAATACATGATTATTATTGTTTTTCATCTTTATGCTATTAGAGGATAGGACTAAATAGCAAAAACAATGATTTATCTGACGACTATTTATATCCAAGATTTCAACTATTTGCGTATGGTGAAGGATTTGTTACGGAACGTCTAAGAAGAATGCATTTTTCTGGTATACCAGTGCTTTTTATTCCTGGAAATGCTGGCTCCCATGAACAAGGTTTTTATAAATACAGTAGATTTACAAAAAAAATTTGGATGTTCATATAATAAGATTATAATTTTAGTTCGTTCTCTTGCATCGGTTAGTTTAAGAAAAAGTTTAAAAAGTCGTACACCATTTCATTTTGATTACTTTTCAATATCATTTGGTAAAGATTACTCAGCATTTTATGGAGGAATATTACAGGAAGAAACTAATTATGTAGCTAAGTGTATACAAAGAATAATTTCTTTATATAAGGGCAAAGTAAAAAATATTATCTTGATTGGACATTCAATGGTTTGTAAAAATCATGTTTAAATTGAAACTTAAAATTATTTAAATTTTTTTTAGAGATTAATATAAATTTGTATATATCTTATATATTCCTATTTTTAAATTAAAAAAATTCCTTTTATCAAATGTGTTAAAAATTATAATTTCTAATAATGACTAGTAAAAACATAAAATATAATTGAAATATAAATGTTATAGGGTGGAATCATTGCTAAAGGATCTCTATTACTAGTACCTGAAATTAATAACAGCTTCGCCACTATTTTAATTACATTAGCAACACCCCATACACCATCCATTTATCCAGACTTTACTTTTTTAAATTATTATAAAAAATTAAGTGATTCTATGATGTATTTAAAACAAAATGAAACAACTGTAATTTCTATTGGCGGAGGTCCAAGAGATATTCTAGTTCCTTCTTTTCAAACATATGATGAATATGCAGATTTAAATGTTCTTACAACAAGTATCCCAGGTGTTTGGAGATCAACGGATCATTTATGTATACTATGGTGTAAACAATTAATATTGAATATTGTAAGATCACTATTTGATTGCGTTGATGTCTCTAAAAGACCAGCGACTATTTTTAAAAATCATGATCGTAAGATTAAAGCATTCAAATGGCACTTTTATCAAGTATGTTAATACTTCAAAATAAATAAAATTTTTTTATTAAAACTAATTGTAGAATTTTACAGCGTAGTAGTTTTGAAAAACATCTACCGCATAATGATTTTCAAGAAAAAATCATATTTTCTGATCAAGAAAGTGAATGGATTGAAGATATACGTAGACAATATGTTTGGAATAGTAAAAATTATACTTCAATTAAATCTAAAAAATTTAATAATACAGTTTATCTTATGATTAGACTTAGTAAGTCAATTGATACTTTATCGGTAAATGCTATACATTTAAAAACTAAAGACTGGATCTTTGCCTGCTCTGCATCGAATATTCAAGGTCATTCAAGAGTATGGTGAGAAAATTAAAGAAAAATAAAATTCTATATTAATAACTTAATTTTATAACAAACAGCAAATTAAATTCATTTTAGTTCATGGGGTTGGAATTTATCTAATCGTACTAGAATAATTCCTGGATTAACTAAAAAATCTAGAAAATATACAATAGATTTAAATTTAAATGAAATTCAAACTCTTGGAGTTTCTCATATAATTATAAAAGTACCGACTAAAACTTCCTACAGATATGATAACGATTTTGATGAAAATAATGATGACAATAACCAAATTATTCAAGTAGATGCATATTTACGATCAACAAGATACAAGCAAATTAGTAATATGAAACCTTGGTCTTCGGACCTTGGAAATCTGCGTTATCACATTGTGCTAGATGGCATAACAGACGTCGTATCAGTCGACATAAAAGTTTTGAATTGCACTTATGATACTCATTCACATCATCTCTTGGTCGAGCTATTGGAGCCGTGGGCACCAGGATCAGAGCAATTTCATTTTTTTACCAAAAAGTAATTATAAAGTTAAATTTATATAAATTATTTATTTATATATTAATTTTTGTATTAATTTACAGTGAAAATTCAAAAGTAATAAAATTGCAAATGTTACATTCTCAACAATTGCACAAAATGAAATCTCAAAATGCTGAATTAAGACTATATTTAAATCCTGTATGTACGTATAATATTTATGTACAAAGAGGAGATTTAATTGAAAGAATCAGTTATTTAGTAAGGGACCGTTGGACTTTTATCTACCCAATAACAATAGGCTTACTTTTACTATGTATAAGCCAAAGAATAGAATCTCAAAATGCAAATAATTCAGGTGTTACCGCAATAATACTCGTTACTGGGATTCTTTGCTTACGTTTAAATATAATTATCGAATGTTGCGTTTGTATAGTGATACTTCATATGATGGCTATTGGAGTTTGTTGTGCTGTAGTATTTTTTGGATCAGTAGCTCATAATATTGCCGTTAGGTAATAATTTATTTAAAAATATATAAAAAAAAAACATAATTCAAATTGAAAATCATATTAAATATCAATTTCATAAATAATATTCAATTGATATACTTATTTCTATTAAAAGTAATTCTGATATATTTCTATTAATATTCTATTAAATTGAAAAAATATTTCGTTAATATATTTATTGCAATATCTTTGAAATATTTATCGAATTTTACAAATAAATAAATAAATAAAATATTATTGGAAATAAAGTAAATTTGATCCAATTTGTAATTAATTTTGCTTAGATTTTAAATTAAATAGTGAACTAAAGATTAATTAATGATACCAATGCTTATTTTATATAGATTTCTAGCAAGAGCTATAGCTTTTTCAACAACTTGGTCAGACTGGTTACTAGGAGGTTTAATAAATCAATTACCAATTGTAGCAGCAGGTATTCTGCTTTCTATAATACCAGCTACTTGTGGAGCTTTAGCTATGCTACTTTCCATTTTTTTAAACTTTTTAAGGCTAACACGTATATATGAGGATTGCTTGGAAGAATTGTTGTTAGCGTCAATGAGGCGTTTAAATTTACTAAAAAAACAGGATAAAAACAATGGCAGATCGAGTGATTTAACAAGACAAAATATATTTAATCAAGTATTATTATTTATATTTTTGTGCGTTGCTTCCCTACCCGCTGTACCATCAGTACTTGTATGGGCAAAATATTTTAGGTATCTTTAATACATATATTTATTTGATTAATACTCCTGTATATATTGAATTCTAATTTTTGGATCAGTTTCAGTAATAGATTATTAACAGAAGATCAAATATTTTTATACAGTTGGATTGTTATGGTTGCGTGTGGAACATCAGGATTGGTACGAATACCAACAGAATTTACCGATACTTATAAAACTAAAATTTTGATAACCCTGTTACGTTGCTTAGGCTGGATAGCATTTATAATACCTACAATATCTAATGCAGCTCGTTATTACTGGTTTTTTCCACCTTGTCTTGCAATTATAATTGTATTAATTTCCTTAAATTCATTGAATATTTAATTTTTATTGTATAATTCTTTTACTTTAAATTGCTCAAACAAAATGCTTACAAATTGACTGTGATTAGCAATAACATTAATAATATACATATTTTAATACTAATTTATATTATTTAAAATATTGTTAAGTACATATATTATGTTTTGATTATATATAACAATACTGCCGTACTTTTAATATGTTATGTAAATAATAGGTACATCGGTATATTTAAAAACAATTAAAATATATAAAAAAAAATTAGTGTCAATAGTTACATACTAATTTTTACTTTTATGTAAGAAAAATTTTAATTTTAGATTTATGATATAATTGATATTGCAGTGTAAAAAATATAATAATAGTGCTAATAATAAAGTATTAATGAAATGTATATGATCTCAACTAGTAAAACTATATCAAATGAATTCACAAATATTCACTACCATTTTCTCGACATTAAGTTATTTGCATGTATTCGTTTCTAAAACAAATGGTACATATTGCGAGATGATGAAGAGCAAGCAATGAGAGAAACAGAAGACCTAAGAGGGATATGGCAACTAAATGTGCATAAGCAATATATAAATACAACTATACTGACAATGTTTAATTCGGTTTCGCGATGTGCTTATCATTATTGCAAACCGATTATTATTACCTATTTTATCACATGAGAGCCAAGCCATCTTATATATGAAAAACTTGTTTATATCGTGATTTTTGGAATTATCAACTAAATCTTATATGGTTCTATTTGGATATTTAATGTACAATTTATTTATATAATTATTTCAAACATTTGAGAAACAAGACAAATTAAGATTATAACAGAAATATATGAATTTAATATATATGTATAAACATACGGTCATTTTTTACTGAAAATCATGTTACGATATTTATTACCAAATAAATAAATATTCTTTACTCATTAATCACTTTAATAATGGTATAAAAAATCATAAAATAATGTATTTTTCATCATATATAATAAAACATATAAGTAATTTTCAACAAGACATTAATATAGTCGACCAAAAATTATAATTAATATTTCAAATTCTGTTTTTAATAAAATAATTCAAATTAACAAATAATTGATTGTATTTATTAAAAAAAATAGTATCACAAATATTGAGCAAATAAAACTTTGATTATCAGATTATTTGGCTATACTTTGGAAATTCCAAATTTTTTTATCGTATTTATTTAGTCCTTGAAAGATATATTTTCACGTACCAATATTAATTATTATAACAATATTCAATTATTAAATTAATGTTTTAGTTTTTTATTTAGCTTCAGTTAATTTTAAACATTTTTCTAAATTATATAAAGTTCTTATATTCTATTACGGTTCAATATTAATTGATAAAAAATACGTAATATTTTATACATAAAATAAACAAAATATAAAAACAATTAAAAAAATCGATTTTACTTTAATTTACGATTACAAAGAAAATGTTTATTAAAAAACGTCATCAAAGTCAACAACAATGTTCTTAATTATTAATAAAATTGTCTATACATCTATCGACGTATAATTATATCATAAAGTATGATCAACTTGACTTGCTTCTTACAAAAAAAAAAGGATTATTAAGGATTCTTATTACATCTGTATTAGTATTATCATATTACTTGCCTACAATCTTCAAAATAAATACATCTTTGAAGTGCAAAGTATATGAAATAATATTACTTCTAGGATTAAGTCAATCGATTATATTGTACTTGCTCAATTAAGACCATATAAGACAATAAAGTGAGAAAGAAAAAAATTATACTCGTTAGATTGCAATAAAATCAATAATTTGTATTGATTACTAATTATACTAATAAAAATTTTAATAAACCTATAGAAATGTTTGCTTAAAGAAGAAATTCCCAGGTAAAGTATTGATATAATTATTTTATTATTCTAATATTAAATACGCACTTTTTAAAGCGCGTAATAATTTTGTAAAGTAATCGATATCACCACTATCAAACGAATGAATTAATTAAAAATAAATTTCTTATTATATCTTATACGTATGGATTCGGGCGGAAACTTTACAACACTTTAAAATTTTTACAAATGTAATTTTCATATTTAAAAGGTATAAACAAAAATATGTTCTAAGCGTAATTTTTCCTTTACATTATTATGGTACAATGTATAATCAACACTAAGGGCAAAAAATAAGCCTATTACGTAATTACAGTTTATTAAAATAAAGATTTTGTTGTTCCTTGCTTATTACCTAGTAATCAAGAGCCCATTCGTTTTCTTGCAAAAAAACATCTACCACTTCTTTCATTGCCAGATTTGGTATAAGTTGGTCTTGTGTCAAACGAACGCGTGTGACTGGATCAAAGTGACCTACTCTCTGAAGATGTTCTTCAATATCTTTCCTTTCATAAGTTATACCACTTGGTGTTATCACAGGTTCTTGAAGTATTTCAAAACTGATTTTACCGCACAGATAATCGGGTACTTCTCGTTTCTATAATTCAAACAATAACTAAATTATTTAAAATTTGTCTGCGTAATAATTTGGATTTAGTTATTAAACAATTTAATATTTATTCAAGGTATTACTTATATTTTATATATACTTATATTTTACATGTATTTTATTATATCTTCATTTATTGCTTTAATAGAAAAAATAATTACTTGAAAGAATATTCATGTTTGTAAATGTGCTACGTACGTACATTTACTTAATATAAATTATATGTACTGTCTGTAAATTAAACGTAGTGTTTAATATTTCTCCATACAATATTATTAAAATTAATAATATTTAATAGATTAATTTTTGCAATATCATCAAATAGTACTGATACAAATATTTTTCTTATCAATTTTTATCATACATAAAAAGTTAATATTTAAATGAAATTAATATATAAAGAAAGATATACAATGTATCTATATATTCAAGATTTTAAGTTATAAGAATTAGTTGGTGAAATTTATAATATTTGTACATAATTTACCCTTCGATTATCATCAACTTTGGCAAATAACTCATTTAGTCGACTAATAGATGTATCTCTTCTTTCTTCGATCTCTAATCTAATTGATGCCAATTTAGACTCACTCATAGAATCTTCATCCCTGTATTCATTGTTTTCATCTTCTCCTTGACATTGCTTTTCTTCAAGCTGTGATAAGCTTTTTTCTGCATCTAGAACAATCAGTCGGTTTAAGTATGATTGAAGTTCAATTTCTTGATTAATTCTCTGTTCTTCTTTTATTTGAAAGCGTTTTTTTCGAGCTTGTCGGAGAACACTTGTTATATCATCTCCATAATTTAATTTCTGTTCCTTGGCTAGATCCACAGCTAAACACAGTAATTTTTTTAAAATAAAATTTTTCCTTTTTATTTGTCAAAAGAAATATCAAGTACATTACATAAAATTATATGATAATTATTTTAAGATTTGGCTTTGTATACTTTTTTAAATTATTAATTATATTTTGTTTTTAATAAATAATATTTGAAAGCTAATAAGTTAATATTTACAATATCACAAGATTTTGTACCTCTTTGAAAATGCTTAATGGCTTCGTCAAAAAGTTCTAAACCTTGTAAAGCTAAACCGAGGAAAAAATGACCTTTTATGAAACATGGATCAAGATCTAAAGCACGCCGACAATCTTGACAAGAAGACTCCCAGCGTTTCAATTTCAAATACACTAATGCTCGATTTGTAAAGTAAGGTGCTTGATTTGGATTTTTAATCTAGAAGTTTTACATATATAAATAATTATATGTATAAAAATATTTATTACTTTATTATCGAGTATACTACTTACAATAGCTTTTGTGTAACAATTAGCAGCATCCTCATACTTATGTAGACTAAATAGACGATTTCCTTGCTCCTTTAACTCCTTATCCGTAAGATTAGCAGTAGAATACATTTTACTCATTTTTATAATAAGGGTGCATTAATGATAGTTTATATTCCAATGAAATCGTATTGTGCACGTGTATATATATATATATATATATATTTTTTTTCTTCAATACACGATCTTATTTATAATTGTTTAAGTATGAAACATACTTTTCCTATTGTTATAAATAAAAATAAAGACGTAAAAATGTATTCTGAAATTACTTGTTTGCCCTGTAACATGACCAATTTACTGAATTCTCAGTTTTATAAAAATTCGATGAGCATTTGTGCTTTTATGTGCTTTTTTCATTACTCTCAATTTGTTACGAACTTACGATTTAAAAGTCAATTGTCATTATAAACTACACCTTTTCCTTTTTGGTTATACATAATTGATAAATAATACTTAGGTCTTTAAAACTAGTTTCAGATTAGTGATCAGATATCAAATATAAATAGTAATAAAGTATTTTTTCATAACCATGAATTTAATCATTGATAAAATGTTTTTGTCTGGACTAAGATGGACAATCATACAGTGGCGCCTCACGTTCGTAGGTTCTCTCTCGCTCCCAAGCATGTATTTAACAAATATCTATAGCAAAGATTCATGAAAATATTATTTTATTCTGATAATTTAACCATCGATGTATTATAACAAAATTATATTTAATTTTTAATTATTATATATCGCTAACAGCTGCTGTACACAATTATGAACTAACGATGACAAATTTTTAATACCAAATATTGTTTCTATATCCTACTGACCTTAATTTATGAAATAATCTTATAAATAAAATATTATCACAAATCATTATTTAATTAGATAAAAATTTCTTATATTTAATTTAATTATTAATTTTATATATTATTTTATTAGTTTTAAATAATACTCTTGGGGTAAGTAAACAATTTCATAATTGATAGGGATTCATTCTAATAATAATAATAATAATAATAATAATTTTATGACAAAATAAAAATGTTATAAAAATTTTTAAATAGATTTAATGTAAATTGTGCCGAAAGAAAATTGATCTATTATGCATGCAAATGCGTTTCGAATTAGTATAATAGACCATAATCGTAACAAATTAACATACTGGCAATTGATAATGTAAAGTGGTTGAATATTATTATTATGTAGTTACAAAATGTAAAGTATTTTAAAAATACAAATAAACTACTATAATTTTATTTTTACTACTTAGAACGGTTTTTTTTATAATGACTATTTTACTTTAATTAAGAATTCATATTAAAAATGTAAATATAAATCCTACGTTATTGAAGTACAATTTATTGATCTAAACCAACTGATAATACCAAAAGAAGTGTCAAAAACAACTGAAATCTGAACAATCTCTAGTCTCTGACAAGATTAAGAACAGTTTGGTTTGATACCACTAATCCTTGTATACTGGCCAATAAAGATATAAGCTAATTCGTATGATTTAAGCAATTTTTTCAATATTACTAAACATTTTTCTTAAATAAATGCATTTAATTTTATCTGAATTTATTAAAATCGATATTTACTAAATCATTTAAGTATATTATAATTATCATTATCTAAGCGTCAGTCAAAATTAAATGAAAACATTCTTTACCATTTATTTACATAATTTAAAAATACACATTCTTTAACACATTGTTATAATATTTTATATACTGATGATATTATATACACATTTTTTATTGCAATTTTTTGTTCAAATATTATTAAATAATTCGAATAGAAATTTTCATAACTCGTAAAAATTTTGTATTAAATTCATTATTTCAAATCAACATTAAATAATAGTTTAAGTTTAATTTTATAAGTATTATAAGTCAATTTATACAAATTTAACTATAATTAATATAATGTAAAGTAAAACAACAAATAATTAATATAATTTAGAATTTAAGTAATTAATTAATTGATTTAGTCGCAGCCAAAAGTGATAGCTTATAAAATATTATAAATATAATGATATTAAACCATAATTATTTGAAATTATATGTATTCCTAGTATCAAACAACTTTTATATGTAAAAATTATGAAAAAACCTATCAAAATTTATACTAGTTCAGTATTAAATATGTCAGCCAAAAGTTTGAAATTTATATATTTCAAATCCTCCAGGCACTAATATTGTACATTTTGTACTTCTTTCGACTATTACATCACAGAATAAAATTGGTCTAAAATATTTAATATATTTAAAATATTTATATTTTTAAGAGTCGTTTGTATCGGAAATACTAAAAATACAAAGAGGCTTTTTAGTAAGTGGATGTATAGCCTTTGTAACGGTCAAACCCATACGATGATTAATATATTCCATAATTTTACTTGCTAATAAACGATTGTTTGAATGAACGTGGGGATGAGTGATAAATTCTTCTAACTGAAAATTAATATCTTTGGTTAATATTAATATGCCATACAATTATTGTAAATTATAAAAGAATGAAAATCATTAAAACTAACTTTCATCCATTGGCATTCACTAATTTCTCTATGACATTTAACAATATTAAATGTTTGTGGTACTAAGCAACAAATGGTATAAATATCAGAGCAACCAAAAGTAGAATAATGAGTATGTCTAATAGCCAATAGACATTTAAATTTAGCTATAACTCCTGTTTCTTCGACTACTTCTCGTTCTGCAGCATGAGCTATATCTTCTTCCAATTCTATATATCCTCCTGGCAGTTTCCAGTTTGAAGTAGAAATACCATGTTTATCTTTGACAACAAGAATTTCTTTAGTTTTATCATTTAAGACAACTGCACCCACACCAATATTTGTGTGGGCATAAGGTGGCACATTAGACATTTCAATGTTTGATAGCCATCGATAAAGCATCGCTCGATCTTCTTTGGCATGATGAAATTTAAAGCCTCGTTTAATTAGTTCCGGTATCCAATAACTCTGAGATAGATCAACTTGAAACCATACGGTTCTTCGTTTATCTTTTATCCATTGATCGAGCGAGACTAAGAATAAAAAATAAACAATGAGTTTGAAAAGAATTGTCAGCGATCCAAGATAATACCATTGGGAATACTATAAAAGTAAAGAATTAGCATTAGTGTGACCTTCAAGTCGTTTTGAAAATATCTCAGCTTCGCACGGTTCGAGCTTAGAATCAACGGTTATTCCATCATAACGATCCGATTGTCCGCGAAATTTATACAGCGGTTGGGTCATAGTCGTAAAAAGCAATTTAACTACTTGCATATTTAGACGATCAGTTGTTTTGGTAAATTTAGTAAACATTAATCCTCGGTCTTGTAATTCGATATAACGTTATATAGGCATACAGACTCAATAAAAAAATGTAATGTGTTATATGCCATCCACACCCTACGTAAACACAAATATGTCAAGAAACAGGCAAATTTGTTATATTCTCAATAGTCATAGCTAGATTCATTGGTTCTTGCTTTCTGATAGCTTTGACAAACGAAAGTCATTGGTGCAAATGATGAATTTATGCAACCCTTATATAAGTATTTACACGAGTGAACAGAAGATACACCTAATTGTCGCTTTATACATCCAATCTATTTTAATTCGTTTGCTTAAAGCGCGAAACGCAGATTTTTTGAACTAGCAAAAAACTAAGAAACTGCTACATAGTTCGAAACAAACAAAAAATATTACCCTAAAAATTATTCTTAAGAAAAACTTGAGTTCGAAAGATCTGTAAATTTTATTTTCTTAAAGTAAAACTAATAATAATGTATTACCAAGGATATCGTTGTTATCCAGATTAATACATTTATTGGTATTGGTTTAAGTTTATAGTAAACATACAATGAATTAATGGTCCCAACGTAGTCCCACACTATTGCGCTGCAAAACATGAATATATATATATATATATATATATATTGTCTTGACTGTGGAATTTCTACGGTAAAATAGTAACTAATTAGTTGTACTAACTAAATGCACAATAATACATATTTGTTTAAATTCTGAAATTCAACAAGATTTAAGTTGTTGAGAATTTATCGAAGTAAATATTCTATCTCATAAGTTAGGATATTGCGAATCATTTCTCATAAGATAATAACAACTTACTTAAAGTAAATTAAATAAGTAATAATAATAAATTATTCTCTTATTTATTAATTTTATAGCATTTTTACTCTTACAGATGGTGTTTTCTTTTACAATCAAGTTCACAAATATATTTATCAAATACATTGCATAATATTACGTTGCGCTTAATAAAGATGTACCGACCATATTTATGTATTTAAATAAATCGAATGCATTACAATGTTATAAATGAAATTTTTATTATTGACTTAATAACGTACTTTTTTTATGATATACTTAATTAAGCATGTTTTTATTTAATTGCATATATTCAATTATGTAGTACGGACTTTTCTACGATCCGTCAAATAAATAAAATTGATGGAAAGTGAAATTAGTTTTTTTTTTTTTTTCAAGAATTGCTACACTATTATTCTATACTAATACTTCAATTTTGTGATTTTATGAAAGAGCATTATTTACAATGTCACTTATAATAGCACAATTTATTCTCGTTAGATAAAACCGTTAAACTGATGATAAACTTTATGAAGTACTATTAAGAAAAGTAAACTAAATTTTATAGTATAAGTAAATATAATAATATATATGCAAATAATAGTAATAATAAAATAAGCAAAGACTGTTTATTATTTTAATGAAGTTAACAAAAAGCTTTTATAATAAATATAAAACGCTGATGTATTGTCGATACTTGTACTTTGTAATCACCATCAAATATGGCTTAAAAATGAATCAGTGTTTCGCTTATTTTCCGTAATTATAATGTACAACTTATATAATATGTGAAATTCTTAACATTACAATATTATAATCGTCACAAAAACTTTTCAATATTGAGATTATTTATTATTTATTTTGTACACTCTAAGATATATTCTAACATAATAAATGACACATTACATGGGCTAGCCTTTTAAGCGAAAATAATTCTAAAATTACTGATTGTGTTATAGTATTAAAATTGTATTTTCTTAAATATATAATTACTGCCCATTTCTTGTAGGAATATAATGAATGTAAAAATATAAATAGTCACAAAAAAAATTATGTTAATGAAGATTCTAGTGTATTAAGTACAAAATTACATACGAAAGATGTATATTATAGTTATTTACAAATACTCCAATGTTTACTAAATTAAAAATTTTACGGTACTCTAAACAGTTACATATCATATTTGACGAGCCTCACTATGTTAATTAACAATTTCTTCTTTTACGTAATAAAAGAATTTGAAATTCATGAAGTTATGAAAAATATCAAAATTTTAGAGAAGAGGGTTTTTCTTATAATATAGCATGGGTCATAATAAAACAAATTTTAATTTTAAATATAACAAGAGCAAATAATGTTTGTTTTTGCAAATGAATTGAAAATAGATAGTAGTGCGTTAAATTGTAAAATAATTATTTGTTTCTGTCTATTTGGAGAATTATATTAAATTAAAAATTTTCTTATAACGATCATCAATTTTTCGAATAGAAAAAAAAATCGTATACTTCTCTATAATCGGATTAATAATGAATTATATTTTCCAAAAGTATGAGAATTAAAAAAAATTTTAGTTGTTTATTATGCTTGCCTAATAAATAACATGTAATGTAAATCATAAAATAATCTTTTCAGTTTTTAACATATGCACAATAATACAACAGATATCAATATAATCGAGGTATTATTCAAACTTGCATTATATTACTTAAATACGAGTTACACAGTAGTGGAGGACAATTTGTTTACAGTAACATACTTTAGATATTTCTATTCACTTGTACTTTAATTAAATGCATATTCATATAATTAACTTAATATAATTATGGACGTGTATAATATATATAATATAGTATAATATAGTAGTAGTAATATAGTATAGCACAATATAGTATAATGTAATATAGTATAATATAATATAGCACGTGCGTGCGCATATTTTAATAAGTAATTGCAATTGTAATTTTATCGAAATACATAATGATAATAAAAATATGTATTAATTCTAGTATGTTCAATGATTCAACGATATATATATATATATATATTAATTGCTTAAATTTATAAATAAATAAAATAAAATAAATTATGAAAATCTCCATTTTTTTTAAAAATAATTTTTATATTGCCAAAAATAAATAAAATATACAACGCAAAATTTACGTGCAATATGAAACAATGAATTAATAAATTCTATTTACGTTATAAATATATTCTACAAATCATATATTAATAAATAAATATTTATTATTTTTTGAAAATTTGTTATAATTAATAATATTTCATTCGTACATATAATTTTCATATAACCAAATTACATTGTGATTATAATGTGAATAAATAAATACTGTAAGCATACTTTCAGCATTCCAAGTATCTGTAATTTTATCCGCGAATCATAATCATCATTTAATATTATACAATGTATTGTAAATACATTGTAGTATAAAATATATATAATGTAGGTTACGATAGAAGGAAATATTTGATGCATAATTAAAATGTTGTGCTTAAAACGATCATTAAAAAATAAAACTTTATTAACGAGTATGGAAAGTTTTAAAATATAGCTATGATAATATAAAGTTTGAAACAAATGACAAGGAAAGCTTAAAAACATCTTTCAGATAAATCTTTTATTACAAAAACCAAACAAAAACATTTCATGGTCAGTTATGTGAAAAGGTGGAGCATTAGAATTGATTAATAAACAGGCTGGGTAACTTGAAGTAGAAAATTAAAGTGATCCATGGCAAAATGTGAAAGGCAGTCTTAAACGGTGACAGACTGCGCTCACTTATAACAAATAGTGTGCCTACCAGAATTCATTCTCAATTTCAAATCAACACTGGTAATCGCAAATCAACGCACTCTTTTGAACTACACTGAGCTCAGTTGAATCATACTTTCGTCTTAATACGATTCTTTATGTAAAGTATTCATGTCAAATACATGTTAATAATCCCAACCGCCAATAATAGAAAAATACGATTATGATAAAACAATTCGTAAATTTAGGTAACACGTACTATATATTCGTATGTATGTAGTGTATGTACGTCTTAATTAGGCTGCGTACGTTTAGTGTATGCACGAGCACGCGGGAAAAAGAGAAATGTACAGAATATTACAATAATTACAATAAACTTCTAATTCGAAGGTGTGATATCAGTGACAACATTCATCGGCTTCTCAAAACTAATTGTCCATGGAAGTTGAAAGAATTTTGGAGCGTGTTGGCTCTAAAAAAGAAGTAGTCATTGATAAAAATTTTGTGAGTTTTTCATTTAATGCTCATTTAAAAATTATTTGTTTAAAAACCTTTCCAAGACCTTATTTTACTATATTTATAATAAATTATGTATCTTTTATTTTCACTATACTTATAGTAATATAAATATATTTTATACCGTAAGAACATAGATAAATCATATACCTAAACGCTTGAAATATTTAATTGTAAACCATTATTCTTTTTAGTTTTACTGTGGACGAATGAAAGAAAACGATCTAATATGTCTCAGTTTATTAGTATCAAGAGAACATTGTTTATTTACGAAACTGCTAGATGGTTTATATGTAACAGATTTAGGGGTGAGTAATTTTTCTATATTTTATATATTTCAGTTCATAAAATATAGACATTTATATATAAGTTAATCTAACATGATAAATAAAAATTTTTATATTTATAGAGTTCCAATGGCGTTTATATAAATGGAGTTCAAATAAGACCAAAAAAACAAATTCTCTTAAAAGAGAAAGATTATATTGGTATTGGCTGTGCTGAAATGATAAATTTAAATGAATCCATGTTTGTATATAAAGTTAAAAGTAGGGTAAGAAATTGATTTAAATATTTATTGTCAATATTAATTATTTATATTATTTTATTTATACTTATTTATTATAATTTAGAAGGTCAGTGACAAGAATCTTAAAAATATTGATTCTGTTGATTTAAAAGAAAGTAATCTAGAAGAATGCTCAAGGCTTGTTCTAAAAGAACAATCTAGATCACGCAAATCAGATAGCGTAGAAATATTAACTAAAGTACCCAAGGCAACCATAGAACATAAACTAATAATTTCCAATTACAATCATAATTTATATAATAATACAGATGAAAATGATATCAACATAGTTGAATCCAGTAATATGAAAAATTCATTAGGACAAATGGATGAACATCCTCTTGTACAAAAGAAAAATGTCAATACTATGAATTTATATAAAAAAGATGATATATCAAAAGAAGCATCTGAATGCTTGAATGCTCTTGATTACATAAATACAAATGTTGAAAAGTTGCATTTTGATAGAGTTCCACAAGTATTACTGTCTAAAGGCATCGATGTAAAAGAAATACAAAGATCTAATGCTTACAAAAATAACAATGAAAATATGGAATTAGATTTAGTACCAAAAGTATATAGTCTTACACATAAAGCCAGTGAAAAGCATTTGAATGATAATATAATACTAGAAAATATTTTTTTTGATAATGTAAATATTAAGCAAGAGTCACACAGTTATATCAATCCTAATAATTCAGTTTCTATAAAGCAGGAACCTGATTTAGATTGTTTTTCACAAATCGATCTAGTGGAAATAAACGATGACGAAGATAGTATATTTCCATTTTCACAATTATTTGATAAATCCGTCGTTAAAGAAGAACTTGAAGAGCAAGATAAGTTTTTACAACAATCATCATTATTTCTAGATGACGATGACGAAAACGTTATAACAATTTTGGATAGCGATGATGAAAATGCTTGTGATATAAATAAATTAACTGACTTAGGGTTAAAAATAAAAAATGAACCAGAATTTGAGTTTCCAGATATGACAGTGCCTACAAGTTTTGCATCAAATAATGTTATGAATATTTCTCCCGATAATATAGATGCGCTTAGTGATAATATATTGAAATCTAATATAAAGCTAAATGATAATATTGCAAATAACAAAATGACTAATGCACTATTAAAAGAACAAGAAGAATCTACACCACATCAAAAAGTATTACCTGAAATATTAATTTGCAAGAATGCAAAAATTCCAAATAAAACTAAAAACAAAGGGCTTGAAATTATTGAACCACATTTTATGAAACCTAAGTTAAAGGTTGTGAAAAAAGATAAAAATAAATCAAAAAATAAAGAAAAATCTGAAAGCAAACATGATAAAATAAAGAAACATTCTTCTGATTCATCAAGCTCTTTTATAGAAAAAAGTGTAAATAAAGAATTATCAAAGGATAAAATATACGAGAAAGATACAATTCATTCGTCAACAAATAGTTCTGCTAAGATTAGTCGTAGTAATAAAGATAAAAAGCATATAATAACGAAATGTAAGAGCACTTTGGCAGCAAATTCCAAAAAGTACAAATATCCAAATAAAAGAAAAAAACATAATGAAAGTTTTAATAAAAGTGATTCCAGCTCAGTTGAAAATGTATCGATGTATTCTGAACCACAAAAAGAAATTAGATCTGAACGTAAGACCACGATAGTAAAAGTGAAAATTTCAACAAAAACACGTGGGGATATGTTATATGATTCTATGCAATCATTAAAGCCACGTATAAAGAGTAAAAAATTAAGTTCTACTAAAAGAGAAACATCAAATTCTTCCAATAAAGCATCTAAATTATCTTCATTTGTTATTCCGCGACGTCAGGTACCACCATCCTCTATATCAACTAGTGATTCTGTCCTCGGTGTCAATGAATCAAGTAATCCGCAATCAAAATCTTGTAATAAGCAAACTATTTCAATATTATCAAATACAACAAACTTAATCAATGTTTCATCGACTGTATCTAATCTTAACAACAATAGATCGCCATCCAAAGAACAAATTACGGAAGATAAAAATATGCATTCAAAATTACAATCACTAAAATCTTTATTAACAATACCTTCTTTACATAATAGAACTCAAAAAAAAGTTTCATTCAAAGAAAACATTTCTTCTATTCGAGAATTTGGAATTGAAGAAGGCAACCGATTAAGAAATATTAAAGAGGGATTGTCCATTAGAAGTACAAAAAAAGATTTTTTGGAATACAAAATAATGGAACTAAAAATTGAAGACTTTTTAGCTCGTGTATTTGATTGGGAACCTATATGGCTTGAACAGCAGCAAACAGTAAAAGCTTTACCACCAATTGTAAAGAAAGAAGATATGCATGAATTGCCAAATCATTATAAATCTTTTGAAGAGTATTACAAAAAAATGGAGGTGTTATTATTATTGGAAACATGGCAGCAATTACTCAAAGAATATGAATGTACAGGTAACAGGTAAGCATACAGGCTATATTATTTAAACTAGAATTTTAATACACTTAAATGCATGTATTATAAATATAAAAGTTTTTTATTTTATTTTATTTTTTTTTAATGTAATATGCAGTAAATGTGTATAATTTTATTAATTAAAATTGTTTACGTATTATCTAAACTTTTATGTCTTATATATATATAGTTTTAATTGCAAGGAAGTCATAACTTATTAAATTTATATATTATATTATTTGCAGTCTTTAATAAAATGACAAAATTATTAATAAAATCTCATATTATATAACAATATTCTATTAAATTTAATACAAACACTTGAGAATGAAATGAGTATAAGAGACATAGAACGATATTAATAATTGATTAAATTAATATTTACTATTTCTATCATCAATATTCTCAAAAAACGAAATATTATATGAAACTGTTTCAAAGTTCTGTTGTCTAGTAAATTTAGAAATATATAATAATTTGAAAAATGTAAAAATCTAAAAATAATTAAAAATAAACTTTTTAATACCTAAAATGTATACTAATATTAGTAGTTTTTTATTTAAATTTTTTAAATCACATTAACATATATTTTATATTTCTATACAGTAAATATTTAATACATAACATATAAACTTCAGCATTTCAAATTATTAACATATAATATATGGAAAGTAAAATCAGAAAATATAACTAAAATAATTTTTGTAAATTTCACAAATTTGAGAGTTTTTAAAAATAATATAATTGATGTTTAAGGTACAACTCATCCATTGTTTTACCATGTAAACTTGTAAGACATTCTGTAAGACAGATGCAAACACCCAATGGCTTTGGATATTCGACGCTGCTTATAAACACAATTGTTTCAAAAAATCAATTGCGATTACAAAATCATCCAGTTTATGGTGATATGATAATTTTGGAATATGTAATCAAAGAAGGTGTTGTCCAAAAAATGCGAAGAATATTTGCTTATGTGGTACAGGTTCAACAGCAAAATTCTTTGAAATTTTTAAAATCGAACGAACAACTTTGTAAGCAATTTTTTAATCATTTAAACATGATTATTATTTTTCTATTATTTTTTTGTTATATTCATATGATTAATATAATAAAATATATCTTCTAATTATTACTGTTGCTGTAATCAAGGTAAATATGTCACCAATCCTGATGCTCTTTTATCATACACTGTACAAACGAGAAAAATTGATGAACATACAGTACAATTTGATCAAATTGCCAGATTGCGAAGTATTATGTACATGAGATCTCATTTGCGATTAATTCAAAGCTTGCAATATCTACCTCATTCTTTACTTCGAGATTCGATTTTAAAAGTTGATATTAAGGAATTTCAACTTGAGCCAGTAACAAAACAGCAGATTTATGACTATCAACTTGTAACAAAAGTACGTGAAAATTATTATAAATGTATACAATATATTTTTATTTATTAATAATAACCATAACTTTAGGAAAAACTTAACGAAAAACAAGTAGAAGCAGTTATTAAATTTACAAATGCTTCTATAAAATTAGAATCAAAAATTGGCCTCCTTAATGGACCACCAGGTATGTATAGTATAAATGAACTTAAATATTTAAGTACAATAAAAAAATTAATATACAATATATCAATATTTTTATGTTCCATATAGGGACTGGAAAATCAAAGGTCATTGCAAATTTAGTTACTCAAATACTTTATGGAGATGGTAGATATGTTGGAGGACGACCTTTCAGAATTTTAGTTTGTGCCCCATCTAATGCTGCTGTTGATGAGGTTGTATTACGTCTTCTTGAAATACGAGGAGCAATTAAAGGTTTGATTTAATTGTAATTGATTGTTACATATTATAATAAAAATAATTAAATAAATGGTCTATAATATTAATAGAGCATAGATTTAAAATGGTAAGAATTGGACGAATTGAGTCAATGCATGAAGAAGTTAAAAAAATATCTGTAACCGAATTGGCAAAACGAGAAGCTCAAAAAATATATTTTAATCAACGACCCAAAGGTTCAGAGAATGTTGAGAATAAGGCAATACTTTAATTTGTTTTTGTTTGAAAATGATTAAAATTTGTTAAATAATTATCAATGTATTTTTTTAATGTAGTATATTATTTCTAATTTTAGAAGTATAAATTAAAAACTGATATTAATGCACTTGAGTTACTTCTGGCTAAGAATCCTGACAATCAAATGTATAAAAAAGATCTCAAAGATTATCGTGCTAAATACAAAAATTTAACTAATATAAGTCCAGTAAGTTTATAAGACATGCATAATTTTACAAATATATATTAATAATTCATATCACATTTATTATATGTCTATATAGGAAGCAGAAGCTGCAGAATTATCTAAATTACAGAATTCTGCAAAAATTTTAATTTTACAAAAAGCAAACGTTATTGCATGTACATTGTCATCTTGTTATACTAGTCAAATGGAATCTATTTTTAGGTGAGCCAATGAATTTGATTATATTTTTTAATTTTGTATATAAAGTAATAAACAATGTTTATTTTCAGAGGATATTCCAATAAAATCACAATCTGCATTGTAGATGAAGCTACACAGTGTTGTGAAGCTGAAACATTGATACCATTAATGTTGGGTGTGAAAAATCTTATTTTAGTTGGTGATCCTAACCAATTGTCAGCTACTATTATGTCCACTGTAAATTAAATTTTAAATCCATTTAATTATTATATATATATGAAAATCACTATACTTTAATTTATTTCAAATAGGAAGCAAAAAAACTTGGATTAGACAAATCTTTATTTACAAGGATAAAAATGAATTTAGAATCTCAATATCAAGATGTTACTGAAAATTGTAATGATCCTATAATAATGTTAAATGTACAATATCGCATGGTCAACGATATATCTTATTGGCCAAATCATTATTTCTATGGAGGAAAATTAATGAATGCTGTAAATAATAAACAAAATTTCCCTTTTCAACCATATCGGGTTCTAAATCTTGATGCTGTACAAGATGACATAAAATTTTATAACACAAGCGAGGCTGTATTTGTTGGTAACTTAATAAATTGTTTAATGACGTATGCTAAATTGAGCTCTTGGGATAAAAAAATTACCATAGGAGTAATTACACCATATCAAAATCAAAAATCACTGATTTTATCGACAATAAAAGAATAGTAAGTTATTTTAAAAGGAAAAATCCTCTTTAATGCTTATTTGTTATTACTTTCATTTTTAGCACGAGAAATATATCTGCTAATATAAAAAATAAGTTTATAACAGAAGTTAACACTATTGATAGTTTTCAAGGTCAAGAAAGAGATATTATTATTATGTCATGTGTAAGAAGTAGTGGAATAGGATTTCTATCAGATCAACAAAGATTATGTGTTGCATTGACACGAGCAAAATATACTTTAATTATATGTGGTAACTTCACCACATTTCAGGTAATTTGCTACCGTTGTATACAAAAATACCATTTTATATTTGTATTTGCTATTTCAAGCTTTGATAAAATATGTTTAGTATTTTTATTGCACAAAATATATTTTTAATTTGAATATTTAATGTTCAATCAATCGTGACTTTCTGATCTTATATTTTAACTATTACACTTTTTTTATTGATAATTTCTTTTTTGACAAGAAATCGTAAATAAATAATTTGATAATGATTAATTTGATAATGATATGAATAAGTTTTTGAATTTTTATCATAAAAATTTTGTATCATTTTTTATTTGTTTTAGAGAGATAATGCGTGGAACAATTTATTACAAGATGCATGTTCACGAGAGGTTGTAGCATATTTAAATACAAATGCCAAACCACATGATATTAAATATCACGTTATAAAGTTAGATTAGAAATCAAAATTGTGTTTTCAGAGTATTGGAATGAAAGTCTGTAAGCTTATATTATTGTTTTTTATATTTTGTTTTTACATTATGTTGTATTATTATTACATATATATATATATATACACACACGCACACGCGCGCGCGCGCACACACACACAGACACACACACACATATATATATATATATATATATATATATATGTATATGTATATATCATTAAATTATAAAATTATGGATTAATTGACTTATAGATATTTTTTTATATTTATAAATACATTGTTTAAAATTTCTATTTTATTTTCATTTCATGATTTTAAACTTCCAAATAATGAAATGATTAGGTAAATCTCTAAGCCTTGTAATATAATTAGAGTATTTATATATTTTTAAATCATTGATTTAGAAAAGATTTCTTTTATTAACAAAATGGTACATTTTTTTTATCGTTATATTATTACATATTGTTCGGTCACTTTAGTTTTGAGAATAAAAATGCAAATTATCTTATAAGATTTTTTTGTTGATATACAAATTAAATAAGTAAAAATACTTTTATTGTTTGAAATTCTATTTTACTTTATTATAAACGATCTATAGCGTATGTACAAATAAATTTAAATAGTAAAGTGACATTCATTTTTAAAAGCATTCTCAACTATATCATTTAGTTGTCATTCATAATTCACAATCATTAAACATGGAAATTTATAGTTTTCGAAGAAATTATAATGAATGTATAGATAATTGATAAAGTTACAAAAAGGCTCACAAGAGTAACATTGCCTTTATAAAGCGAACCAGTGGACGACCTAATTATGGGCGGCATCCTTTCCGTTGTCGAATACCCTTAAAGACAAAAAAATATTGAACGTCATTTTAGATGTTTATAACATCTTTAAAAAAAAAATGATAGAATTATAGTATTGCGTCACCTTTAACAATGCCTCTAATTCTTGTCGACATTGGCATTCGTGTTGTTATCGTCTTTATTGGCGTCGTTATTTTCATAATAGGAATATGCGGACTCGTATTGGTCGGTATTGTTGGGGCAGGACTAGATGAATTCCCGTAACATTGACCTGCATTATTTAAAGGTAATAATTTTTAAGAGATTTGATTATCAAAACTATTTAAAATATTTTTTTTACTCAGTTTCATTCGACGTGCTGTCGTATGTTTTATAAAGTCAACGTAGTGTTTCGGATTCCGTTCATTTAAAAACTTAATTAATAATCAGTTTTGTACTAATGTTATCAAGTATCACAAATCTACGATTATTGTACATACTAAATACTCATCGCCAACAATTGAACGAAATTTAATTATAATTAAATAGAAAACGATGAGAAGCAATTAATTGATAGTAAATTAGTGCTGAGAACTATTTGAATATACAACAATGCTCTCTCGAACTAGACTAGTAGTACTAGAAATACCTTTTCTGTATAATCGCATGCCTTCAGTTTTAGGATCTATATTTCGTATACAATAGTCGCCGGCTTCTTTGATGTAAATCTCTTCATCGTTTATTATGATTCCAACGAAGCATTCGTTCGTACCGGTATCATTTCTCATGGTATAAGTGTACGTAACTCCTTTCTCTTCCCACTGTCCCAAGCATAAGTAGGTTCGTTCTGTTTGAATATTTCAATATGTGTGAACATAATCAAAGACAACTAAATGAAGAATACAATGTGAGAGAAATCAAAGGAATGACGTACCTTCGTATAGCTCTCCGGAGTCACAATCATATACTTTGTAATACATGACCTGACGGTTATTACAATTGCTACTTAGCTCAGCACACATCCCCGGAAAATCTGTATTCTGGCCCGTGTACTGACCCGTTATTGGACATGGAGATTCTATCGTGCGCTCGAGTCGCGCAAGAGTCCACCAAACCGCACTCGACCTGTCCAGTAAAACACTCGTGTCGTTGCAGAGAAATGATTGATACACTGGACTAGACATTGTACCTGGAGTTACGAAATCATATAAGTATTATTCGTCGTTATTAATTTTAGTATAAATTATATAGTTCTAAAGCTTTCCCATTCAAAACATACTATGTTTTATGTGAATAATTAATTAAAACTCACAAAATTATTTGTTGAGGAAAATACTTTTGTATTATATTTCACTTGCTTAATAATATCATAAAAGATTGTTATCAAATATACTAGAAATTTTTAATCGAGAGAAAAATAACCGTCCATCCTGATATCTCTTGTGTACGCGTAAAAAGAAGATTAGCATTTTTCTAATTAAAAATTTTTATACTAAAATTGTTTTTATCATATCAATAATCATGTATTATAATTATAAAATTTAAACTGACCTGTTATGAATTCCAAAACATTTTCACTACGTTGCTTCATTATTAAGCAAACATAAGCTTCCTGTTCGCTAAAATAAAATTGATATTTTATATAAAATACTTTGTATAAAATACTATATTATTATATTTATTCCATATTTATCTACGAAATTGTACTCACCACTGATCTCTAGAAAATACGATGTAACGTCCGATTTCTTCATTGGAATCTACAGTTACAAACGTAAAACTCTTGTACCCGTTCAAATCATTGAATGTCATTGTTCCATTAACTATTAGAGTTTCTTCCCATTCCCCTTGAGCCCACGAAGGAAATCTAATATTTCAACAAGAAAATTTATTATGATTAATTCTGAGATGATATATATATATATATATATATATATATATATATATATATATATATATTTATATTATAAACATTTATAATATGTAATTATTAATAATCACTACTCACGTTGCTAAATTTTTTATAACATAGTTTGGCATATTTCTCTGAGTCGTTGTTTTACTAAGTACAAGGCTTTCATAACCATTTGTAGAATTATGAAGATTTTGAGTGCAACTTGAGTCGCTGCTAAGTGTTAAATATGTTTTTGCTGTTTTACTATCAACGTGGTATATCTGCAATATTAAGACTTTATTAAATTAATGTTATAAATAAAATTAAAAATGTATGATTTCATTGAATAAATACATTTGATATTTCAAAAAAATGTGTGAAACTTGTTTCCTTTTTAAAATTAAATGAAATTTTAATTACAATTATTAATTTAAATTATTCGTTTTATTTATTTTTAAATAAATAAATTATATACTAATAATGATATTAATAATAATATTAATAATAATTGAAAAATGAAAACATTATATAGCGGCATAAATTTACATTCTTAAATGAAATAATGTACTTTATTCTTAGAACAATACTATGCATTCAATAATAAAAATAGATAAGACAGAAAAAATAAATAGGTAAATTTTGTCTAAATTTCTTTATTCATAATAATAATTATTATTATTATTTTATTTGCAGAGTGCAGTGACATACCCCACAGCGATAACGAGGTCGTCTACGCCTAGCGGGACCAGAAAATTCTGCACTACCCCTACTATCCAAAAGTGCTACGTACATAGGATTATCACTGTTTGTTCTTGAATTCGATATTGGCCATGTACCAAGACACTCGAAAGTTACGTCTTGAATTATATTTCGAAAGTAAATGAAAGTATGCAATATTAATGGAAAATACTTATTTGACGTAAGAAAATATTGAGTTAATAGATTACCGTGATCGTCGAAAGAGCATCGCTTGAATTGTAAATGCAAAAGTGAACCAACTGGACAATTATCCAAAACACTCGTCTCTTATTTCGGCATTATTATTTTCCAAGACATCAAAATCATAATTCACACTGTACTTGAAGCGATATTTTCCTGCGAACGGGCAGTACTCATTTCTTATTTTTTCGCCTCCAACTTCACTAATACCTGCGCACAAATGAAATATGTAATTCCTTCAATGAGATCGAAGAAAATATTTTCATGTATGATGATAGAAATTGTTAGTTTTTTATCATTATAATCTATTTCTTATTTAATTTCGATAAAATGGGTTTTATTCACTTATATTTACTCACGATATAAGATTGCGGTGGAGTTGAGTTGATTGCATGATTCGATCGCGACAGTTTCATTCGTATAGCACCTGTTAAGATCTTTTAAGTAAACCTCGATGATATTACGTGATCGCCGAATTAGTTGGAAACACCTTATGCACTCACCATATCCACCGCGCCTGTATATAAATTTATATAAACATCAATTTATTATGAATTACCATACATTTATCTTAAAGACAATTGTGGTATTGCATATAAATATTTGGTTTAAGTAATATTATTATTGAAAAGTGTATCAAATATCTTACTTTAAGATTAATTTTAAATAACCTTAAAATTATTTAATACAAAGTTTTACCGAACTTTTTATTTGTACAAAATATTATACGTATATATTTATATGATAAACTTAATGTAAATAATTAAAATCTTTAAAAATGTATTATATAAATAAGTTCATTAATTAATTTAATTGTTTATTTAAGAACAGTTTGTTATTAATTTGTGGCCAAATTGAGTTATTGAAATAATTTATAACTTTAAGAATAAAAATAAATACATTGTTCGCTTAATTTGAGATCCATAGTGTGATGCGATAGTTAAAAACAAAATATTTTTTGTCAATAATAACAGTGAAAAGTAAGATTAGCCTCAATTTTATATTTGATACGAATAATATGACAGACTGTCAATTAATAATTAATTTGAAATTATAATCAATTCCGTAAATACGAGAATTAACATTATTTTGTATTTATTTTTTTTTCTCAAATAAAATAAGAATAAGACGAAAATAAAATATGATATTGGATGTACGTAATTGTGGAAATGTATAGTTAAAAATAAAATGACTTAAAAATATTAAGTTGAAAAATTCAATATAAAATATGCTCAACTTCAATATATACATACAATGGATCAAAAGTGAAAAGACCTAATGAAGTTAAAATAAAAATGTTAAATTTTTTTTAATCCATCTAAATCTGTCACCATTTAATGAAAATATTTACATTTTAATGTCAACCTTGAATATGTGTCATTAAACTAAAATAAATTATTTTTTATATTAACACGTGATTTAATAAATTAAAATAATATTAATAATTCTATTTGAGACAAGCGAAGATTCACTATACATATTAACTGTATAGAAGATAATGAACGAAATTAAAATGGCAAAGGCGGTAATTGCTAATGAATTACAAAGAAAAATACATTTAATTATATAAAAATGTTCTAGAGTTTATATTTTATAAATACTGTATTCAGAATTCTTTCTTCGTTCAGATTTGTACAAATACTTGCATGCGTATACGAGAGAACGTTATTGTATGTGTGTATTAATAAATCGTTTGATGCAACATATTAAATGTTGTAAAAAAAATTGTGCTGTATGTACAAAAGAAAAAGGAACACGGAGATTTCTAATAAATAAGTTGATAATTTTTAAAGAATGTTTGTGATGCACCGTTAAAATAAATATTTGTATTTGGTGTGTAATTAATTGGTGTAAAAAAAAGTATACCTGTCCCTAAGTAACACCTTATTGTCGATTTTTCTATGACAATATCCCCAGACAGGGATAGCATCAAATGTAATGTTGAGTATGGAGTATTGGACTATGGGCTCGCCATCGTCGAAGGTGTTAATATTGCCCCTGGTGTTGCCAATGCTATTGCCGCTGCTCACCTGCATCACGAACTCCCCTTGGTACTCGGCAGAAAAGTAACAGCCAGCTCTGAATTCCGAGAATTCTTGATTTTGTAACTCCTCGGTCGCAATAGTCGATAAACCTAAAAACAAATAAGTTGCATTTACAGATATTTATACTGTTGAGCATCTTCATATTGGTTAAGAAGAAACACGAAATCTCTCAAATAATGCCAACTGACATTCTTATTAAATTCTTTCGTTTTATTTTCATTAAGTAGAGAGACTTAGATGGCTCTTAATTTTTCTATCCTTGAATTTGAATGTTCTACAAGTTTTAAAGGATTTGTGATTTATGGGGAGAAATTAATGGCGCGAAAAGGTTCGTTCTCAAATTCAGCGCTAATTTTATGTTGAAGGATATAATATTTAATTTGAATTAAGATATTTTATCGACCTTTATATTTTTACAATAATATAATATGAAATTGTTAAAAATTATTTTAATTTTTATGTCTTAGGAATTTATAAAGATCTATTACACTGTTGGCTTATAAAAGAAAAAGGAATATGTTGGTAATAAATTACAACTTATGAATATGAATAAAAAAAATTTGTTCATATCCATAAATCCATTTGTTTGTGTGTGTGTGCAATTTACAAGTAAAGAAAAAAAATTAAACTGTAAGTCTCAGTTAAACTTCGGTAGGAACGGTAAGCAACTATAATTATAACATTTTTACGGAGTTTATTTAACAGTGATTAGTGGTTTAATTCAATAAATTTATATTTATTCATTAAAAAGTCTTTTGTAGATGACAAGTGCGGAGAAATGGTCTCGCAAGAAACTTGTGGTAACCCGATCTAATGATAAAACGAAGCAAGCTGTAAATTGTAATAAGGGAGAGACAAAAGCAGGAGGAAATACCGCTATTCCAGTCAAGTTCAAGAAACGAAGGATAGCAGTGTCGTATCCACGAACCAATAACTAAATCTTTGAGCATTGTCTCACGGTCTTAATCGAGGAGGGAGGGTGGCAACGCCGATGAATGGGATAGTGGAATACGAGAGTGGTAGGGAGTAAATTTTTCCTCGCGACCTTTTCGCGAATAGCGCGTGAGTGTGCCCTACTACTTCGCGATGCAAACACGCGGATAGTTCTCCGACGTAAAGCGAGTTTCGAAACGTTTAAGAGTTAAGGCGAGACGCGAGGAGCATCGCCCTGAGGAAAGAGAGAAGGTGCGGTGTCCCCTCCAGTACAAAAGTCTTTCCAAGCACCTTTACGGGCGCGTCCCCTCACATAACATGACTCTCTCTCTCTCTCTCTCTCTCTCTCTCTCTCTCTCTCTCTCTCTACGTAGTTCTAACACTCCCAGCTCGGATGCTTTCGGCTCTCACTAAAAAGAACTCTGCCTGCTCTCAAAACAGTTCCAATGCGAGCGGAAATGCACCTCCTCGCGTCGTTAATTGGAAAGCTGAATTTTACAAAGCTTGCGGATCGTGGTAGCATCTTATCTTAAGGTACCTAGCATCACTCTTCGGAGCGTAATCGAAGCTCCCGTGTTTTCTTTGCGTAAGCGTCCTCTCTGATTTCTTGCGCTCTTTGAAAATGCGGACTTCTAGGATTACTGGATTTTAGCTCCAAAGGAAGAACGAAAGTCTTGAAGTGGCAACGCTCATTGTTGCGGTTTTCAAAATTTTGAGGCACTTAAACATTTTTGGTGAAAAAGAACATAAGGCAATAGATAGCTGGTCAGTATGAAACTTATTATCAATTTTATCGTAGAACTTGCCTCGCGTTCAAATTCATGTTATCGAGCGAGAAAAAAAGGAAGAAGAAGCGAAATCTAGACAGGAAAAGAGACGGTAGATTGGGGGGGGGGGGGGGGAGAGAAAAGGAAATCATGAGCAAGAGCACCAGAGATTCTCGACGGAGCTGAAAGGTAAATACAAAAAAAAAGGTAGTCTTTACACAAAGGGAAAGGAAACCGGATAATAATGACGATGCTTCTGCGGTCGCCTTCTTGCAAAGCGTATACCTATATATACAAGATGAAACCAACACGAACGAAGTTCGGTAAGAGAAAGAGATACGATGGTCCCAAAAATTACTGATCTAATCATGAGGAACGAAGTGGCCGCCACAATTTCCGCTGTTTTGTTCGGCCACCTGTCGTGCCACCACCCCCTTTATAAACCTTGAATTCCAATTTACTTGCCTTGGCCGCCGACTATTTTGTTTCTCCTTTATTTTCCCATTTCATTGATCTCCTTCATTCACCAATGTCTTTTCTCTCTCATTCCGTTATCGATACTTTATATTGATCACCATAGACCATAGCTTGATAATATCTTGATAACTACTTCGTATACTTAATCACAATTCTATTTCAATAATTATCTATTACGTACAAAGTTTACTAATTGTTAATGCAATTAATATCCTGTGTAAGATTGCCACACTTATGAGTATTATATATATTTTCATAATTTTTGTAATTTCAAATTTTTTTTCCTCTATAGAATGAGTATGTCAAATACAATCGAAATAAATACTTTAAGCCGTTAAGAATCGAGACTGTCATAAAGAATAAAAACATTGACAAATTTTCTTTAAATAATCACTTGCGTTTTCTTTTCGCAAGCTCTTCAGATATTCAGATGATACCTAAACTTTTTTATTATAGCAAAGTCAAATATTGACAAACATAAGAGTCTCTCCTTGCCTATAAAACTTTAGTAAATTTTAGTATTATCTTATAATATAAACACACGCTATATAATTTCATAGGGGTTTACATTTTAATTAACAATAAATAACAATAAATATAAGAAACTTATTGCATATTAAAAATGAGGCAAAAAAAAAATACATACATAAATAAAATGCCTCTTCTATTGTTTTTATCTCTTAAAAAAGTATCCGAATGTAATAATAGCTTAATAGAATCAGCATGCACTCTATTGGTCAATGAGATGCACTTGATAGCTGTAATGCCATTCATTTACCTTGCATATGCGAGAGTATTGTTGTTTACAAGATACCGCGGTACTCGCAAAGGACGTTTACATTTTAATTGAAAAACTAGCATTTGCCGATAGAAACAGGCGTGTACGTTCATTACGAGGGATGTCATTCCAACGTGCACTCGACGGTTCGAAAGGAACGGTTCCGCGTGAACGCGGTATCATAAGTACTGGGAACGATATGATTATAAGGGAATCGAAAAGCTAAGAAGGAGTACGACTACGTACATTCGCGCAGGTTAGATGCGAGAGATCGTGCCTTAAGTAAAAAATAAAAAGCGGGAATGAGATGCATGGCGGCTTGCCTGCCAACTCCAAGAAGCGTCGGCCCTCTTCCAAAAAACGATCTAAATTTATCCCACGGATACAGCCGTCCGACTCTGGTTCCACTACCGAAAGTATCACCCAAGATCGAGTCAGGCTACAGGCCGGACTTCCACTTTTCGCTCTTCTCAAATGGCAAGCCTCGCTTTTTATAGAAATATGACAGACTCCTATATCTTTTCGAACTTTTCCATTTATTCCTTCGTTACTACAGCCTACTTAACGCGCGCAAGTTCAGTCTTCGTACCACCTATTACGCACATTACTTTGGCATTCTCAAAAATCTTCCCTCCTCTAATCAAATTCCTATTTATAGGCCGCTCCTTTGATTGTTTATATTATTTTTAACGGGCACTTATCTGTCATGTTTTATTTATGTTAAGGCCAGGGTTAAAATATTTTTAAATACTTTTTCCCAATAGTATACGGCGAATCATTTTTCAAAATGAAGTATGCGAGCTACATATTCACCACATTATGATAGAATATACTTTTAAACGAGAGCTAGAATTCTTAATTTGTACCGATCGTTCTTTTTTTTTTTATTGTATTTTATTTTAATTTTTTTTTAATTTTTTAATTTACTTTTTATTATTATTATTATAATTCTTATTATTATTTTACTAATGTGAAAAAAGAATATTCGTTAAAAAAATAATGCAAGCTGACGTTCAACTCAGTTGACGAATATATTATGTTAATAACAAAAAATATTTTGCTAAAATTCGCACGATAATTCGAACTCGTTTATAAGCTTAGAAATAATAAATTGTTTGTCAATACCAATATAAAAAAGTGGTGAAAACAGACAAAAAGGTGCTCGATCGTTGATTGTTTCTTTCGCGAAAAATAAGAGACACAAGAAAGTCCGGATAGGTGAGAAGCGATCGGTACTATGTGCCATTTGTCGCTAATCGGCACTATCTATTATACAATTAACACAATTATCACACTATCTATTGATACAAAGTTGCTCCTTAAGAAATTGTGCTCTTCACTATAGCAGCTTAACTTTGCCTGCTGCTGCTGCTGCTGCTGCTGCTGCTGCTGCTGCTGCTGCTGGAACTTTTGCCATTTTCTCAATTACTTTTATCGACTTTTAATATTCTCAAGATTTCAATCGACTTGGCTCAGATCTGCTTACAGATAATACGACACTGGTTAATCATAAAATGGTTTGTCTTAGCCAAATTGAGGCAACTATTAATAATACAGTCCTTAAGTGTATCGCGTGCGGACTTATTATTTATTCATATTTATTAATGCCTTGTGGAATAAAAATTACTCCCGTATAGATGAAATTTGGTAACAATTAATTACCAAGAAATCTATCGCTTCGCTTATTAAATTATCATTTGGTTCAATAATAATCCAATAAGAACCAAGTGAAAAAAATCTTAATGAAACTTGTCATGAAGTCAAACGACAAATGATAATCTTATAATTTTAGAGTGTAAATCAACTGCAACATTATATCAAGCAACTCCTAGTATATAATGGCAGATAATTTACATTAAACAAACGTTATGCCAGCAAATCATTCATGAGATTTATCACATTTTAATCAAGTTAGAGAGTATTTTATATAGAGAGATAAATTTTTACTCATATACTCATTTTGCATTGAATTTATGAGTAGACTAAAAGATTGTTATATGCTTACCGATGCATGAATTTTTTTTCTTTTTTCTTTTTCTTTTTTTTTTTTTTCTTATAGGCTTGTCGTGAACACCATTAAAGATGACTTATGACTCAATTGCAGTGCTAACAATAGGATATATTTGATTGGTCTATCTTATCTGTGTGTAAAGTATTTACTTTCTTATTCTTTGAAAATCTGTGAAAGATAAAGTGAAAAGTATTAGAATTCCATTATAAAATTTACGCCGTCGTTAGTTAATCGAAAATCCTTGATACTGTATGGTAACAAAACAAAAAAAAACAAAAAAAAAAATATCGATGGAGCACTTAGCAGAGACTCCTGTTCCACTATACGTCTACTTTTAATCAAGAACAAAAATCAATCGGTCGGTTAGTCGGTGAGATTGTTTATTTGTTCAAAAAGTCCCCTCTATCGGATAACTCATGCGGCAGCGCGAGAAAGGTTGGTAAAAGCAGCATCTAGCAAAAGAGTGGCGACTCGAGGAAACTCGGATTAGCGTCTTTGTTCCTGGGGTCCTTGGACAGAGATCACCTGGACTCGCGAAGCAAGCGAAGAGCAGGGGACAATGAGAGGGAGTCCTTTTCCAAAAAAAAAAAAAAAAAAAGACAGGGAAGGGTTCCCGAAAAGCATGGAGTTCGTGTGTTCGCATAATCACAGGGGCCATTTATCCGGTGCAGCGACAGGCGCAGAAGAGACGCAATTTCTCGAGGTATCCGTTCGTGCCAGGTTTCGTCGTGCGTGTCAACGGACGTGTGGGCAGCTGCGATTCGGCCAAAATCATCAGGCTCGTTAACGAGCCGCAGCTGCAAGTTCAAGCGACCCGACCGTTTTCCCGAGAAAGGGCTCCGAAACGGCAAATATACTATATTAATAGCCTCGTTGGAAGATCGGCGAAAGCTCGCTACTACTTTTGTTAACGAATAAATTATCAGCCGCACGAGCGCTCCTACACCGACGTGCTCGTACCTAACGCTCGGCAATTACTGTCCGGATATTGAAAGGACGCGCTCTCGTACTGCTAGAGTCGGATGACCGCTTTCAAGGCCCCGCGACACGCTTCTGCACACCGCCTCCTCTTGCTTCCACTCGACTTCTTTACCTCATAGAGCCATTCTTCTCGTTCTATTTTTTGCTCGGTTAATTAGCGTCTTTGCAACCTCGGAGTGTAATTTTGAAAAAAAAAAAAAAAAAAAAAAAAAAAAACCACAATTGAGCACTGAGACTTTCACTAACAGCAGAACGCGCAAAATCCACTCGATTACGGAAGCTTTATCACGCAAGTTAAAAAAAGGAAAAAGTCGGTTATTTAATGGTGGATTAATGGTGAAAACGAGAATGGTTCCTACGTAAGAGGACACTGACTCAACAAAATTTGCCTACGAAGAAAAAAATAAAATTAGAAGAAATAATACACGACATTGCTCGATTGCTTTACAATAGCTCTCGTCGGGTCAGTATACCATTCCTACAATCACACCTGTACTTTTATGTACCTCCGTATGATACTCACCGCAGCGTGGACTATCATTTTCCCCCTATCCTTGCACTATTCCCAATAGAAGTAGGGAAATTAAAGAATCGCAATTGGTTGTGCTAGAGTCGACATTAAAAAGCATTGATTGCTTATCCTAATTTGACAATGACATTTTTATTTCCTACGGATCACGTACATGCGATATTATATGCATGTAGCAAAAATATGTTGTCCTCGACAAACCCCCGTTTTTCTTCTCAAAAATTCTTCTTTTGACAAAACCTTCAAACTTTATTTACATTAAAATTAATCAGCTATCTGATTTTTGGAAATACTACGATGCATTTTTTGTCATTAGAATTGTAACTAATAGGAGGCTAAATAACAATAGATTATATTATTTTCATAGCTTAATTTACATCTAGAAAATGCGTTGTTTTATTTTCTTTTATTTATTCGTTAAAAATATATATTCAGTCTCTGACTCACTTCTGAAGAATATATCACAAAGCAATTAGACTTGATTCGTTGTAGTATTTCTCCATTAAAAATAAAACATATGTTTAAAAGAATTAAATGTTAAAAATATATAAATCAAAAGAAGATTCGAATTATAATATATAATAAACTCCAGATATAATACAAATGCTTTTTTTTAATTCTCAAAAGAAGAAAAGTTTGTTATACATGCCTTCGTTTATATATATATATATATATATATATATATACATATATATATATATATATATATATATATATACATATATATATATATATATAACTATGCGAATCCAAATTTATAATTGATGTACAGAAAAAAATTATACAAGTTGATTGTGAAATACAATAAATAATATTCATAACCCTAATATAGAGAGTGAAAAAATTTCGTTTTATTGTTTTCTCATGGTGCAAATTCTCATTTGACGTTTCGACTCGAGACATGAAAGAATGGAAATAATAGGATTTACATAATGCGTAGGTATATTTTATCTCTTTTGAATATACATGCAAATATAATGGTTATTTCTTATATTGTATATAGTTTTGGACGTAGAATTTTTATACGAGCATATTTTTAATATTCACGCGCGAGTCTATGCACGTAATAATTACGCAGGTACGTACGTTGATCGTCAAAGAGAAATCATGAACAAGAAAAGACAAACGACAGAATAGAGTTCTGCGACAAATTGCCTTCCTAGCACAGAGAAGAAATCGGAAAACGAAGCCAGGGACGCATATTCCAAAACGATTATTAAATTCTTTTCCTTTTCTCCCTACGGCCTCCATGCGTATACTTCGTCTCTCTCTCTCTCTCTCTCTCTCTCTCTCTCTCTGCTAAGCCTCCCACATTTGCTGTTTCATTCAATATTTAGTCGTTTTCTTGTTTCGTTCTCTTCCTTCCTCTTCGCACCATTCAATAACATCGGCCAAAACTGAAGCGTCGATTGTTTGCAGAGATGTGCCACACAAGCATTCCAACAATAAAATGAAAGAGAATTTGGATAAGGCAATAAACGAATATCTGTTTAGTCCGATATTTAGCTATTTGTATATATCTGCATATGGTTATGTATATATATATATATATATATATATATATATATATATATTTATTTATTTGTGCCTTTTGTCTGTCATCTTACGAACACTTGACTTGTATGGACACATTTACCTTACGTTCGATGCGCTTTTTCTATCAACGAGGAAAAAACATGTTGATTTAATACCTTTAATGAAATTCAATCGACTAAAGCATCGTCAATTTTTTTTTATTATCTCAAGAGCTGTATCACGAGTTCGGAGAGCACATTTTGAGCTGTAAACATCGAGGCAACTCTTTATTTAAAAATGAATATGTTTGTAGGCTGAGTAACTCAAGCGCGATTATTATAAGACTGTAGTTTTTACAGATTTATTAATAATCGTATAAATTTTTTACGAAGAATGAGAAATGGGAGTGCGAGCGGTGTGTGCAATGCACAGCTCGGGAATTCCCCCTGAGAGATGAGTGGCAGTAGTAAACGGGAGGAGTAAGAGGGATCGAGAGTCGATTAAGAAAAAAGAAATAAGAAATTATTAGGGTGAGCCAGATGAGATAAGATACGAGCTTCTCGCTCTCTTTACGATACTGTTTTCCGCAGGTTGCACTCGACGGTCCAACTTTCTCGCTTCGAGTTCATAGCAGTCTTGAGGTCCAAGCACAGCGGCGAATCGTGAATGAAAAATTAGAAATTGCTGGGACTAAAAAAGCAAGACACATTTACTTAAGCTTATCGTTACGTGATTGAAATCTCATTCGCTGGCGTTCGCCAGGGTTGGCTGGTGAGTGGAGCCGAAACGTGTATCACTAGACGGAGACGGAAAAGCATTAAGCCTAGATGTTTCGTCGCTAAAGTATAATAGATTATCCGAAAATGTGGTCTCGTGCAAGAATTTCGGACGTGCGGAAGAAAGGATATCGCTGAAAACACGTGGTCCATTGAGTAGAGATACAAGGAACTCAGGTACGAGTGAAGTCGTACAGTTGAAAGCACACGTCTGACCAGTCATGAATGAAGCGGCGAACGGGAGGAATGCGGAAAAGCCGGTAGGAGAAGAAAAGCAAAATATGCTGCTCGACGGAGCGAACACTGGCGGCCCGAGTTTGTGAATCGGTGGCCGTCCCGTTAAATTTATGGAACTGGAATTTACAAGCGGCTCGTAATAGTCGAGCCCTTTGAATAGGCAGTTTTCGTCAACAATGGCCCTGAAATTGGATGCCTTTTCGGCTTGAATCTTTAAGCCGATTTCAGTTGGGAACTTTCCTTTTTTCTTTTTTTTTCTTTTTTTTTCCAGATAACGACCTTGACCGCGCTTCTTCGGACAACTTTACCTATGCAATTAAAGTACTCGGAAGGGAGGTCGACAGGTCTCTTCTTGAGTTATGCACGAACGTCGCCGCCAACTTGGAAAAATCTGATTTCCGCGCACGCACCATCGTACACTCAAGAAATGAGGGAAGCACGAATGGATGTAGAGACTCGGGCTCACCTTGCGCGATCTCGAGGCCCACCAGATGCACCAATAGAAGTAGCAATAAAGGCAGCGGCATGGCGCGGTCGCTCCTCTTAGATCCTCGGTTCGAAGCAAACAGCTTCCCTCAGTTGCGCACTTGAAAGTCCATCGCGGGCTTCGGACGGCTCGTCCTCGGGGCTGCCGCCGCAACGAGGGCGGGTTAGCCGGTTGGAAAAGATGAACTCGTCTGATAATGTAGCAAAGTAACCGACTAGAAATTTACTGGAGCACGCACTCGTTGTCCCGTCCACACGGCTTCGCGCTCGCGCTAACTCTAAAGCACTCCCGGACTGCCGAGTGAGTCGGAGCCTCGGTGGTGGCCCCGCTCTACCCCCACTTCGGGGCCGCTCGGTCATTCTGCACTTTTTTCCTGCCCCTACCGTCGGACTTTTATCCGTGCGCTACTTCCCGTACTTTTACTTTTCTCTCGTTTCCTTTATCTCTATCTCGCCTCCTAATCGCGACTCAATAATGCCTCTTCTTTGTGTCTGCGTGACATTCGTCACTGGTGACGTTTCAATCACCAAATACCCCAGCGTTTTACGCAAATAAGCACTTTCTTTTATAAGAGCTGCCATTCCACTCTGCTCATCACTTCTAATTTAATATCAAAAAGTGAGCAGCTTCTCTTACCTTAATCCAACCTTCTCTTCGAGAAGACGCATCCTTCAACCGCGACTCTCAAGAATGACATAACCATGGATAAGAAATCGCTATGAAATGCATCGATTAATTTTTCTCTAGAAGGTAAATATTACGCCCTATATATTTTTATAAATTATGTTTTTTATAAATAACAAAAAAGTGCCCAAGTCATATTACAAGATTTTTGGCTATGCTCTTGAAATTTTAGATGTGGATGAAAGATAAAGATGCATGGTTTGCTCGAAAAGCACATTGCATTTATGAATGGCAGCCAGCAATTATTAATATAATCCTTACAATCCCAATGTTTTATAATAAATTCTAATTAACAACAAATTCATATCAATTCATTATTTTAATTAATATACTTTATCCTTGACCCTGTATAGTAACAAGTATATACATAGGTACGCATAAATTACTACTTACGAAATACTTTCTATTTCAATTAAAATTTATTGTATCGCATATTTATTTAATTTATCCTCTCATTAAAAAAAGCATTGCAATTCTAAAAAATTGTTAAATTTAATTAAATTCCATTATATTAAATTTCATACATTATTATATGTATGAAAAAAAAATTCATCTTTATTAGCCAATCAAACGGACGCAATCTTAAATATAAAAAAAATTATATATATATATATATATATATATTTTTTTTTTTTTATTATATTGACAATAGAAATTTAATTATGCTAAATTTTAGAAATGCATAATTCGTAAAAAGAAAATAAGACTATTTTATATTATAACATAGATAAAACGATATGTAAAATTTAAGAAATAAATTAGATAATTCAAGCGTCAAATAATAAAAGATGCTTGTAAGGATCGTACATAATGATTAATTAGATATAAAGATTAATTAGTTATAAGTGTTAAATATTTTTATTGATTATACAACAGCAAAAACGGCATTGGAAATGAAAAGGAAATTGTACGACAAAGCGGCGTGTTTGAACTTCAATCGAAATTAAAAAACCAACAAATAATAAAAATAAAAAAAAAACAAGCAAAAATGTTGGATCAAAGTTCGTTAAAATTCGTATTTGTGAACAGCTGCATCGGAGTCACGAGTGCAAGACTTCTACGGCCTCCGTCTTCCCTCCCATCAATTTTCGATCGTCGTGTTCTTCGTCGTTTAATTATTTACATTCGAAAATTTTTCATTTCGTTTCTTTAATCCTCATAGACTAGTGAATTCTTTATCGACGGTTTTGCTCGTAGAATATTTCGTTGACCGCGAATGGGAAAGAGGAAGGAGGAAAAGTTATAAATGAATGAAAGGCATTAAAGCAGTGTTTAAATGGTCTTAGATATCAATAGGACTATTTGGCTTTCGCTCGCTCATTGGCATATTTACTTAAGACGGTTTATCTTGGATTTGTTGATACGCCGATTCATTGTCTTTCGGCATACGAGACTCTGTGTAATCACAGATTCACGCGATTCAGGCTCAGGCTCGTCGCAATTAAAATTACTTGAAATGAAATAGAAAAGCAAGTACGCCGTAACAAAAATAGCTCGCTGCATAAGGATTGTGCATTGATTAAAGGATACTGATGGCTTACTCGCCAATGGACAAATGGTGAGACAAACTGACGAAGATAAGAATTGATATAAAAGTAGCGAAAGCACCCATAAAAATTGCTTCTTTAGTGCTCGATGTTCGTCTCGAATGACTGCTTCAACTCCTCTGGATACCCGCTTTAGCCCTCTCCCCTTCCCTCTAACGCCAGAACACCAATGACTCGTATGTCCACGCAACACGAACCCGTTAGCGCACGCTTCCCTTTCTTTCTCGCTCCACGTGCCAGACACTTGCTCTCTCCTCGCACATCTTATTGAGTTTCAATTTTGCTCTTTCTTCACTTCGTAATCGGCACTCTCCTGACTTTTCTTGCCGATGCTGCGTCACCATCGAATAACATCTTTTTTTAGAATAAAAGATAATGCTCGCCTGGCATTGAAATTCTGAATTATCACACATACACCTTTGCAGTCTTTTATTATTCTAATTATCCATGATTTGGAATTTCTATTTTCATTGTCATCATCAATTTAACTTCTACTTTCACATTTCCCGAAACTCCGTGGGTATTTCACAAATAAAATACGCATGAATAAAATTCGTTCTACCAACATGAAAAGAGGACCAAACTCAGGCAGGTCTTTGAGAGACGCCGGGGTCAACAGAATGACAATTTCTCAGGAGTGGCAGGGGTTCGAGTCGCTTGGGAGGTGATGTGACAACAAGGAACGAACCCATGAGAACGTCGTATCTTTTTGACTATATGTGTACAACTCTTTTCCGCTTTCATCTACAGGTTCATTCCATATTTCTATATTTTATAATTGTCTCTGCTTTACCTCCTCTTCGCCCCCTCTCCCTCTCACTCACACTCTCATTTTTTGCTGCCTAGAAATTTTACGTCATGATAAGGATTCTGTAACTTTATTCAGAGGCTTTAGAGCACTTTCATTTTTAAGGTGGTGTTCCATTCATTCATCAAAATTTTCATTTTTCTCAGACCTGCTCAAATTTTCTCAAAATTCAACCTCGACACTACATCTATGAGCCTCTAGCGCGTACAATGTTTCATATATAAAAGAATCTCCATATTCTTTTATTCACTATCATTTCCTTTCTTTATCTACATATATTTACTTGTAGACTAAAAATTTAAGTCGCGGCATATTAGTAACAAATAAAACAACAGTACCACTAAATATCGAACAAAAATATCGTTGAAGCTTTAATCACAATTATATAGTGAGTTGTGTTTGAACTGCATAACCAAAGAATTAATTAAATTTCCAAGATACTTAAAATATTCAAATTAATAAATAACATAAAGTGTAGGAAATACGTCAATTTACTATTATTATGGTTTGTATAGAGTGTGATTAATTAATTCACGGAGCACAAAAGGAACTAGGACAAGATTGTAGTTCATTGTAGTAAAAATGGATAATTGTTTGAAAAAGTATTACTGCAAGGAATTAGGATGCTCGACGAACAGAAAATTGAAACCGGAAGAACGATGAAGGAATTGAAAGAAAGGCCCCATTCAAGTAAGGAGATCCGAATCTGTAACCCCATCTAGGCCCCTGTAATAATACCAAACCGTCGGTGTCTGTACCTACCCGTCCCCGCCAAAAACCAGCGCAGTATAATCAATATACACGACATACAGAGTATAATACTGACTACAGAGTGTGCATAGTACAGGGACGAGAACCATTTGACCTCTAGAATATCAAAATGTGTTTAAAATGTACATTGAAAGAAGATATAATGGTAAATAAAAAAAAAAGCTACACGCACTCATTATTGACTCTGCTCACTCATCATATCTCGGAGGACTATCGTGCATTCGACCCTGGTGCTCTAAAGAGTGAAGAAAAGTTGAGAGAAGTAGGTGCGTGGAGTAACCTAACCATGGGAAAGCAGTGAATGGGAGTCGATGGTCCGGCTGGAGGGGGAAAAGCGAATCGTGCGCCACATGAATGAACGACCTCGATGTGTGTGCGCGCGCACCTCGCATTCCATTCTTCTTTTTCGTTTCCGCTCCCTCCCAACTTGCGTCGATCGTGCGAGTCGAGACCTGCAATTCACTAACTCCAAATCCCACCGTCCACGTGCCCACTATCCCATGGACTTATGCGACGTGTGCGAACACCAACGCCGGTTCTTTTTTTTTTTTTTTTTTTTTTTTTTTTTTTTTTTGTAGAAAGGACGAATTTCTACCTGCGTGGGCGTTTAATGGACAGAATGGATTATGCTTCGAATCTGACCGCCTAACTGGTTGAAAGCTTATGAAAGGCATAAAGAGGAATATAAATTGGAACGATCTTGCCGATGTCGAAAAATTTACCAAAATCCTACAGAAATCGCTTGCTTCTTTAATTTCAACTTGTATATCTATTTCTTGTAAATTATAATTTACTATAATATATCTCTCCATACATACTTTATCTGTTTTATGCATACCAGACCGGTAGACCAATATTTTCGTTATGTTATCATTACGAACGACATTTTTATTCGAAGAATACCCCACACGTACAATGTATGTGTCCTTTCATTATACTATTCGTTTTATCTTCCAATTATATTTATTCTTATACTTTACAATTGTTAGGATAAAATTAAGATTTTTTAAAAATATTCATATAATAATGCCTTTTAAACAATACTCTAAATATTATTTGATATAAATTTACTTTATAAATCCGAATAAACTCATAAAAATATACAATTTTTTTCATATTTAAATTTATATTATTAATGTATTAATACAATATAATATACAGTATAATTAATACATACATTCATACAGATTTATATTAAGTGAGGAATTATGGATGAATTAATTAACAATATAAATGTCTAGTTTGTACTTTATTTTCTAGAAACGAGGATTATAGACTATAAACAATAGACTATAAACTAATATAATTTTAATATTATTTGAATATTATTGAAATCGTTAACAAATTAAACTGTTATGTCAATGAGATTTGTCCATAACGCGCATCATGTATTGAATTCAGAATTTGTCACTTTAATACGTTGGCGCTATAAATGTTCCCAGCGAACAATCTTTAATAAGACAATTAAAAAAAAATAATAAAATAAAAACCGTTATAATTAATAATGTACATTATCATTAAATATTACCACAGGTTTGCAAGTTTTGTGATCCAGACAAACATCATAGCAACATTTATCCATGTGATAACACTCGTTATCAGTGTCGCATCGCGTGGGTGGCTGTTCCCAATCACTTGCTCGCGAACAAAATGGTCTGATTTCCGGACAAACGACCTCCTGTTCGTGGATGTGATTCGGAAGACCATAATTATGCAACGACCACCTGAGCGGCAAAGTTCGTTGAAAAATGGACCAAGGGTTGGGAAAAAACCAAAAATAATCGTAGATATTGAATAACTCTTCCATCACCGACGACAATATCTCGTTATCCTTCTTGCCATTTGAACAGCAATAATACGTCTTACCGTCCTGGCACCAATACTTGCAACCATTTCTTGGCTTAGCCTCGACCGATCTTCCAGTAAGATTCAATGTGATAACAATCACAATGACGATAACCTAATATATAAGTTTTGATTTTTATTTTAAATTTATTTATCATCTTAATCTAGATACAATGAGAGAGATGGGGAGAGAGACAGAGGGAGAGAGAGAGAGAGAGAGAGAGAGAGAGTAAGACAATTAAAATGATAAGGCCTTGAAATATATGTCAACAAATTTATATTTCTATAAATTGTAAATACTTTTTGTACCATACATTAATTAAAATTTCGATTATTATTTATTCAATTAAATAATAGATAATGTGCAGTATTATATATTGTATTATAATGTAATAATAAATTATATATAAAAAATACAATTCGATTTGGTTAGAAATATAATGTGATAATAGATGATATGTTTATTTGACAAAATAAAATAGAATTAAAGGAGATTTTTTGGCAATATTTAACGAACCAATCATCCATTGACTAAATGTATCGGTGAATATAACGAATACTTATTTATCCACTTGTGAATTAAAAATTGTAAATATAATAGCTGTAAATACAGCTGAACAACAACTAAATACCGTACATTAATGATAATAAAATTTCCTAACCAGGATATACGTGCGGACGAAATACATTTGGTTGTAACAGTGGCGGCGAGCCCAACGGACGTAAGTACAACTGAAACGAGTAAGCAACCTATGCGTTTACTTATAGGCGAGAATATCTCATTGCGCTAAAGCATTTCTTAATGAGATTCGTAATGAATGAGATTTCACCTCATTGATTTGCTTCCGCGTGAGTGATATATTTGCCATTCTATTACTTTTGTCTTCTAACTGAATTATCTGTACGAGGAAACATCGCCGTCCCGTTGATAGATCACAGATCTATCACAGAATTATGAGGTAGCGCAATCATCTTTAAAAGAAATTTTGCTTTTCATGTGAAACTAGATCACCAAACGTATCTCTGCTCATCTATTTACAACCAACGTGTCACCTATTTATTTTTTTCCAAGTCTTACTTCTCTCCACAGAAGAGAAACGAACTTGTCTTGCCTTTTTGCTCATTCTCTGGAAATGTTTGATACTTAAATTAGTTTTACCTACTTTTTAATGGCTTTAAGCTGACCACTCTCAAAATTAAACGAATCGAATTATATCGAAGTCTGTTAATTGAATATTATTTCATTTTATTCAGGAACAGTTTACTTAAATCGATACACGATTCCATTCGGCATTGTTAATATTTGAAAAATATTATTATTAAATTTCAAATATGAATTCTGGTGATATTCGCTTCTTTCTCTTTTAAGTAACATTCCAGTCTCAATGAAAGCTTAGCGGGCTAGGGTTTTATTGTCCATTTCACGCATAAATGCATCGTCATAAAAAAGATAAAACATTGATATCAAGTGTTTGGAATATAAAGGTCCGTGCAGCTTGTACCAATATCATGTCCGGTCATCGTCAAAATTGTTAACCTACTTTTATAAATATCCAAGCAACCGTTTCGTTTTAAATATCACGAACAATTATATGGAATAATTTCGAGAAGCTCGTGGTCATTCGGGTCACATTACAGTTCAAATAAAATATCGTTAAACTGTAATAGGGTCAGTGCTCATACATAAAATAAACAAAAGTCGCGATCGTCATTAGGTTGTATTAGGATACAAAGTAGGCATCGGTGTCTTAAACGCAAGAGTCACGAGCACATTTGATCTATCAAACTCGCAAGTTGGTTATGTCCTAAGAAGCCGCTGTTCGGTTCACGGGTGCAGCACTGATTGGTAGCCCGGATGGCGTGCTCGTTTGCTGTCTGGCACGTCGGCGTTTGTTTAACAAAGGATTATTTGTGTTATCGAGCTGCTTCAGGTTCGCCGTATCATAATCAACGCGCATAGTAGCTAATGAGCGAGTCATCTCCTCCTGGACTTCAGGCCAGAGCTCTTCACCTTCACGAAGGACACGGCCCGTGTGCAACGGCGTTGCTGGCACCTCTGTGTGTTTCTGTGAACAATAAAGTTATTAAGTTGGAAACATTAATATTATAAAGTCCCACTTGCTCTCTAAACTAAGTTCGCATTTTAATCATACTACTAAAATGACTAGAAGTGTTAATTACAATTATTGATTGATTTATTTATTTACCCATATATCATTGATATGCATATTTGCACGGGTGTCCGCGAGTACAATTAATATATTTTATAATTTACCCCTGTTGATATTCATTTTATAAAAATAGCATTTATTAATAAAATAAGTTCTGCATAATGCGTACAAAGGCTATTAAATAAATAATTAATAACCAAGTTTAATACAAATTAATTTTCAGTCAATTAAATACAAAAAATGGAAAATATAAAATCAGAATTTATCACATTATTTTCTAAATTTTACTTTGAAACTTAAAACGTTGAAGTAATAAAAATATTAATAGTTTTCATGTTCTTAATGCTTTTATAAACGTATGCACAAATAAAATTTAATGATTAATATTGTTTTATAACAAATAAAATCGTGATAATTCTGTCGCTAATGTTTCTTGATTTCTACTTTTTTTTTTTTTTTTTTTTTGAAATATGAAAAAAGAAAAAGATTATCGATTTAGAGACTAGAAAATAAATAAATTAAACAATTTTAATACAATGCAATTGTAAATATGAGATTCTTAATAATAATAAATACATTAAAAAAAAAATTCGTATTTGCATTTTCTTTGTATTAAAACGATTATATAATTTGCTTTCATAACATATAAATCTATATACATGCACATGTAAGTAATGTCATAATCGTTCGAAAATACTTTGTGTAGAAATTCAACAATCATTAATTGTACATATTTTAAGCTAAACATAAATAATTAATACTTATGTTATCAATCACTTTTATTTATGAAAGATTTAGTTAAAATTCTCAAGTACCTAAATTGATTGTGTTAAAAAACGTAATGAATAACGATAAAAAAAAATTATTAATATATTATTAACGTATAAAAGTTATATATAATTTATTTAAAACATAAAACTATTTTTGTGTTGAACTGTTGAAATAGGAAATTGAAATTTTTATGTATGTTTCAGAATATCTAGTAGTTATGTTTTAAATCCATGGATTCTCTCACATCAAGTTGAACAAAACAATTGTTGGACATGTTGTTAAGTTTTATTTTACACCAATTTTACATATATAACATTATTTTAAAAAAATACAAATACTAAAAATCTCTTTTATGATTTAATATTTTTACTGATTTTACTGATACTTTACTGATTTGAATTATGTATATACGTATTACACAATTACACGAAAAAGTCTATTTCAATTTAATAGGAATGCTTAAATACTACTATACTCGGAAGTATAGTAAATATTTTTAAATATTTGTGTAATTTGGTAAAATTTGTAGTAGAAATTCTTACAAAGAAATTTACTACGAGTTATTTATATATTAATTATTTCAAACAAAAGTACGTTAAATTAAGTAAAAATTGTAAAATTAATATTACATTTAGATGAAATGATTTGATTATTTTTATTTTATAATCAATATTAATTATGCTTTATTAATGTTCAGAAACTTATGAAAAAAGAATTGAAATGAATATTACTTTCCAAACTGACTTATATATATATATATATATATATATATATATATATATTTATTTTTTTATTATGTTATAGCATTTAACATAGAATTGAGTTTTGAAATAATATATAAATTAAGATTTCATTTCATTTTTTAAATAAGCATGCAACATATTTTAAATCCTTGAATTTGTACTGAATTTACAATTCAATTTCATTATTACGTTTCAATAATGAAATAAAAACTAAGTGATAAAAATCCTCTTTATAACATGCTAAATAAATTCAAATCTTTATTAATAAGCTCAATATATAAAAGGTTTATATAGGTCTTAATATATACTTTTATCCCATTTTTATAACATAAAACATTTTATTTGCTTTCTATATATCATGAATCTTAAAAATAATAATAATTTATAAATGTTCTGATTATATACCAAATGTACTAACATACGATAATAATTAATATGAATAATCATTATCGTAATAGTGGAAAATATGTAAAAAAAAAAAAAAAAAAAATATTATGATTTTAGATCATACATTAAATGTGAATATGTGACAAAAAAATCTGTACTTACAAAAATCGTAGTATAAGCATTTCTTTATATCATGAAATATTTTATCTTTTTATTCTAAACCGATAATAAAGTAAATAATGTTGCTTGACATTAAAATTTGAACAAATAATTCTAATACCTTAAAACGTTAATGTTGGTAAAGTGATAGCCTATTGAAACCCTAGTGAAAATGATAATGAAATGAATTCAATTTTTGCTACGGACGAAACTTACAGCAATCCATTTATTTTTCATAACTCCATCGATTTGCAATCTTTCAAGGGGGTCAGTACATAGCATGCCCTTAATGAGGTCTCGTGCTTCTGCACTTACGTTGGACCATTCAGGCGCTGGAAAATCGTATTGACCCAATCTAATTCGTTTTTTCATACCTGGCGATATTGCAAGGCCGTGATTGCTATAGAAAGGAGGGAAGCCGCATAATCTATTGACATTAAATTAAATACTTATTATCTATATAATTGAAGACGAATTAGCATTTTAGAGAAACTTAAAACTCACAATATATACATAATTACCCCTAGTGACCAAATGTCGCAGCTTTTATCGTATTTTTCAGGCCCCAGAACTTCAGGTGCTGTAAATTGATATTCAAATTACATAGATTCATAAATGTCGAAATAATAAAAACATTAATAACCAATAGGTCTGTTTTTAATTATTTAACAAATACATTTTATAAAAATTGTCCGTTATACATATATTTATCAATTATTAAAATAATTACTCACCGACATAATAAGGTGTATAACAAGGGGTCTGAAGAGTGTCTTTCATATGCGTCTCTTTGGCAAAGCCGAAATCTGTTAATTTTAAAATACCTACAGTACCTAAAAAGAAGCAAAATAAATCATTATAAAAAATAAAGTGCATATATTATATTATTAAATTAATATTAAAAATAGATAGTATATAATTTAAAAAATGCTATTTGCTTTTCCTTTTATTAGAATTTTTTATAAATTATCATTCTAATATCTTCGAAGATATTTTATGTAAATTATCAAACAATATTAATAATTCGTAAATGATATGATTAAAAGTTATCCAAACGTGAACTCATTTCTTAAAGTAATATTCTACTTTAAACATTGAAAATCTTTTTTTAGCACTGACAAAAGAAATTATCCATTTGTTTTTAAATTAAAACATTCAATATTTAACAGATTATTCTACTAAATTAACGTATTAAAATCGTTAATTCTATGGATAAAGATTTTACGATTGAAAAAAAAAAATTATTCATATTCTATCCAGTAATCTTATTGATAGTAAATATAACTGTTTATGTAATGATTTTTTTATAATAATAATAATTAAAATAAAAAAAGGAAAAACTAATTGTGTATTTCACTAATGATTAGCTATCTATATATTGTATTATTTTTATATTTTAAATTTATTAATAAGTTATTAAAACAAGTTATGAAAAATGTATTTTATCATTTTCAAGTAGAATTGCAACAATGTAATGGTTATTAATTCGGCTGACGCAATAATTGTGCCGGTTTAGTATCAACTATTATATTATATTGTTGAACAATAAAAAAAAACAAAAATTATATTCAATGTATAATTAATCATTTAAGTACCTGGTTTTGTATACAGCAAATTTTCTGGTTTTAAATCTCTATGCGCAATATTGCATTCGTGCAAGTGTTTTACAGCAATGCAAATTTCATACATAATTTGAGCTGCTTCTATAAAAGGTAATAAAGTATTAACAAAATCCAAAGATGGAAAATTATTATATAAATTCATTTGAATTTACTATTATTATTACATAATTTTGTATAAAATAGTAAAATAAAATATTCATATCACTCTAAATTAAGGAAATCAATATATTTTATAGCATATATGTATATAAAGATATATGTATGTACGTTAATGTTACGTATATTAGACAGATTAGGAAGTAAGTAAGAAATGTATTGTAAAAGATAATTTATCTAAAATTTAAACAATAGATTCTTCAGTACTCATAAAGATTATTCTCGGATATAAAAAGGTAATTGTTTTAGAGTTACCTCTTTCGGTAAAAGCACCATCTTGCCTTTCTTGTATTCTTTGAAAAAGTTCTCCCCCCTCCATGCTGTGATAATAAGTGATATTAATAAATTACTCGAGAAAGATCGTATAACAATTGATGTTTAAAGACAAAAACTAGATCATACAAATTATTTTATATTAATTAGAAACAAAATTTTGCAGAGGTATTTGAACAATAGTGCGTCAGAACTATAGAAGGAATAAAACATACTAACAATTGACAAAACCTACCATTCCATAACGACAAGTAGACATTTATTTCCAGCGTAAGTATTTTCATAGACATCTTTTACTTGGACAATGTGTTTGCATTTCGACCCTCTCCAGTGCAGCTCCACTTCTCGTCTTGCTTTTAGGCAGTCATGTAAAACCTAAGAAGCAATTACAAAGCATACATTCCCAATTGCAAATATAACTTCATCTTAGCCAAATATAGCTAGATTATTCGTTTCATTACTTTTTATTATAATATCTCAACTATGTCAGTCGTTGCTCTTAAGATACCTTAATTACTCATGTTCACAAATAATGCTTTTTAATACAACATATAAATTTAAGTAAAATGGTTAAGCGAGACTGTTCATAAAAAAAAAAAAAAGAATTAAAATATTAAAATGATAAAAAATTATTTTATTTATGAAAATGATTTTTCATATAAAAAATCATGTTTGTTAAAACACTGTCTGTTTTGAATAGCATTTTATCTAAATTTTTCAATAAGCTTATACTTCTCCATATAAACTCATAAAAAATTATCAGTAACCTTAATGATAAATATAAACAGATTTTATTATTAATATATGTATAATTTTATTATTAATATGTGTATATTTCGTATATATTGTAACAATAAGAAAGTTAAAAAAAAAAATATTTGAACAGAATTTATAAAGAATGCAAATACGTAAATTAAAGCGTAGAACAAAATTTGAATAAATTACTAAAAACAAAATCAAAGTTATAATAATAAATAACATTTTAAAAGAACATCATTACAAAGACTGTTTATGAATCTGCGAAATGAATTATTATAAAAAATAAAAAAAAAAATAATAAAAAAACTCAAAATTGAATTTATTGCTCATTAAATTTATATTCAAGTAAATTTCTAGTTAAATTTAAAGTGAATAATTTAATAAAATTTATATTTGGAATCTATTTTTATGCATATTAGCATCAAGATTTTGAATAATAATGTTCTTGTATCATTATAAAAATGTTTTATATAATGCATTGGAAAAACGGCTTCAATTTTAATTAATGAATTTGATAAGTTATTTTTTAAATGTTATATAACGAGTATATGGTGATTCAATTTTTTTAAAACATATTATTAAGAATTTATTATGAATTCAGTTTTTATGAGAATATATATCTCTATAAATTTTCTATAAATTTAAAATAACTAATAAATAACTAACTTCAAATTTAAATAATTGTTAGTTATATATTAGTAAATCTTCAAATAATGTTTTAATATTATTCTCATGTTGCAATTATAAAGTCTTAATAATTATTCATAGTAATTTAATACTATGGGATATTTTCTTCAAAAATTAATTCCATGATTCTGAAATAATTTATCATACCTTTGAAATTACAAATAAAAATAAATTACCAATTAATAATACTTTTATATAATGAAGATTGAGTTCATAAAATAAAAAATTACCGCATTTTTTCAATTATGAATAAAGATATTTTTGGTAAAACTTAATAATAAAACATAATTTACAATAAATATTTGTTAAATTATAAACTTTATATTTCAGGCTGTTATAGGAAATAATATAGTTGGTCAATTACAACAAACATTTAAATTGAAAATATTTATAATTTTTTCAGTAATTCGAATAATTTGATTCTTAATCGACCTTATCTTTCATATTAAGCGGATCGAGGTATCTAAAAACATAAGAGCAACACTGAAATAAAATCCGATCAATTATTATTTTATCTCATTATAAATTATTTTATCTTAGTATGGAAAAAAATATTTAAAAATAAGTTCTATGACGAAAAAATAAATATTTGTAATGTAAGAGAAAGTATTAAATTTGCTGAAGGGAGAGTAAACACTATCAGAATGGCAATATTTAAATAGTGCGCGATTGTGGTGGAAATGTTTCTCCTTGCACATGATTGAAGATTGTATCACTTCTTATGTTTTTATTATAATAAGGTGACTGGAAAAAAAAAATGAAGAAGCTTACACCTTTATCAGTTGGCCTGCTTCTATAAATACAGAATAATAGGCTCATTGATGTTCGACCGAGAGACTCTGAATGTTAGTTTAAAGTTAATTGGTTTTGCTTAGCATTTCATAATGCCAAAAAAAAAAAAAGATAATAACGAAAGCTGGAGAAAGGAAGAAAAACGGACGAATAGAATGAAAGAGAAAAGACTAAAAAATGCACAAGACAAAAGAATACAACATTCTTCTACACCCATGTGCTAGTAAGTCATTAGAAAGCGGCTTTTTTCCTTTATTACACTACTAAATTTCTTGCTAATTATACCCGCTGCCTTATTACCATTTCCTGTAGCTTCTTCAGATATCTGCCGAAATCAAATATCAGTTAACTTTGTACTTCGGCTTTTGCCATTTAACTCTAGACTTTCTTCCCGATTTTCCATTCATTTGGGTCGTACCTTTGCATTTTGTTACTGTTTTAAATCGTAATGCCTTTTCTCTATTCTCATATTACTTTTATTTGCTTATCGAAAGCCGAGGTATCTTTTATTCGATATATTCAGATTAAAAAGGAAAAACAAGCAATTATTTTAATAGCAGCTCCAAAAAAATACAGTATCTCAAAATGTACAAAACGATAATGTTAGTATTTAATCCGTATTCAATACATATATTGATAAGTATATATGATTTTTTTCTTGATAAACTTAACGTTTACTATATAAGCTAATAAAGCTAATGGACTTATCATAAGTTTAATAAATAATTGAACTCGAAGTACTTGAAATTATATAAATTTTCAATTATTCTTCATTATCGAATTTTTCATTAGCAACAAACGGCAGCAAGCGCAAAAAAGTGCTTTCATTAAGTAATTTTAGACCTTGCTTTTAACGGTAAGCACTTTCAAAAGCATTTTGATGAAAATCTGATCGTTACATTTTTAACGTTTCTTATTTTGAATTTCGAGCTCAATGATGATAAAGATAGTTGTACATGTAATTCCGTCATTCCCCATCAATCATAAAGCTCACGACTGTGAATCAGATCTGACGCAAATAAATGACCTTTTTACTATATCCAAGGACGTATATTTGAATGTTATTTTCTTGGTTAAGCAGCTGAGTATTAATTCTAAAGAACGTTGGTGCATCATAAAAAAATGAAGAGATGCTTACTACAATTTCTTCCTACCAATCTAACAAGTGGACAAGCGTGAAGTCTTTTTATCTAATCAGATCGTCTTATCGACGCCTGTAAACATTAACATTTATAAATAAAGGGCTACTACCAGCCAGCTAGGGACGGTAAATCAAAGATTTATAAATCGTACCTTGAGGGCGTACTTGTGCCTGTTTTTGCGATCGCAGCACTGAACGACCTTGCCATTGATACCAAGTCCGAGCACGTGATTGCTGATCTCATAGTCATCTGTGATAGGACTCGTCTTTGGCTGACACTCATTCCAGGCGGTGGGCGGTTCCATCCTCGAGAATGCGAACGGCACTCACCCAAGCAATTACTTCCTCTTTCTCTTATTTGATTTGTCCCTGCACCTCTCTGTGAATTGAGCCAACATGATACTTTTTAGTGCCTTGTATTCTGCCGAATGAATCACAAGCATTTGTCTGTCGTTCGGCAGCCGCACGTGACCCGAGAACCGAAAACTACCTATGACCGGCCACCCACAGTGCCACCAAATCAGCACTCGAAATACCGTTAGTAAACATTTACGCAAACAACATCGTATAATCCGAATTCGAATCGCTCTATCATCTGCATCAACAAATTTCCGAGAATACGGAACAGGATACTAATTAATCTACTGCATAGTCACGACATCTGTACGCTTTCTTCGTCATGCAGAAGACTTCCGATAGCTGGATAACTGAACGTGACTCGTTTCCTGCCTCGATTATTTCTTATTTGTACGTAACTTGAATGGGCCTCGGTGTAACTCGTATAATTAGCCGCGACAAGTCATTCGACTTGAATTTTACGCGCCCTGTCTGAGTAGTGATGTGAGGCGGGGAGGGGAGAAAGGTGAAGCGGAGGAGGTACCAGCAGCGGAATATAGCGTTGAAAGAGAAGCGGGGAATACGTACTTAGCCTTCAACATATCTCCGTTTTTTCATATTTTACACCTAGTATTTTTTGAAGGCTGCTGCGTAAAATCAGAAATACACGCTTTTCGAAAGATCTAATTATAATAGAATTAGAATAGATGTATTTGTTTCGAGTGTGACCAACATTTTGACCAAAAAGCCAAGAGGCCCGATGCGTAATTACAGACTCGTTTATTTTCGGTAATTTATATATTATTTATAAATATCAATTACGTATTTCAACAGCAAAATTACATTTAAAGTTACTTCAGGATTCCATTGATACTCGTAAAATGCTATGTATTCGATCACGAAAAAGTGTAAGGTCATTGAACTTTATTGACAAAAATGATATTTTTTATATCAAGTGAAAATGAAAATTTGTTATAAATACAATTAAATTTTAAATTAAATCACGAATAAAATTATATTTTATATTCTTTTTTGTATTTACATATACGTTTGTGTGTACACATGCCATTATAGTATCATTATAGTAACAACTATAATTAATATATATATATATATATATATATATATATATATATATATATATATATATTTAGAAATATCTTTATCTATAGTTCAAAAAAATATGTAAAAAAAAATTAAATTATGTTAAAACTGTGATCGTCGGCTACACATGTAATGAGTGAATAAAAAGTTCCAATTAAAGTAATTATAAATAAATATTTTATTATAAATTTTAATATATAATAAGTATAATAAGCAAAGCAAAGAACAATTTGTTACGTTTTAATGCTATTCTTTTTTTTTTATAATACGTAAAAAGCATTATTTTGAAATGTTTGATAAGTTGCCAAAAATGTCTAGATTTCATATATACAATTTAATGCATTTAATTTAAAAAATATAAAATCAACATTTTAATTCAGTATATTAAAAACTAGAATTATATAATAAAATTATATTTTTGCAAGTATAATAATTTACTGATATTTTACAATACTAGAGAATGAAAAATGCGCCATAAATTTTTATTTTATTACATTATAATTATCTTCGATTAAAGTGGGTAAATAATCTCTTAATTATGGCAATGAGCGTTAGAAGAGTACTTACTAAAGTATAAGATACTTTTAAAGAGCTCGGAGTAAGGTGTCCAAGTAAATGCGGTTTAAATAATATGAACAATTAAAAATGGAAAATATAATTAATGATATGATAGCACCTATGGAGAGCGAATACCAAAAGGAAAAGGGGAAAAAAGAAAGATATAGCTCAAAGGGTTGTCGATGTTACAACACACTATACTTACATGGCAATCAGCTCAATCTGGACGTTAAGAGCGTTCAGAAGGCGGACGTGCAAATACTGAAACTTCTTGTTACAAGAAAATCGGCACGCGATAATCCAATTATAAAAGAAGAGTTAGGATATATCAGTGTAGCATATATATATATATATATATATATGTATATGCGGCGACAGAGTGCAATTCGACACAAGTAGCCACAATACACTAAACTCAATCGCTACTAGCCGTCTGCTGTTCCTTAAAGTCCAAACTCCACTCGTCTCTGACGTCTCAGTGCCCAAACTCGTGCCGCCGACGTTAAGATGTCAGCGTCTCTTTCTCTCTCTCTCTCTCTCTCTCTCTCTCTCTCTATGTATGTGCACTCGCGCATGTGCATACACTTCTGCCGCGCATCCGGGCATGCACACATACATACTATATACTCTCGTGCATCTATCTCTTCCTTTATCATGACATCGTTTTGCTTGCGGACTAATAATTGCTTCAACAATTTTACTCTAGTTTTGCTTGTCTTTTTCGGTAATTTTTAAAAATATCTTCTTCTATCTAATATATATATATATATATATATATATATTAGATAGAAGTTCCAGTAATATATTCCGTTATTTTACTTTCTTATTTTAAACATTGTCAATCTTATATAAGAATCAATAGTTTTTAATGAAAATTATATATCTTTGCAATATAACTCGGATTCATTATTTATAAATTTTGAACCCTGTGCGCATCTACGTGCATAAATAAATAAAAAGTATTTATGTTAGATTGTCTCATTCGATCTGCATCTTTTATAGTAATTCAATTTATGTTAAGGTTGTAATAAAAACATACATAATAAAAACTTTTGTAAAATACAATATTTCATTTAAAAAATTTGAAATCATTTTCATAGCGCTGCAACCTTCAATAGCGACTTATGGAATTGTTACAGCTGACCGAGCTGATTTTATGATAGTCAAAGCGTCATGATATAGCATGAGAAATGACACGATTGTATCCATATATGATTTTTAATTTGAAACACACATAAAAATTAATTTTTATTTAATTTAATAAGAGCGAGCATTATAGGAATTACATTATGCTAAAGCCAAAAGCTCTAACACAAGTTTTAAGTCAAGCGAATACCGGAGGAGTAGAAAATACTTTGTAAGTATTTAACTCATACGTATAACCTTAAATTAATACAATTTTTTTTTTTTTTTATTTTTATTTTTATTAATATTAATTTATATAACAATATTAATTCTAGTTTACTATTTATAACTTTTTACTCGGAATAAAATATTTTACTAAATTCGTGTTAGTACTAATTAATATAAAATATTTTTTATCGTATGTTATAGACTACTCAATAGAGATGGCGGATTGTTGGCATACAGTGGTTATGGAGATAAAGATGCAAGAGTAACTGCAGCTATTACTAGCAATATTTGGTCAGCTTATGAAAAGAATGGTCGTAACGCTTTCAAAGAAGATGAGCTTAAGTTTGTTTTAATGGAATGTGCGGTATGTTTTTTGTAGTTGACCCCACTATTACTTTGAGTTGAGTTTTAATAATTTTTATAAAAAATTTTATAATAATATTTGAATGTTCAAGTACAAGTAAATCATAAATAATTTAGATTTAATAAGTATTCACAATTATTTTTAAAGTTGAACTGTTCTTAAAATTACACTAAAAGTCCATTGAAATAGAAAAATTTTATTAAAAATATTGACACTTAGCTTAATAAATAATTTACTCTAAAAATATTTATACATTTACCTACAGACCATGTATTTTATTGAATTATACATTTTTCAATGATTACATAATATTAATAATGGTATCTCATTGTCTTGTCATAATCTTATTTTCCCTAATATTTAAAATATGTATTATAAAATAAAAACTTTGTTTTAAATAAATTATTTTTAAAACTACCTACTAAAATTGTCTGCATTTTCTTATTAGCATTTTATTCCTAAATTTAATATAGGGTGTTAAAAAATATAGAAAATATTTGAAATTCTTTAAATTCAGATTGATTATTAAAAATGAGTAAAGGAACTGATATTAATTAAAATTATATGATGTATGTATAATATATTTAATACATCATCGATCATTTTAGGAAGGGAAAGTAGTTATTACCGAAGTAGCTAATTTATTGCTCTGTCTATATGCTAAAGAAAATGTTGGCTTTGGACTATTACGAGAGAAAGCACAGGCATTGGCCAAATACCTGGATCATCCACTGAAAACAATAGCAAGTATGCCTTAAGAAGAAAATTTTATGTGTAATATATTATTTAATGATTATATATCTAATGAAATAATGCTTATTTTAATACTCAAAATAATTGAGAGCTGTTTCATACTTTAGGTTTCGATATTCTTAAATAAAGCTTAAATTTGAATGCAAGGTTTGTTTATTTTGTAACACAAGTTAAAACCGATACAAACAGTGCATGCTTTTATATACTTATGTTTTCGCACTTGTGTCTCTTTGCAATCGAGTTTTTAACGCGTGCATGTATTTCAAAATAATGTAATCATAAAATTTATAATTTTTTATATATTTTTATATTCGACTATGATTTTTCTTGTTTCGTCACTCATTAATGTAATAGCTGACCTCATGACAATTTTACTAATTTACTATGTACAACTTAAGCATCCCAAATGATTTTATTTATTTGGAATTATAATACAAAAGTATCGATGAGTTTCAAATACTGCAAAACTCCAATCCATATTTTTTCCATTGGCATTTTCCAAGTTATCGATCAAATTAGTGGAGATACTGAAACTCCTTCATTCATTTATTTATGTATATTTAGTTTTCTCGAGGCGTAGCTATTACATTGCTATATACATATACATATATATATATATATATATATATAGTCCAGAGCGAATTTTTCTACATTTATTAAAATTGCATCGTAATTATCTATAATCTAAATTTACAATAAACTGTACTCTTTTTACACAAATTGCAATAGGAGCGTACAATACATTTTTTGTTACTTCTTATTATTAATTTAATTCCACCAGTGAGTGTAAAGAGAATACAGTGATTTTATCACAAAATTTAAATACCACTTGTGTAATGATATTATGCATAAGCAGAAATTATTCAGTACATAAAGTTTAAAATGTGAAATCTGTATTTTTATTATTCGCTGTAATCAATGCCGCATTAACGAATAAATCTAAAATTGTAAGGTTATATGCCAAAGTCAAGGATGGCACATTTTCTCTCTCGCTGTTATAACGTACAAAATTTGTAGACTTCACTTTAAATTGACCAAATGATCAATATTATGAATATACATATTTAGCTTACTTTTTCATATAGTTCATAAATATATCTACACATATATGAGTATGTAGGATTAATGTTTAGTATTGCACTTCTCTTTCTGTCTCCTAAATACCTACAGATCGGTAACAATCAGATTTTCATCTAGGGTTTAGCATTTTGCGTTAAAAAAAAACTATATTTTATATTTAAAATGCATGTACACATACTTTAGTTCTCTTTGCAAACCTTTTTATTTCTTTTGTTATTAATTTGTTCGCTGCATACTTTTTATAACCCACACTTGTCGATACGTTAATTTCAAATAAATTTGAATAGAAATCGTATTATAAATATCTGTTTAAAATATGTTTTTATAGTGGCAGTGCAGAAGTTCAATTACAATATTTTTAGATGCAAATGCATTAGAGAAAAGAGATGAGACTGTATCTTAAAGGAATTGATTGCAATTTTATTACTGTTTCCATTTGTTCCATGTATAAAAAACGTACATTATCAGAATGCCTCGATCCTTATTTCAAAATAGGTACGAGTCATTTTTATTTAATAAAATTGATAGGAAAGTTAGCCATTTATGCAAATGACGTATTTTAAATGGTACAAGAACCAATGAGAGCGCATTTGGTCATGTCCATAAAACCATTAAACTATGCCCATAATTATAAAGTATATTGTTTTAATTTCTCCTATCATTATCTCTAAAATGGTCTTATTTATCATGCTTATTAATATGATAAAAAATTTAGAAAATCAAAAATTAAATACTGTACCAAAAATTTTTCTTATTTTCTGCATTATACACAAATATACGAATCCATCATTGGCATGGATAGTCAGTTCGTGCTTTCTCTCTCTCTCAACGAAGTCAAAAAGTAATAAATCGAAATATGCGCGCGTGTTAAATGTCATTATTTTGTGAACTTATTGTACGGTGCATTGTGTTGGAGCACTCGAAAGTAAATAATAAAAAAAATATAATCACTATTTTTTCACAACTCGCTTGCTTTGATTATTTCACGAATTTAGTCTTCTACCTTGCGTCATTGCAAAGATAAAAGAACGAGGGGCTGTCAGGATACTGGAAAGTCTAGTAGTCGAAGAAGTACGTGCATACTTTCCTCGCAGGACGACACAACTCAACTGACTACTCATTGTGGTCCGCAATCCAGGCTGATGGTATCCTTATCCAAGACATGTTGATTCTTGAGTTTCTCACAATGTATTTCAGAAATGGCCATAATTTCGATAGACAGCCGACGATAGGGACTCGGATAGAATTCGAATATTACATTCGTGAGCCTTTTTGCTGCAGTACCTAAAATAGACAAGACATCCAAGCCATACTTTAATATAAATCCCATTTCAGCACCCACATTTTTATAAACAGATATATATATATATATATATATATATATATATAAATGATATTTACTTATTATACATCAATCTCTAGGACTAAAATTGCATTTATTAACTCATAGCAATAACTTATCTCCCTTTATGGATAAAGAAAATAGTTCGAATAAAATTTTTTGTTTCTTCTCCTTATTATTACTTATCACGCAGTTATTGTGTTGTACAATTAATTCCTAAAATAAATATTTATGACTATTTCTTCTAAATATTTTATTCCACTTGTTTTAATATATAGAGAATTAAAACTACATCAAATTTACAAATTAACGCGTAATTCAAATTTAAGTATATACATACATTAAATTGCACACGATATTTGGATATTATAAAAAGCGTAAAAATAATAATTTACTTTAAAAAGATAAAACAGTATAATTTCTAAAGTAATAGAATTTTTTGTAACATATTTATTATTTTTACATTAATACATTTGTATTATGTATTTGTCTGAATGAAATATATTATCTTAATAATCTATGAAGACTGACATTAAAGAAGTAAAGAGTATCTGTAATAAATTATTGTAACAAATGATAAATTGGTAACAATGAAAAAACTGGAACAAGCTACTCTGTGCACACAAGCTATGAAAAAGCAAAAAATATTCGATACCCTTAATGAAACTGCAAAATTATTATGTTTATAATAATAAGGTCAATGTTAATGTAGGTCTGCCTTCAAATGTCCAATGACTCAAAAAGCAGCAAGGTCCTGGTACTTACATTGGCTTAGCCCATGCACACCCGTTCGCTTCCTCTGCAAGTAGTATCACTTTCAGAAAACCAGCCAAATTAGCACGCATGGCATTCAGTTGACTCACAAAATGTGGGTCACACTACACACTGGTCTGCATGCACTTTAAGTGTCATGCGGAACACAGAACAAAAAAAAATCACTATACCGATAGATGGAACAGATCTTTATTCCAATTCTTTTTTTCTTGAATGCATGCTTGCGTTACAATAATGTAATCTGCGCGAGTTAAACGTACATAGGAGCTTATAAAATACCATTATAAAAAGACATGCTCATGCAGAAATATGGACCCTCAATAATTATATCAATAACTAATGAAAACATTTTTTAATATATGCACACACTTATATATATATATATATATATATATGTGTGTGTTTGTGTACATATACATATGCATATGCATGCGTGTATATGCGCGCTTGCTTAATGTGACTAAAATATTACAAAATAAAATATAACTGTACATGTATTTATTTCAAGTGAAATAAAAATACATGGGCATAAACAAAAATATCTTGTTTCAAGTAATATTTGTATAATAATCAAATTCAATATCTACACGTATTATTTATCATTAATATTTTCGTCAGAAATCAATACATTAGCAACAAAGTAATAAAGTAAATAAATGTTTTAAAATAGGCCTATCATAGGCTATCTATGTTCACTAAATCTGTTCTTACATTTCATTTACAAAGCATCCATTTCATTAACTAACATTATGTAAATATAATGCCAGTATTTGAATAAATAAAATGATAATAGTCTTAATAAATATATTAAAACTATAAGCATTATTAACTTCTACCAGTATAAATTGGTACATTTTGACTAAATATTAAATTTGAGACTTAATCACGACTAGATGTATGATTCTGCCTGGATTGTGAATGCGCAATATTTGAGCGGGATAGTAGCGGTACCTTGACACGATCTGTGGATTCCTGCTCTTTACTGGTTAATTGTGTAGGTCCATATTCTCGACTGACTACACACAAAAATTCAGCATGATCATCATTTCCATAGTTATATTGCGAGCCAATATTGATTAACTGTAATGAAAAAGAGAAATTTCCTTTAAATTTTATTCATGTAATAAAATCATTTGTATAATAACAAATATTTGATAGGAAAAGATAAATTTTCACAAGTTATTTGAATTTGTCTTTGCTTTGTAATTAAGGGAATAAAATAAAAAATGAGTAATTTATAATGCTTAGGGTTTTTATATTTTTAATTCTAATTGTATATTTTCATTATACCATTTTTAATTATACATATTTTAATTATATCAATTACCTGTTCAAATTTCCATCCATCCGACATTGTAGAAACCATTTGTGTAAGTTCATCTTCGTGGCACTGAATCACTCTGTAAACATGCTTTTTAGAATCACGAGTAGGTCTTGTATCTCTAAGAATAATTCTTTCCTTAATTAACCTAATGAGTTCTGTGATATTATAAAATTCTGCCTCTTCGAGAACACCCTCTTCAGCCAAATCCTTATTAATAACAAGTTTTCCGTGACGAAGATAGTTAAGAATGGGACTGAAGTACGTCGGATCTCTGTCAATAAGGTACGCTCCAGTTTCATCCTACAATCAAGACCAAAAAAAAAAAAAAATGGGGCAAAGGTTATAGGTAAATCTACAGTTCACTGCTCCTTTAGCTTTCACACAGAAAACGCACATGTACGCTCGCTGTATGTGCTCATGTACTACACAAGTTTAGATAATTTCGCACTAAGTAATAAATAATGAAACTAAATGATAAAACAATCATAGCATAACAGTGTAAAAGCGGCGAAAGTACATTTTCATGACTGAACTAACCCTGTCGGATATGAGGTCGGAGTCCTCTTGACATAGACGACAAAGAAAGGAATTTGGATCTCTCGTGAGGGTCGTTTTGGCCGTGAGAAAATATGTACCACCAACGTTCAGCCTTACCCACTGATTATTGCAACGCTGTGGTAAATGATTATTCTTTGTTACTTGATGCGAATTCGTATCACAGTACTCGGCCATGTTTGCTTTGCTGTCGCATACACGATAAAGCAAAGCAAACCTGCGAAGTACGCTCTATTTGTACCGTGCAATTCAACAAATAATCAGAGCGACTATGCTCCGATTACTGAGTAGAAAGAGACACGCGCCCTCACACGCAATGCTCGCCGACGCTTATACGTCGAACTTAAAAGCGTGAACCAAATTCATGACATTAATCCGCTCATTATGACGATTTTGACGGTTTAGTGACATGTGTACTAAACGCTGTAATAGAAAAATGATACAAATAGCAGCGATATTTATCGCTGAATTTATCGAGAAAGGCATTGTATGATAAAGGGAATTATAAAACTTTAGAGCACACATAGACAATACATTTAAATTGCAAATATCGTCAAAAGAATAAAAAAAAAAAAAAATCTAATGTCAACATTGTCTTCTTATTAAATAGGTCCATTTAAAATTGCTTAAGTTTTTATATAATAACTTTCGTTAAATCTCCTAAGAGTAAAGCGTGCACAACAATAACCAGACCAAGTAATCTTTGTTGGCTTATCAATTATTCGTTTGAACATCATTTCTGACAATCGAGACTATTTATTCAGTAGAAGTTTCACTGAAAATTATTTATGACTGTTGTAAAATGCAATTATGTTATGTTGCATTAAATAATAATGTTATCAGATAATTCAAATATCATCTAAATAAATATAAAATGTGTTTTAAAAAACAATTTGACGTGATATTTATAAATGGTTTTAAAGGGTATGATTTTGTAGGGTATTTTGTTTCTTAAAATTGTTGATCTTACAAAAAAAAGAGAGATGTTTAGAACGCTTTTAAAGCTTGTTGCGCTATTATTACATTAGGCATAGGCTTTTAATTGTGACATAATCGAATATGGTACACGATACACATATTTACGGTTTTTTCCTTTTTCTTTTTTTTTTTTTAAATAAACTAATAAAAAAAATAATAAAATACATTATTTCCCAGTCATAAGGTAGTCAGAAGTCAACAGTAGTACCACACGTAAGCATTAGGCGAAATTCAGGCTACTCTACAATCTCTTATTTATTGTCGCTCTTTAGGTTTTGTTCTATTTGTTCCCTCTTTTAAGTCGCGTTAAATATAAAATTTGTGCGCGCACGCGCTTGCATTTATGTGCATTAATCGTGGATGTCACATTGGTTGGAATTCGGATTTCGGAAGAAGTTCGCGAGCTATCGGTTTACCGATTTCCGTGTAAGTGCGATTAACGCGATACTGTACTATTATTTTACGCGAACGCTATCATCAACAGCGAGTCCCAAAACGACTCATCTCGACTTTATTAATTTCTTAAACGTTAGCAGGCACCAAGGCAAGAGAATGATAAAGGGATCTGTTAGGCAATTAAATGCATTGTAGTAGGAACGCTCCTTAAAAAAACGTACGCACTGTAGTATATGCATGAGTATATCGTTCACCAACGCCAGTTGCTAATCTAATAGCCCAGTCGAGAGTCTCGAAAAGTCGAGGTGCACAGTTGCACCAACCAGTTTCAGTACGGTTCGCAGATATATTCGGTCAAGCAACGACGAAATGGTCTCCCCCCAATCACTGGGCAAGTGAGCGAGCGCAGAATCGTTCGTATCTTTTGTCCAGTTGGCTCGTAGGCGGCGCTCGTTGGAAGATAGGCGCGAGAGAAGCAGTTCCGAGTGCAAGAATAAGGACGGGCAACCCAAGCAGTCATGGGAACTGGGAAACGTGGCTTGGCCAAATAGGACATCGCCGTCGTCACCGTCGACGATTGAGCCAACCAGGCCGTAAGCGCGCGCACGAAACAGCCATCGTAAGAAGGAGAAAGAGAGAAAAGCAATAAGAGAACGAGCGAGAGAGAACGTAGTGGATCGGGTAGAAGGAACGAAAGAGAAAGAGAGAAAGACGCGAGTAGGAGAAGGTGAGGGTGGTCGTAGCAGCAACCGCTGCAGCTGCTCTCTCTTGTAATGTCCGGCGGCCTGCTGCTGCTGCTGCTGAAGGTGGTGGTTCGGAGGGACTACCCCGGCTGCCCATAAAACGTATACACCCAGGACGTAGGATGCCGGTCAAAGTGGACGTGGTGCCGCCGCCACCGGCCAATTCCAAGCAGCCGGGCGTCACCAAATCGTTACTTTATAACGGCTCGCGCTTCCAAGGTTCCCAGAAGTCCAAGGGTAATAGCTATGATGTTGAGGTCGTGCTACAGGTGAGCGAACGTGGCCTTTTAGCTTAACAATTTGCCGCCTAATTTTACACAATCATTCCCTTGTCAATTGCATGCTAAATTATTTTTACCTGCGTTCTGTTTATTAACATTAATTTTTCATTATAAGAGTATTGAGTATCTGTCCGTACAATGACTGACTATCATCACATTTTGACATTTATTTGATATATTGTATATTTTAATGTCTCAAAAATTGTATTAACTAATGCTTCATAGATAGGAATATGCTAATTGAGATGCTAATTGAAATTAATTTTTGTATGCTTTGTTATTTATTAACTTTAAGTTTGCTTTAAAATATTAGCATATATCTTTAATTTATTTTAATTTATTTATTATTTATTTATTTAAATATATGACTCAATATGATTACTATTGAATTTTGCATTCCTTTAGCATGTAGATGAAGAGAATAGTTACCTATGTGGTTATTTGAAAATTAAAGGATTAACCGAGGAATTTCCAACATTGACAACATTTTTTGATGGTGAAATTATTTCTAAAAAATATCCATTTCTTACTCGCAAATGGGATGCAGATGAAGATGTTGATAAGAAACACTGGGTTTGTATATATTAATGTTATTGCGAAAAGTCCAATTTGTACAATTATGTATTAATTTATTCTCCCATTATTTAGAGTAAATTTGAGTCTTTTTGTCAATATGTCAAGACTTTTAATTCTGATACTTTTGATTACGAAGCACTGAAAGGAACTGATTATGTTTTTATGAGATGGAAAGAACACTTTTTAGTGCCTGATCATACGATCAAAGATATCAATGGTGCCTCTTTTGCAGGCTTCTATTATATTTGTTTTCAAAAATCAGCTGCTTCCATCGAAGGTTATTACTATCATCGTAGTTCCGAATGGTAAAAATTATATACAATAGAATAGTTTCATGAACAGTACAGAATAAAATTCATATTAATAGAATTTTAACAATTTAAGACTTAAAAATTTATAATTGTTAAGTTATTTACTCATGAAATAATACCAAATAATATAAAATGCAATAATTAATTATTGACTTTAAAAACTCTTAGTTTGTAATAATTTTTATTAATTAAATATAAATATTTTTGAAGATTAAGTCTTTTTAAATTTAGAAATGGTAAACTAATCGCTAATTATTTATGATACAGTAAAGAGCTAAATTTGTATAGATAAGTAAGTGTAATTAGATAATTGTATTACAATTTTATATAATATTTTTTACATTCATCTTTTACTGCTATACTACAATTACAAAGATTATGATTCGTGAATTATAAGTACATTTACATATATTGTTTATTTTCATTAATTTGTTTTTGTGAATATAAAACATTAGTAATGACTACATAAGAATCAAAATCAGGCTTTCCATTAAAATACCATTTGATATTAGTGCTCTACAATTAAAATTTGTGAGTAATTTATATAAAAATATTTCAAATTCAAGAGGTAATATTTAAAAATTATATTTAAAACATTACTGATAGATTCAGATAATCTTAAATATAATTAAGATATACAATACAAAAGAATAGTTTGCAATTTAAGTTTATGTCAAATAGAACAAATTGATAAAAATTAATTGTCGAAAAGTATTTAATATTTTTGTTATGCAAAAATTAAACGTTTACGAAACATTCTATTTCAATTTTTAATTAGTTTTGTTTATAAAATATTTATCATATAAATTACAATAAATATTATCTGTATGACTATAACGAACGATAAAAAAATTAATAAATGGGAGTGTAAAAAAGATATTTTCATTAAAAAATATTTATTAATACTGATTTCAAGGGATTTAATAAGTAATATTTTATATTCTACATTTTCTTAATTCTTTTGTAAAATAAATTAATTTAAAATTTATATAATAAAATATATATAAATATCTTTTTTACTTTCCAAATTCTAATGTCAATGATATTAAAACTATAATAATTATAATAATTGTTAAATGAACACTAAATCCAGTATATACAAAAAAATTTAATTGGAATAATCCTTTTTTTTATATATGTGCATTAAGATAAATTTTTAATGTATTTCTATGAAATGTGTTTCTAAGATGTTTTATTTAATTTATTCGTTTTAATTGCACGCTTTATATAAAAAATAGTTTTATATTATATGCTAATTAAATATAATACATATTAAAGTATTTGCTATAAGCTTTCTGCGTTCATTCCGAATCTGAACTGTTAATATTTAAAAATCTATTTTAATTAGTTTGAAAACATCGATTTTTTTTTTTTTCAGGTATCAATCTTTGAATCTGAGGCATGTACCAGAACATAGTATACAAATTTATGAATTTAGGTGAAAAAGGGAATGCACGCCGTTATCACTGTTCCGTGATCCATTCCTTAACTATTAGAATTTCGTGCGCGCTGAACTTTCGTGATGGTTCTTATAACAATTTTGCGTTATTTTATTATAATGTGCGTATCCGTTCTTGATGAGTGGACTAGTGCCTCGAACATTGGTAAATAATAGATAAGCTAATGTGCTTAATAGTCTGCATCCAGATTTTAGCAGCATTAGGAGTTCAGTTACAATCATTTTTTGCTTGTTCGCATGTGATATCCGGTATACTATTTTACAAATCATTGCAAAATTTCTAACATAATATGTTACTTGGACATATCAGAAAAGTGTATAACTTCAATACAATTAAGTATGCAAAATTGATCGTGATAATTATATACTTTCCGGAATTGCGATTAAGAAGTGAAAAAGAAAATATAAGATTACCTCGTACTAGTCAAGCAACAATTAAAAATCTATTGATTTAAGGTCTTGATTTTAACAGATAAAAACTTAAATATTTAAAAATTATATTTTTATTTAAATATTTTAAACATTTTTATCGAACGATTAAAATAAATGTTTTAAAATTAAGTGAAAATACTTAGATGTTACGTCTCCTAATCTGTTAAAATCGAGTAAGAGGATAACTCATGACTGTCGCATAAAACTGAAAGAAAATTTGTTTTTAATGTAAATGTTCACATTTAGGGTTTCAGATAAGCTATCCATTATATTATAAATTCTATACCAATTTGTTACTCATTGCTTCCAAATATCTTTAACGTGTAACATTTAAACATTGATCGAAGATTCATTGCTATCCATGTTTTAAATTATATACATCAAAAGAAACAAAAATAACCATTTAATAAATAAAAGGAAATCATATGTATAGATAATAATGTATAATTCAATGTACGGAAGAAAGAAAATGAATGAACGAACGCGTTTAAAAGTTAGCTTTGACGACGATGTAGACAGCGGCAATATGTTTTATTTGAAAAAAATTCTGTTCGACCGTCCCTGTATTTGTATTGTCCGTAGTTTCACTATCGTCTGTATATTGAGAATGGCAGTAGTAAAAGCAACGATTTCGATAAAATACGTTCGCGCGTATAGATTTATAATTTATTAATTGTAAAAAGTATGTAATTGGGCTGTGTGTTATAACGAGAATTTATCGAATAATAATGCGGCCTGTCACTTCGTCTTTTTTAAATTTATATTCCTTTCGCGACAAGACATTTGTGACACCATGCAGAAAGAGTTCATCGCTGCTTTTTTATAGTAAACTTTTGTTTTGTTTTTTGTTTTTTTGTTTATTTTTTATTTTTTATTTTTTTTTTATTTTTTTTTTTTAATTACTTTTATTGCATGTCTCACTTTTTTATATATATTATATTGATAAATATACGTACATGCATGGATATGTGTATATATATATACTTAGGTATGTATACATATGAGTGAACGAGCCGAGTGTATGCGTGAGTGCGTGTATGGGTTTGTGTTGAAATGCTATAGAATACGTATGCCAACGAAAGTACTTTTGTAAATCTTTCACTTTATTTTTGCATAAGCTTGAATGAATTGAATGCATGTATTTGATATTTTGACAATCCTACGTTGTACATATAATAAAGAAAATTCGCATTAATATATGCAAATGAAAATAATAATGAGAAGAAAGGATGATGAATTCAATTATAATTGAACTGTGTGTAATGATGCTCACTCAAAATATGTTACTTGCATTGTATACCAACATTGTGAACAACTTTTGCCAATGTTTAAACACAAAGTGTAAACATTTTATTAATGACAACGACGATGCTCATTTTCGTGATTTTATTTAATCAAGTTTTTTCATTTCTCATTATTTATTATTGAGAATAGTGCATGGAAAGGTGAAGGAATTTCAATGAATAATGATATATTCGTTGCGATTTGGAAATAAAAACAAATTGTACGTGTAATAAAGACTAGTGTTGTATTATGAAACAAAAACGTAGCTTTATATTATTTAAACGAACAAATAGAGAAAGACAAAAATGATAACTTCAGTTGTAGGTTTGTTACGTGGTTTCTCTTCGCCTGAAGTTACGAATTACCTGGACTTCTGACGAATCATCCAAAAAAGCTGAGCGCACAGACTTTCTCAACTGTCTCTTCCGAGACTTATTTTTCAAATTGTTTGAAAGGCGTTTGCGCTTAATCTTTGTATTACTAGAACTGACCGATTTCTGCTTATCGATGGATAATGAAGTCTATATAAATAGAAATCGAATATGTATATATATTAAAATCATTTATAATCAAAGTTGAGACTTAAATTATACTCTTACTTTAGCAGTGTTTTACTTTACTAATTATTAATCATTGTTTTTCCTTGATTATGTTAATTGTTTCAATTTTCATTAAAATATGTAAAGCTCAATCTTTTTGAATTTAAAATTTTCTAACGCTAACATTCACTCGAGCTATTTATTTTTGCCAATTTACATTGAGATCAAGTTATTTTTTTATTATTAATTTACTTTCTTCCCTAGACCACTCATGGGCGTATTATTTTCAATTTGCAAGTTACAAGTAGAAAAGAGCGAAACTCCAAATATTAATTACCTCTCCCAATATTATGTCCGATTTCGTGCAGATCTTGTATAAATAAAGAAAATCCTCGTAGAAGCAATTTTTACTAAGAGTAGAGTTGAAGTGAAGGAATTGGGAATCAAATTCAATTTTAGCCTTTATAAGGTCGGTGAAAGACTGTTGGATGAATCCAATATCGTCTAAAGAAGCACTGCCTGCTTCATCGATTATACTTATCGACGGCACGACTTTAGATGCTTTAGTTGAGTTACCTCGGAGACTTACTGCCGATAGTTGCGATGAGCGTTTTGTAGTTGCCGATTTCGGGTTATTACCGAACTTCACATTTTCAATATTTTCAGAGGACGTGCCGTTGTTGCAGAACATCAGTTTCTCTAATTTAAATGTTGCAATATTTTAGACAATTGTATTTATATTTTTATATGCCTTTTTCGACATTAACAGCAATCATGTTAAGTTAATAATGTATACATTCTATCTTAAAATTTAGGCGTGATTAAGGAAAAATATTTTTACGATTTTCATAAATATTTCGCGTGTAGCTCTTTGCATATTAAATAAGTAATTTAGTCTACATTAATTTTTTCAACGTAAACATTAGTCATCCGAGAACAGCTATTTTATGTGATTTTTTTTTACCTTCATTTCTTTTTAAGAAAGTTCAAATTTTATGTGTATAATGTTATATCTGCTGGCGGCAAAATTTCTTGCGTTTCTTTACTACGATATAATTACACCATTGGTGAGATTTTGAAAAATATTCTTATTCTTACCGTTAAATTTATTCAAATGTTGATAAAATATTGAACTAGATTTCATGATATTTTGAAAAATTTCGTCCAAATCTTTATTGATAAAATAAATTCTTGCGAAAAGGGATCTTTGCCAAAATTTGACTGGCTTTGTAGGTACTTTTGGCGACGATTTAAATTTTTCCAATGTCATCCATTGCATTTGTGAAACTTCGGTTCTTCGATCGATTGAAAAATCCTCCAATCGTTGTCTAACGTTATTGATCAACCTCATTATTTCTGCCAATTTTTTTGACAACGATAATTGCTTGGAATTTGATGTTTTTGCAATTTGAACCACATCGTTCATTGTCTCATTTACTTCCTTCCTTATAACCGTCTCTACAGGCAACGACGATTCATGCGTTGTTAAATCCATTTTAATTTTTTCATTTATGTAAATTTTCTTTCGATAAAAATTTAAAACTTGTATCAAAAAAAAAAAATCTGTTAAGAACGATTACTGATATTGATTAGTTTTACTCTCAAAATAAAAGACTAATCAATTTAAAAAAATGAACAAATTCTTTATACTGTGTTTAATCTACACATTCACATCAAACTGACAATAAAGTCAATTGCAATAAATATATGTAAAGGATCGAATGAAAAATTTTCTAAATCTTTTAATGTAATAGAGCTTTGAACTTTATTAATACAGATTAACAAATTAGTATAATTATTTTTCGCTAAAGGCGATGAATAAAATATACAAATGCAAACAATATACATACACGTGCGCGCGCACACGCACGCACACGCACTCACGCACATATACACACATACGCACACGCAAGTGGACCTTCACAAATTTATTTGAATTATCACCAATATAATAATTACAAAATTACATCCTTATAATATAAATATAAGTATTTGCTACTGTATAGGCACAAATTGTATTATTGTATGTACATGTAACTGTCCCTACTTTTAAACTTTTCCACACTGCATCATGTAACAAACCATTTTCATTTTAATTATTTATTAATATAAATATTATTTTCAACAAACACCAACAAAAATCTGTCCATATAATTGAAGATTTACTTATCGCAGCCCTATCCATTGTTTTAAAAACGAGATAATATTCATACTGACAGTTATAAACATAAACAATTTCTTTTCTTTGTTCATTTCATTTTTTAGTGCACTATTATTCGCAATATGCACTAATCATCTACATTACAAAAGTCTGTTTCAGAAAATACTGACATTAATTTGTAATATATTTAATACATTTACATGCGTGTGTTTTCTGTTTTTTTTTTTACTTTTATTTATACTTTTAATAGAAATAATAATAATCACGAAATTGTACACTTGGTGAGCGTGTAATCACGCATGCATATTGTCGACGGTTTATTAATACAAAGAGACTAATCATGTCCTTGTAGTTTAACTAATAACAGGTACTGTTGTTATTGTCACCCTCTCATTTGACCTTCTGGTTCCATCTTGCAACAGTCTTGCATGGTAAGTATATAAGGCACTACGCTGGCTACGCTTACTCTGCCAATAAGACCTGCAAAAAAAAGATCTTCTAATACTCGAGGATTTATTGAACGAAGTGGTGCTAGTCGTAAAAGCAGTCTCGGTAGCCTTTCTGAGCCCACTCTCTGCTGTAGTTCAGTCCAAGCTGTTTCTTGTAATACTTGAACACGTTTACGCCAAAGTCCAGCAAGAACATTATCTGAAAGGGTATTTATATTTTATTTGATCTACAAATGTTTTCATTGTATATTGAGAAGAACAAATCAATAATATACTACTCAATTCCTACAAATTAGTAGATTCTTATATATATATATATATATATATATATACAAAATTTAATCACTGAAGCAGTGATAAAATTTTATACTTTTCAATGAAATATGTAAATGCAGTGAGAAATAATTTTTATTTACCTGCGCTAAAAAGTGTTAAAGCTTTAAGATAAGCGTACTCCACAGAATCCACCTGCAATCTATGAAGTGAGCTGACACAATCTTGCAAGCGACAAATATGCTCTGTCACAGACTTAATTTTGTTTGCGGTCATTTTCTCCTGTGCAATACTGGCTTGAAGATGATTTATAATCCATGTGAGAATACTAGGAAGGGAACTGTGCTAATCCAAGAGTAAATAATTGACCCCAGGAACTGCGCACTAGTGATGTCTGTATTTCTGAGCTGTAGGAAATATTGTAGTTAAAAATTTATTGATTATGGTATTAATTTCAAATTTTTAAAAGAAACTAACGGAAGGGTTTGAAAAGCTGGTATGCCTCTAGCCCAGTGCACCGATAAGAATAATAATCTTGCAGCACTTTCACAGATGTAATGTATTGATAAATATGCAGGAGCTGGACTAGGAGCCCTTAACTCAAAATGCATGTGTCTTTCAAACAATAATTGGCCACAATTCCATTCTTCATCAGGTTCACCATCAGTATTTCCATTAATATTCTACAAAGTATTATTTATTGAAGACAATATAAAGTAATACTGAATGAAATTTTATAATGATATATATATATATATATAAATTAATTAAAAAGTAATTTTTTATTCAGATAATAATAAATATATCTGTTTAAATTTAATTAATCTATAAAATAAACTGTATTATATCAGAACATTAACAGCTTTTAATAAATGATAATTTCAAAATAAATTAAATTTTCATTAAATTTTCATTAAATTTATTTTATGTTTAAATGTTGAAAATTAATTGAATTCTTATTATTTCGCAGAAAACTTATTTTCTATAAATTAGAAATATAAAAACACTTAAATTAGACTTAAACATAAATTGCATTCACAGATAACTAAATTACTTACATCTCCAGCCATAAGTTTAGCCATATTATCCAAGGCATGAGAAATAAGAAGACGTTCTCGTGCTAATGTTAAAGCATCGCTGAGATCGCTATCACTACTTTGATGATCCTCCATACTGGGACTCTCAGGCTGATGATGCTGGTGTTGTTCCCAAGCACTGGGTACTGTTGTCTCAATAATAGTAGCAGCTTGTGGTTCAGGTTTAATGCGTGTTCCACGATTTCCACCTTTTCCACCAGTACCAGCCTCATTGTTACCCAAAACAGGTTTTCTTTCATGTTGAACAGCTGTAACAACGATTGCGAATCGACATTCATGTGCTTATTTATAAAAAAAATTATTATCATTTAATTGTAAATATTTTAGTGTTAATTATTAATACTCAATTAAGTAACTTACAATCACTCCGCATGCCCATTGCTAAGCACTTCTGAAGCCTACAGTATTGACAGCGGTTTCTATGATGTTTTGTAACTTCACAGCTCTTACTCCCTCTACACTGGTAACCAAGTTGCTTACGAATACTTCGTTTGAAAAAACCCTTACAACCTTCACAACTAATAGCACCATAATGCCTTCCACTTGCTCTGTCACCACACACAACACAAAGTTCTAAAGATAGACCCAAGCCTAAACAAGATGTTCGTCCATCTCTGGATATTTTCATCTGGTATAAAAGTAAATAATAAATATAAATTCAAATTTCTCAATGTTAAATACTTGAATATATAATATTAAAATATAAAATATCAATTTACTTCCATGTCAACACCAGTATTGCCTCTCATATGTTCAATTCCAGTGTGAAGATGATGGTGGATCATTCCAGCAGCAGCAGCTGCAGCCGCTGCTGTATAATGTTCAACACCACCTAATTCTCTTTTCAATTTGTGATCTGACATATCTTGTATATTTTCCATGTTACTATTTTGTAAATCTAATCCAATATGATGCCTCCTTAGAGATCGATAATCTCTTACTCCAATATTATGTAGATCTGTTTTATTTTCATTTAATTTTTCTTCGCTGCATGTTATTAATTTATTGTTAAGAATAGGTTTGGACTCCCTCTGCGTAGTAAAAATATGGATCATAATTTAATACGCGCCCGCGAGTATAATAATATTTATTTACATTTTTTAAATAAATGAGCTTAATGAAGGAAAAACGAAGTAATTAATATTACAAAGATTTTCTCATGTAATAATGATGAATGATGAAAAAATTATAGAACGTTAAAGAGAAATAAAATGTATTTTAAAAGTGCAAGTGAAAATATAAAGTCGAAAAAGAAAATTATTTTAATATTATGTCAGGAGTGATGTGTGACCGAATTTATTTTTATCGATATGAAAAAAGAATGTTGGGTTACGTAAAGAGATTATTTTTTTTAGCGAGATAATATCTACAGAGTCTAATGGTAAATGACGTGGGGGAGTAGAATAATCAGATCGGAAAAGTAATGGTATTGTCAGTAGAATCACCTCGGTATCAGCAGCGTCCGTCTCGGGTTCAGCATCTTCGTCCTCTTCCTCTTCCTCGTCATTTTCTTCCTCCTCCTCGGGCTCCTCCTCCTCTTCGTCGTCAGTGTTGTCGTCGTGGGTCACGAGCTGCGGTTGCTGCTGTTGTAACAGTAATAGTTGCTGCTGTTGTTGTTGTTGTTGTTGTTGTTGCTGCTGCTGCTGATGCCGCCGATTATTTTCCCTAGAAGCGGGTACGTTACGATTGTGCGTAGCTGCCGTTGGACGGAAATTCACTTCCACTTGCTTCTCGGACTGCTCGACATTTTCGTACTCGGCATCTCTGTCCATTTCTCTCCCTCTAAAAATAAAAAAGTCCAATCACCTCTCGTTTTATAAAGGAAGCTAAAAATACAAGGGAACTGTAAATGATGCGGCACGAGTGTAATAAGAGCCGCTTTCTTTACCAGCGACACTCCAAGAGTGCGAGGACAGAGTGAAAAAATACAGAGAAGGAAAGAAAAGAGGAGCGCAGTTGCAGCGGCAGCAGTAGCAGCAACAGCAGCACCTGTAACACCTGTGTCCTGTACACGTAGTCCGTTCGTCGAACTTTACTGTGCGCTCTAACCTCAATACGGTGGGCTTCGACCGCTCGCTCCCGGCTTGCAACCAACTAATTGAGTCGCCACAGCAGCATTGCACTAGTACTCACAGGTGTACAGACTAAGGTCGTATCTACACTGTAACACAGCATTGCGATCGAGTGTTCATCCAAACGATACATGTCCGTGAACGAGCCAGCAGACAGACAGAAAGAGAGAGAGAGAGAGAGAGAGAGAGAGAGAGAGAGAGAGAGAGAGTGTATGAGTGGAGGGAGGAGATGTCGTTTGATTAGACTGAGGCAAAACATCATCACGAGTCATTATTATGATAATTATTATCCAGTTGCAGCTAATACGCGTGCCCCTTAATGTATTTATAGCTAGACTCTTTGCGAGCGGTCAACCGTAATTACGTATAGACATTATTGGCTCGATACTCTCTTTAAGATAAACTTGTTATTTTGCTTTCTTTTTGTTAATTAAGGACTTCTCCACACCCCGCAATTCATTTGCAATAATAAGTACGGCTCGGTTGCCGTTGCAGAAAACCGTCTATAAGGTAAGGTGGGAGGGGGAAAATTTTATTCAATTGATGAGAATCATTAAGCCGTTATAGGGGATTGATTCGGCAGTCGCTAAGAGCGAATTCCTAGAGATGAAGATGAAGATTTAGATGTGAATACGGATATGGATATGAAGAGAAACGAGCAGGAGAATTCTGCGAATGCAATAAGCGCAAAGTTAAGTGAAAATCAACATCGATTTGCCGGAATAGTGTAACGGGAAAGGAAAGGAGAAAAGGACGAAGGAAAATGAAGCACGGAAAAGCTAAATATCCTTCAAGGAAGTGAAAAACTGCGAAGCGTGAACTTGACCGAGCGTGCGAGAAAGACACAATGAAATAATGAGGAAATAAGAGGTAACGATGAAAGAGGCAGAAGAGGAGAGCAGATCGGTCTCGTAAAAATGTGCATTGCTGAGGAGCTGGGCCGTGACGACTAGAGAGCGATCGCTATCGAATCGCTGGTCGTTAAAGCCAATGCCAGCATTGGTTGCCCGCCACGGGGATGATGCCCGAGAAATGCGCGGGGATGGCCATACTCATGCTGAAATTTATTAGAGGGTGGGGGATATGACGGTGATGGAGGGGGAGGCGCGCCGGTGGCACTTGGCAGGTAGCCAGCGGAAGAGTAGGGCGGAAGCGACTCTGCTACTTGTTCTCCTGCGCTCCTGTACCGCCGCACTGCTACTCCACCCAGGTGCATTCTTCGCTGGCTCTCCATAGAAAGAGAGGCTGACCTTTTGGAATTTTAAAGGCTGCGGCCGCCTTTCTCTCTCCTTCTCTCGATCTTTCCCTGCTCCCCTCATGTTGCTTCTGCCTGATTTTTAATTTATAAGCGCTACTCAATTGTTTCCTTTGATGCTTTTTACATGAATTCTTTCTGATTTATCGCACTTAACAAGACTAGTTATTCATGCCGCTGCTCGTCTTTCCTTGATTTCTGCGGACCCTTTTTATTGCTTTTATAATTTTTGTATTCGTCTTTTCCCGTTCTCTACAACTTCTTACTCTCGTTTCTGAAAATAAAATGACTAGCCACAGCTCTGTTGCAAATATATAATAAAAGGCCCTCCCTTCTAACTTCCCGAGCAGCTATTTTTTAATTACGGTAAAATCATCATAGTCTTTACACTTTCAACGAGATTTTTACATAAATTACAATCAAATTAATATTGTCTGATTTTTGCGATAGAAAATTGCAATCTTTTAATTTTGATGCAATTTTGGAAAGGCTAACAGGCGGAAGCCGTACAACATTAAAAATATTATAATCAACATCTTGAGAGGAGCCAAAGAGATATGCAAGAAATACGAAAGGTTCTCTAAAAAGGCTTTTTTCTAATTTATCAATTGTTCTGCCTGAATTTTAAGAGCGCACCTGCTGTTACTGCCACCGCTACTGCTGCTTCCACCTCCGCCTTCGGCTCCGCCGTCTCCGTTGGATCGTCGCACGATAAGGTTCGAATTTTTCACGTTGGACATTTCGAGGACGAGGACGATCTCACGCGCGCTCAGGTTTCACGTACATCCACGACATAAAGCTGACGTACGACGCTCAGGACTTGTTGGGGTTATTGACAGAGCACAGCAAACTTACAAGACTACTGCGAGAAATTGGCATATTAGTATTGCACCGACGGATACCAAAAATAATAATTTATAGCTGGGATTAGGTTAGAATTTATTTAAAAAATTGATAATAATAATAACAATTACAGTAGTAATGACTATAGTAATAATAAGCGTGATTCGGTAAACAAAAAACAATGAGAGATTTTACGTCGTACGCATAAGTGCAAATAATAGGTTATTTAGATATAAGTAATAAATAAGAATACCTAGGATGTGGCAAGTGGCGTGGACGCAGCTAGATGACGGTCGCCTTCATTGTACGTGCGTGTAAGGCAGGTGCATTAAGGTCACTTAGGTGCTACACGCACCTATATACTCGAATGCGCCCACGTAGGTGCGAAGGCCAAAAGCCAAAATTGTAACTACAGGCGTTTGTTCAATATTAGCACCAGCATCGGTTCCAGAAGCAGCTCCGGCAGTGACGATGGTAGCAACGACGTTATGGGAAAACGGATGGCGCGCTGTTGCGTAAAGCGTACACTGCCAAGATAAGCGTGAGAGAGGATGGAAGACGGTGAGTGGTCGCGTTACGCGCACACGCGTACGGATGTGCGAGCGCGTCGGGGCGCGAGTCGCGACACTCGCGGCAGCGACGGCGACGAAGAGCAGCGAAGACGAGGAGGACGAGGACAGCGGCTGAAAGCGCCGAGCGCAAGGCGAAGGTGCCGCCAACAAGAGACGAAGGGCGGAGGGATCTGAAAAGCTCGGAGAGGGGGCCAGAGAGAAAGAAAGAAAGAGAGAGAGAGAGAGAGAGAGAGAGAGAGAGAGAGAGAGAGAGAGAGAGGCTGACGACACACTAGCTAAACGGGGCGTGCACGGTGCACCTAGAGTCAAGGTGTATGAACGCAAGCCTTCGGCTTCGGACTTGTCTAATCGCCTTTTCGAGATTAAACTCTTCTTTGCTGGAAAATTCGAGTCGTCAGTTCCCCTCACTTCCTCCCGCGAAGCCTCTTTCTGCCAGACTCTTCCTCACTCCTTCTGTCGTTGCCTTCTCTCATTGACTTTCAAACATTTTTCAACGGAAATCTCGATCTGTGTCTTTAATACAGCTACTCGTGTGGGCGCCTCTTGAGCCCCTCTGTCCTTTATCACTACCCAAGGTCTTCCGGCATGCAAGTGTTTGGTTTAAAGGGGATGGACGTGAGCGTCTGAATCTCTAAGATCGAAAACGTTTAATTTTTTTACTTTAAATATGTGACTCTCCATGTTCCAATATTTCCTTGTTTAATTTCTATCGTTCTTATTTAATTTGCAATTTCGTAAAATACATTGTAATGTTTATAGAGAGATGTATCTGTTATCAATAAACAAACAGCTGTGACGACTTAATTAGTTACACACATACACACAAATTATTGGATTTCAGATTGAATATTCAAAATAAACATAAAATTATTTTTATAATCTAATTATATTGCAAAATACTTGACAAAGTATCATTTAATATAACGTTGTTGTTATTTTATAAAAATATATTATTTTCACGAGATAAACGTAGCTTTAATATATTTACAATCTTTATAAATACTTTTATCAATGCCTTATCAAAAATAACTTGAATAATTGTCTATAGAAAGCAAAATTATCATGTCGTATTAACTTAAGTTATTTTTCGAACTTCAATTCATTCGTATACATTATGCAATAAGGTTTTTAATATTAATATGCATTTTAAAAAACCATAGGAAATATGAATTATATTTGGATTATATTATGGAACAATAAAAATTCATTGCTGGAAAATGTTTCGTGGAATAGAAAATGAATTCTTCGGTAACAATGTCAGGTCAATTTGTAATCTATTGTTATGTTTATTAAAATTATTTCTTGTAGTTTGTGTGCTTAAAATACAATTTTATAGATTTGATTTTTACAATTACAAATAGAAAAGAATAGAGTTATAAATAATGAACAATCATTAAATTCTCATTTTAATTAAGGTGAGGATGCCTACGAAGTACTTAATATATTATGATAATTTTATAACAATAGGCTAAACTACATCTTTACATTATATTAATTTTAGTTAAATTATACGGTACATGTATTATAATGTAAATTAAATTATGTACTTTCGCTTAAATTAAATTAAGTTTATAATTTAAAAAAGTTTTCTGTTTAAAATATGCAAAAATAAATTCATTATTTCATTGTTTATATATTATATTAATATTATATTTAAAACCGTTTATTCAAAACGACAATTATATATTTACAAATATGATTATTATTCAAGTTCAAATATTTTGTTATATCAAATTATTTTATCATATTTTATATTACTAATAAGTAATATTTCAATATGCTATTAGACCTTAAATTTCACATACAAAAAGTATACAAAAAATGTGACAAAATTTGTCGATAGATATTAATTTAAGGGCAATATGGAATATAAAAATTAATTTTAAGAAAACAATACGAATTACACATAAAATAGTGTACTATAGATTTGTATATAAATATCAGTAAGTACAAAATATAAAAGGCCAAATTACCATTTAAATGCATTAGTTAAATTGTTTTTAATTAAAATAATAATGATAATTTACATCCGAATTAAAAACAAATTACAGTTATTTATGCTTTTATAGTAAAATGAAAATTTAGATTGATTGAAATTTTGTTGATTAGAATTGCTCTCGGATTATATAATAACAACTTAATTATTTTTTTATTAAAGAAAAGGTAAAAGTTTTGTGTAGTAATATATAAATTTAATTGTATGATATTAGATGTAATTTTGTCATTAGAAGATTTTTCTTAACAACATTTTTGCTCAAAATAATATTCAAATTTGCCTTAATGCGAATATCAGGTAAATTTAAATTGGAAATATTATACAATCTCTAATGTTTTTAATATATACTTATTTGTCTATATATTTATCGACTATATATAATGAATATTTTATATTTACTTAGAATATAAAAATTGTATTCAATTGTTTGAACATAATTTATAATCTTGCAATTTTAAACTTTATAACGATTGCATATTACAAAATTAAAAATATTTTAAACCAATTTTTTCAATTATAGAATTTATTGAATTTTATTAATATATTTAGTAACGTATTACTATATAGTAATAAAATATTAATAAATTATGATTGATAAATTTCTTATATATAAAATTAAATTTGAGATTTGCATGGTTAAATATAGTTAAATTTTAGTTAAAATAATGCTTCCATTATTTAACACTAAATTAAATAAACTATTTCAAAATATTAATTTATAAATGTAATATGTAATTTAGTGATAATTTTACTTCAGAAGTAAAAATTTATGGGAAAGTGATACATTGATTTATTATCAATTATTTTTTTAGACTTTCAAATTGTGAATTCATTTTTCTGTTAAAATATGCCTTGGCATATGAAAAAAATTGAAATATTAATTATATTTGTAATAAAATATAATTAATCTGATGGTTTATCTGATAATTTTTGGTTTATCCGTTTTGATGTTTAGATAAGAATTAATATAATAATTTTAACTCTCTTATGTATTTAGAAAATAAAAATTTGTTCACTATAAAATATGTACATACTTTGAGTATAATACGATTTCAATTTTCTTAAGCAATTTATTAATTAAATTCGATTAAAAAATTAGTAACTTTGATCAATAACTTATGAAATCCGTATTTATCTATCAGTTAATACATAAATTGTATTAATGTTTTATACAATTTAATACAATATTAATTTTATACTTTTCTATATTTCAATCAGATTTAATGAACGGATTATAAAAACATTGAATATAAATGATCTTAATAATAATTGCACAACTTAAAGAATTTAAAGGTCAATTGTTATTTTTTTTTTTATTAAATTCACTGATTAAGTTATCATAAAAGATTAATTTCAAAGTCTGATGCTTGTTATAAGTACTTTTAAAAGAAATTAAAAATTGGAGATATTAAATTGTTTAAAAAAAAATTAAATTTTAGTTGTTAAAGTGTGTTTAATTTGTCGTTAATGTAATATGTTAATAAAATGTAATATATATTTTATTGTGATAGATTTTTGTATTCAAAAGTGCAGTTATTGTATAATAAAAGACTCTTTAAAAAATGAATACTTAAAAATATTTTAATTAATAATTTTGTGTGCTTATAACATATTGTTATTACAAGGCACAATAAAATTTTACAAACTCTTAAAATTTACTCGCAGTAATTATTTATTTAAATTTGATATAAGAAATTCTTTCAAATTAATTTTTCAAATGCTTAGAGTACGGTAACGCTAAATAATAATAATCAATCGTAGTATAATAATTTTTATCATCTACGTGTGATAATCTTTCAAAATCTTGATAAACTCTGAAATTTGCTATAAGAATTTAATTTTAGTATGTATCGGAGGAGCGTTTAAATTGTTTTATACATTGTATTATTTTAAAAGTAGTCTAAAACGAAAGAGGAAATTAATTTTTGTTATACCGTTATGTTGGAAATATTTTATAATATTGTATTGAGATTCAAAGCAATGTATTTTATATAGATAAAATGCGTATTGTAAATTGAACTTTCTTTTTATTTAATACATTTAAGCACATTGTTTAATGAATTAAAATAATAACCAATATCTACAAATGAATATACAAATACATAAATCGCAATGGGCATCGTATACGATTCTGCATAATAATGTTGAATTTTAACAAAATATAACGAAGTGCGGGTAAAATGTATACATTTGAGGTAGATTTGATCTTAGCTATGAGAAGAAAAAGAAAAAGATGTTTTTATAAAATTCCGATAAGAATATGATCTTGCGTGGGGATGAAGTAACAGATATTTTACCTGTTTTTGATCCCGCCGTTGACGTATCGTGTCAGGCTTACCCTCAATGTTTCGTGACTGATTTTAGTTTTGCAATTGCCACAAACCCCAAGAGTTCGTAACATTTAAGTACGGATCTTACCTTCGTCATTTGATTCTTTTCTTCACTTTAGAGCTAAGCGTATATACTATCTACATACAAACACGTGATTATTCTCCCTACCACAGATGCACGTGTGTTAGTTTATACATTAAATAGACACCCGCCTCATCTTATTTGAGCTTTACAAATTATTTATTTTGTCGAAGGCATTGATAATTCGTTCGTCTCGTTCTATGGCTTATTATCTCAGTTTATAAAGTTTTAATCTCAAATTGTTCTCCGATTGTTTTGCAACGCAACGGCGTCGAGCATCATTTTGCAAATCGTAAATTTATTATTTTCAATGGAAAATTATCATGCACTGACATTTATCTCATCAACTAAATATTGAGATTATTCAAAAATATATACACGATGACCGCAATATTGTTGATCTAGAAAAAACAAGAGCAATGCATACTTTTCAGTCAATAATCCTTCCTATAAACTGTTTTCTTACCTCAATATTTTTTCTTATTAATGTTTGTTTCTTACGACAAGCCGCAAGATATTTTTAAGATTTATAAAAATACATTCTACTGGAAATTTGTTAAAATTTAAAGATAGCGATTTTTTCATAATTTCCTGAATGATAATTTATTAATATTAACTTTGGATATTAAGGTCATGGAATCAATAATAGTAAGTACAAATATGATACATATAATTGAACAGTTAAAATGTTATGTTTAAAATGATAATAATTTTTGAGAAAATTTTTTCATATATCGTATTCTTTACAATTCATCAGTTTTAATATTACTAAAATTTCCAGAAAAATTTAACTAATTTCCAATGCAATTACATATATATATATATATATATATATATATATATATATAAAGTTGCAAAAAAGCAAATCAATTAATTTTAATTAAATTAAATTTAATAATATAGATGATACATTAGCTCAAACAAATTTAATTCTAAGATACGACATGTAAGTAAAAGTAATATTTAACAGCAGTCAAGTATTTTATATACATATCCAGTCAACGCCGTATATTGTATAGATAATAATACACTATGAAATACATCTTATTATTATTAAACATGTACAAATTAAGTATTAAATATGAAGCATTTAAAAAAGACTCTAATTTATTTATTTTTTAAAATAATGTAATTATTACATGTACATTAATAATTAAAATTATGAACACAGCCAATGCTCTATCTGTCATTCATTGCATTATAGGTATCTTTTTTTCCCTTTTTTTTTTCCAATAATTTAAAGATTTAAATTCTGTTGCAAAGGAGAGAGCAAGACTAAACAAAGGCACAGGGGTATCTTTTGAAAAAAATTCAATGTTATGAGAACAACATTGCATGTGCCTCTTGTTTAAGCATAAATTGTAGGTACAAAATAAACTAATTGAGCAAAGACAGAAAAAGAGACACATGAATTTGAGGGCTAATAGCAGAATAACTCTGAAATAGCTTTATGAAATGGTATATTCCTTTAAAGTAAAACATGATGGATTTCTATATAAGTATACTATTTTTCAGTAATCGCAAATGTGAGATCAACACATGGTGTTACTTTTACAGCTTTTATGCCTGTAAAAGATAAAGAATTCATTGCCTAGTTTATTATTATCAAGCAATAATGATATAATATTATAAAGCATCGATATGCTAATTGTTCTCTTCTCTGTTATCACTGACCAAAAACTTCTTGACTTGCAAATACAATGTACAAAAATCCGTCCTCGTCTTTTTCTCGTTGATAAAGTTGTGCCATGGTGGTACTACCGCTTGCCATACTCCTTTGGTTGACTAATAAGAAGAATGCTTGGGTCGGATGGAGTTGTAGTCGTCTCCTGTACAGAAAAAGGAACGAAAAAACATGTAATTATCGGATAAGGGAATTTAGTTAAAAATTTATTATCAAAATGAGATTATTTACCTGATAATTTTAACTAATTCAGCAACCGATAAGTGATCTGGCACTAAAAACTTTGTCTTATCAAGCAGGGGTAGTTGCTTTTCAGCATAATATCTTTCTACTATAATTGGCACCTTGTTTGGATGTTTTGCTTTGATGAATTTTACATCAGCGACTCTTTGATCTCAAGAAGAAAAAAAAAAGTAAGTGAAAAGAGCGAAATTTAAAGTGCGAAGCTGATAACGTTAACTGTAATTTTGTCGAATGACAAGTAAGTGCTCAGTTTTCCTTACCGAACGATCTCTTTTCCTTGAAGTATTTCGGCGTCGGATTCATGGTTGTGCCTTCGGTTCAATGCTGCGGTTGCACAAAAATGGATCCGAGCCCCGTCTTTAAAGAAATTTCGAGTTCGGACTCGTGACTTATTTGATTTTTCAATTTTCTATCTCACAGCCACATTACACTTTCTCAACGTTTCCAAATTTCGTTCGCATAAATATGTCGCGCTCTCGCTTTATGTGCTAAACTCGATTTTACGTTTCGGTTGAGCCACAGCAACTATGCACTTTGCTAGCGTTAGACACTGATTGTTAAACAATTGCAAGTAAATTAATAGGAGAAAAATAAAATCACTTCATAGTTCTCGCTTCTCGGTTGGCCCACTCATCGAACACTCTTTGATATAACGCAATATTGTTTGTGAGTTCACCGATGACAAATGGCAATAAAAGATACACACCGATACGCGTGACAATGCATCGCTTGTGTATGCCTAATGTCTATACACTAGGCTGTAGAAAGTTAGTGCGTCTGCGCAGATTCGTGCGCAACATTACTGCGTTCCTATTTCTAACATTATAATAGACAAGGCATTTGTATGCCTTGTATGCATATGCAATAGACATGGCAAATGTGCATTTGAACGCACATTACCGTTTACATGCATTTTGTATATTTTTATTAGATGCTATCGCGCCTTTTATCATTATAATTATCACTATCATTATCATTATCATTATTATTATTATTATTATTATTATTATTATTATTATTATTATTTTAGTTTTCTAAAGCAGTTTACGCATGATTTTCAATATGATTGTAAATAGCAGAACTGAAACGTATAAATGGTGAAGTTGGGTAAAACTGTATTAAAGTTTTCATAACTAATACTTGGATTTGCGTGCTTGGTAATTCCTTATCGCTGATATCCCTGTTAATCTGTCTGGTTTATTGCTTTTTGACGAGAATCTAGGTTGAAAGAAGCAGAATGGGACACAATTCACTCTTGGGGAAGCTACGGAGCTAAAATAAATTATTGGAAATAACAGGGGCGTTTTTATGGTACATTTATTGCGCACCTGAGAATGAGAAAAATCGGTGATATTTGCCATGGAGAGTCTCTCGAGAGTTAGAGCAGAAGGTGTAAAGAAGTGAGAAGTCGGTCGACCTACTTAGCAAATATTGAGAGACGATGTCGGCTAGAATCAATGAGCAACCGCTATAAATAAGAGAGAAAGTCGGGTAGTTGGGAGCGAAACTCAGGTTCCTCGGGACTCTCGTTTCGTCGTGTTAAGAAGATAATCCAGCGAACGCCCAGAAGAGGGGCAGCGGCCGAGAATCGATAGCTGCGTTACGAACCAATGTTTACCTCTGCTTTGGTGAAACGCGATGCGGAATTGGGCCGAAAGCGCCTAGGGTTACTTTAGTCGTCAAGCATCAGAGCGACCAATGGGTGCTGCCCTCTAGGCCGCGGTGACAGTCGCGTGCGCCCCTATGGCTCGCGATCCTCCGTTGTCTCTACGTTCTGCTGGCACGTACACGGACACGGGCACGGGCACGATGGCAAACGTAGCCACACACGAGATTGGCAAATAGGGAGAGAAAGAGAGAGAGAGAGAGAGAGAGAGAGAGAGAGAGTGAGTGAGAAAGTGATCGACCGAGAACCGTTTCGCTGAGGGGCTAGAGACTGATCCCCACCCTTCGCTAGTTCCCGCCCGTTTCCCTCTCGCCCCTCGCTGAATAGTCGTCAGCCCCCGTAAGCGGCCGCGGCGTTTCGCGTTGTGCCAAGTGCGCTGTGCGTGTCGTTCGGAAAGAAGGAAATAGGTTTTCAAGCTTATGTGCGAAAGATACATAGTTGTTCAAGTTGCAGTCGTTGTCGGTTCTAAGGTGTTGAGTCGTATAAAAGTTTTCATTTTTTATGAAGAATCGGGGTGCTTCTCCGAGATAGAATGGCCTATCATTACCGTTGCGTCAATACGATTGCGAGGGCACCTAAACTTGAGTGACCGTGGCTCAAGTGCGCGGTCTCGTTGTGTTTGGTCGCACGGCTCCATGACAGTCGCGAGCCCCTGCTAGTAGCGCGGAGCCGAGTGTTAAAGAGGAAGCGTCAAGACAAAGAGAACGGGCGTCGAAAGAAGTGCGCCTCTCGAGGTAAGCCAGGTAAGGCGAGGCCTGTCACGGGCGGATGACCGAGCCGCGCCGCGATTTCTCGCCCCAGGACGTTGCAGGCTGCAGACCGGTGAAAGCGGTGGCAGTAGTGGCGGTGGCGGTGGCGGTGGCGGTGGCGGTGGCGGTGACGGTGACAGTGACGGCGGCGGTGACGGTGGCAGTGGCGGTGTCGGTGGCGGTGGTGGTGGCAGTGGCAACGACGACGGCATCGATAGTAGCAGCAGCAGCAGCAGCAGCAGCTACGGATACGTCTACGGCTACGGCTACGGCTACGGCTACGGCTACTCGTGGCCGTAACGAGAGTGCGATCAACGGGGTGCGCGGATTCGTTCCGCGTTCTTAAGCTGCGTACGCGAAAGAACGAGAGGGAGCGTGAGTGTAACCAGAAGAACAGGGCAGAAGGCAAGTGTAAAAGACAGAGAGAGAGAGAGAGAGAGAGAGAGAGAGAGAGAGAGAGAAAGAGAGAAAGAGAGAAAGAGAGAAAGAGAGAGAGAAGCGAGTCGACAGAGAGCGAGAAACAGAAACTAGGAGCGTGCGACTGAGAATCGCTATCCATGGCCGAATGAGGCTAGCTCCCCGGGAGGCGATGTATCGGACGGCCTTCGAAGTAGCAGTGACCGCCCTCTACTAGAGCGCCGGAAGATGCCCTTGTCACGGCCGCCCCCGCTCCCGGGGGGTATCGCTTCGCTCGACTTTTTGCAGACCTATTTAAATGGAGACGGTGAGCACTTGCCGCCCCTGAAGACCGGCTGCGCGGCTCTGAAACAGGCGGAGCCATTGGGAGGCCGTATCGCTACTCTTGAGGAGCCGCGTCATCTGCCAGGACTTGGTTCAACGGCTTCAACCGCTTCGACGGCTTCCGTTGTCTCGGTAGCTTCGGTCGCTTCCCTGGCCTCGAGTTCAAATAGCCAGTCGAGCTCGCCCCTGGTGGCGGCCAAAGGCGGCGCTCCGGAACAAGCACGTCAGCCCCAGGCGGGTGGTAACGCGGTCCAGCCCGCGAGCCAGCCAGCGACCCAGCCTTTAGTCAAGCCCAAGATAATTACCGTCACGCCGAGCATCGCGATGAAGTTCTATATGGACAAACTCACGCCCTACGAGCACTTCGAGATCTTCAACTATCCACAGATTTATTTCATCGGAGCGAACGCTAAGAAGCGGCCGGGAATCATCGGAATGAAAAATAATAGCGATTACGATAACGATAAGGGCTCTTACATTCATGTAATCTACGACCACGTGGCCTACAGATACGAGGTGATCAAGGTCATTGGGAAGGGGAGTTTTGGCCAGGTGGTCAAGGCCTATGACCACAAGAACCACGAGCATGTCGCTCTGAAAATGGTTCGGAACGAGGACCGCTTCCACCGACAGGCCCTGGAGGAGGTTCGAATTTTGACGAAACTGCGGGAACAGGACAAGGACAATACCATGAACGTTATCCACATGTTCGATTCATTCAGCTTCCGCAGCCACATGTGCATCACGTTCGAACTTCTGAGTATGAACCTCTACGAGCTCATTAAGAAAAATAAGTTCCAGGGCTTTAGCCTACAATTGGTGAGGAAATTTTCGCACTCACTACTCCAGTGCTTAGAGGCCCTTCAAAAGAATAAGATCATTCACTGCGATATGAAGCCGGAAAACGTACTGCTGAAGCAGCAGGGTCGCAGCGGCATCAAGGTTCTTTATTACCGTTTAATATATCAATCTATTGTATGCTTAACACTCGCTTTCGCTCTACAATTTTTGTATCCTTTGCCCTTCGTTCTACCTTTTCTTGACGTTTTTCTTCTTTCTCTTGTATTATATCCGTATCTTTTCTCTTCTCTGCTTTCCTCTGCTCCCCTCTGTTATTCTCTGTTCTCTTCTGCTCTCCTCTGCTCTCCTCTATTCTTATCTGTTCTCCTTTGCTCTCCTCTCCTCTCCTCTCTGTTTAACGTCTTAAAACTTTTCTTCTCATCTTTTGTACCTGTTCAAATTTCTTCTAGCTCTTCAGGTTATGTTCCTACTTTTCATTGGAACTTGAAATGCCGCCTCATCCTTTTATTTCCTTGTATTTCCTCATCTTTTTTTCTACCTTTCAATAATTCATAAATCAATCCTTGCATTCAATCTTATAAGAACTTTCAAGATTATTGTACTATAACTATTTCATAATGTATGAGTAAATGTCAAAATGCATCTATAACGTATTTTAATTAAAGTAAAATACTTAAAGACTTAAATTCAGAAAAAATTGCAGAGAATAACGCGAAATGAAATGCTTGGAAGGTTTCGGTAAAACTTTGATGGGCCTTTGAGAGCGTAAATATGCTGGTTGGTCGTAGTCACGGCATGGTCTCTCCAAGTAGGACAACAGCCGTCAGATAAGAAGGTGGTCGACGAAGAAAGTGGGGTGGGTAGGTAGCTTTAATTCGGTAGTAGCCCTGCGTAGGCAGAAGCAAATAAATTGTACACGTTCAATCTCTACAAGTTGTATCGCGATGCTTTTTATCAACTTTGAGACATTTTTTCGCTTTAAAGATAAAGAAGTTGCGAAAGTTTAATGGCAAATCGATTAGTCGCATACGTTTTATTTTCCGCGGTGTTGCTATCTTTCGCGAGTGCCAATGACATCGTCGACACCGTCGTTGGGAAATTTCCGGTTCGATATTGGCCTGCGTATCTTGACTGCTAATGGACATCTCGATTTTAGTTATTTTGTGTATCCCTTGCTTTAGGAAATTCTGCATAAGATTGAATCATAAGAAAATATCGCTCCATAATTTTTCATCCAACTTTCCTTAAAATAATTTCATTAGCCTTATGAGATCCACCAGAGTCAGTACGTGTTTTTCCAATTTTGTCGAAACTATCAAAAGCCTAAGATTTACGACTTATTCGAGTCGGACCTGTGTTGGTATAGTGTTAGTTCAATTATATACATTCATGTATATTGTTAGTTAGAGCCATTATTAAAGTTATTCTTAATGTATAAACATTTTTATGTTCTATCAATATTATTTCTTTTTAATTCAATTTAAAATTATAAATATAAGAAAAATTATGAAATTTAGTGACGTTCGGATTTCATTACAGATTTTGTAGTATTTCACTTTGCATTTATGCCTACTTAATCTTTATTCAATTATCTATATTTTTTCATAATTTTTTAATGGTTAAGTGCACTGTCAGGGCATGGAATTAATTTTTTTAATAGTATCGTACATTTATAATGTGCACAAGAATCATCCTCAGATTACATATTTACATGCTCAATCTTGTAGTTGAATAATGAAAGTAAACAAATATTTTCTTTTGTAATTTGAGACATGTACGTATAATAAGAATATTATTCTTAAGAAAGCGTGTACTTTTTTAATTCAATTTTAAAGCATTTTTAATATTTAGAATTATTTTTTAAAATGTATATAATCTATTCTAAATATACATTACATATGGAATTAAAATAAAAATTTAAAGTAAATGCTAAATCTGTTTTAAACAAAAAATATAAAATCGCACAAGAGGGATATTAAATTAGTATCTTTTATATTAAATAAATAACTTTGCTTTATCTATCGTAATGAAACTTATGTACCACTTTTATGTTCTTGCTATAAATTATATTTTTAATTATTGTTATTTGTAAATTATACAATATTATTATTGTCAATAAAAGATAATTAAATAAAAGATATTAAAAATAATTATTACATTATTTATACACATTTGTAAACATTGATTAATGACATTTTAATAAGATAAATTATAAAAAATTTTTGGTACAATCAGTATAATTTTGAGTATCTATTTGTTCTTTATTTTTATTTATAATTTAGAGGAAACTTTTCACTATGTTACACATATTGTTTTTATTTGTATTATATATATAATTTCCATTAAAAAGTTTCAACATGAAAATTTTTCAAAATATAAGTGTGTGGAAATATATTATGTAAATTATAAAGAAATTAATTTACTTGGTACATCTGCATTATAATGTTTATAAAAATATATCATTTCGCAGAAACTTTCGTATGTAATAGAGTCTTAACAATATTTTAAAAATATTTAATAATTATCCTTAAAATCTATTTTTGATCATCTTTAATTTAGTATACAAATGATGTAGGAAAAATATAATTGAATGTTTTAGTATTTATTTATTAATTAAATTACACCGTTTACATAAATTAATGTCTATTTATTATTTGTCAGGCTGACAACTGAAGTTTTTTTTTAATCAAGACATAATTTTAGTAATTAATTTCGATAAAACCATTTGATTTTCCCTAATGCCAGATTAATCATAAATATAAAAAATTTAAATGAAAATTATAAAAATAAAAAATATTATTTTAAAATATAAGAAATAGATATAAATATAATTTTAATAGAAATAAATAATCTTAAATGGTCACTTTATGAGAGAAAAAATCATTTAATCAATCCGTATCAAATATTATATAAAAGAAAATTACAACAGAATACAAAATGATTATCAAAAATTAAACTGCCAATAAAAGTATTTATTCCAATGAGTTTAATTTTATTATACATAATTGTGAACGTGTATTGAAGTGTATTTGAAATTATTGTTTTATGACTTTTTAATGTATATCAAAATTTTATATTGTAATTTTTAATATTTCATTTATTACTTTATTTTTAAATGTTTCTACACCTCTTTTATTTTGTGAAATGTTCAGATATTTTATAAATATATAATAAACGATCGAACTACCTATTTCAAAATATTTTAACGTAAATTTTTTAAATAATATACTTAACATTATTTTTAGTTAACAATTAGTCCAAAAATTGAAAACATAATCCCCTCCCCCCAACTATAAAATTTTTCTTATTAAAAAATTTAGACTATTTAAAACAAAAATTTTTAGGTTTCGACAGTCAATAGATTTATTATTTATATTTATTATTTAATATTTATTATTTATTTAAAACCATAAATAATATCAATTCTTGAATTTTTCACAATTATAAGCATAATGTATTGGAATATTTTTTGTAGTTATACTATTTCTTTTAGTATATATTTGTTTATTTAGTAATATTTAACAGTGTAAAAAGATAAGAACCTTAGCTTTTACATTTATTAGCAATACAAATACATTTATTGATTAATATAATCCGCTCGAAATATTGTTTAATTTTCAAATAGTTTTGATCTATATTTTCCTTTATGTCTATCATAATATTGAAAACTTAATTTATTTGTTATAACACCGGAAAAAACACATAAGCGAAAGAATGAGGAAAGATTTATGAAAAGGAAATAAAAAAATTTAGGAGAATAGACAACGAAGGATTAAATTATGACAATGATTATAATGTTTGTTATATACCTCTAGTTCTTAATTTGTAAACTGTTACGGTTAAACGTAATATACAAATATATTCATTTGCTACGCAATATATATTCATGATTAAATTTATTTATAAAAATAGACTTTAGAGGGTTTTACAATTGTTTAAATTGAGAGATTCACAATTTTGTTAATAGTTCTTATATATGTAATATTGATAACCGACTTTTATTATACTTCGCTTCCATATAATTGGTCTGAAATTGTTTTTCTTTATGTGTTCGAACTATTTTATCATTACCTATTGTAAATTTATAATTTTATAATATTTAATAATTATAAATTTAATAATATTTAAATTTATATTTATATAAAATTTTATTGTATCTTATCATTTTCTACATTAAATATTATTTTTATATGTATTCTGGAAAATTAAACAATATTTATAGTTTCAAAAGAGATTTAACATTTTTGCAATAATTAACTGAAATAATATCTTATCAATATATTATATAAAATAATATTCATAAATCTATACATAAAATATTCAAAATTATTAGATTTACTTTCATTTTTTATTGGGATTGTTTTTTTTTTTACTAATATTGACATCTACGTTACTACTCCTCAACAAATGTAATTTGTCTGTAATTTTATGTTTAAAATAATTATTTTGAACATACAATACGATAAAGTAAAAAATTAATATTTATTATAAAAAAAAAAAAATTATTGACTCACTTTGAATAAACAATTTTCCTTTTAGTTTTAATACTTTTATTTTTATTCGAATGTAAAAAGGGAAATAAGTACAATAATTTGCTTAGCTATTCACTGGGTTTCAATGTTTCTTTATGTATATGCTACGTATGCAAACAATTTTATTATTATTATGCAAAATATTGTTTATTTCGAAGTAGACCGATTAAGGCCATAAATACCGTACTTTGTACTTCAATATTAATTTATTATATGATTACTAATAATGAATTAATATTTCATTAAAAAACAAATAATAAATAAAAATAAAAAAAAAAAATTAAAAAATTGCGATCTTAGAATTTTAGAATTTTATTATTGTTAATGATGCATATATAATATACATCTCATTTTAAGGAATATAAGAGATATAATATCGTAAAATCAAACTTTTTTTAACGACCATAGTTATAATTATATCTTGAAAACTCTTTAAAAATTCAAAAAGAAGAGTTTTATAAAAACAGAAATTAAGAGCAAGTAAATGAACATTTTTTACAATAATATAATATAATAATACAATAAAAAATTTATTAAATAAAAATCGTAATACTGCCAAATGGAATGGACAAACAAATATATATATTTGTTAATGGTACTATTAATGTCTCTGTGATGTACGTCTATTGATTATTTTATAAAATGCTGAAAGCCATTCATTGTAGAATAGGTACAATCGATATTTCAATACTTTGAATATTATATTTATCTAAAAAAACAATGCATGAAATAGTTTCAAAATTTGAATTAAACAATGGAATATAAAAATGAATATTATTAAATATTATAGCAAATTTAGTTTAAAAAAGGTAAAAATTGATGGGACTATCTTTTATTCTAAGTACACATCAACTTACAACATACTTAACCATACTTTGCAGAATTCTTTAGTAACGGGTGTACTTATTTAAATATTGTTATATAGTTATAAAATCAGATGAAAATAGGTTTGTTTGTTGTTCAATGCGGTAGTGTCTGTAGTTTAAAAATTATAATGTTCAAAATTATTTAAAAGCTTTTTGATGAAATAGTTCAAGAAAATAGCACTGGTATCGTTTACAGATGCAATTTTACATCTTTGAATGAAAAATAGAATTTAAATATCGTCTTTATAAGTGATTGATTCAAACAAATCGATTATACTAAGACAGAATGATAACGCTTCTTTTTGTCTTCTCACTGCTCTCTCTCTCTCTCTCATTCTCCCCCCCCCCCTCTCTCTATCTGTTATTCTCTCTGTTGCGATATCGCGATCTATCGACTTCGGTAGCGCTATTAATAGTGTGAAACCGAGCATTAAATTTCTATGTTCGTGTATCGTTTATAACGCAATGCAAATTTATATTAAATACCTTCTTCTTGACGTAATGTTAGAGAGCAATTAATGAAAAATCCTAGAGAGAGAGAGAGAGAGAGAGAGAGAGAGAGAGAGAGAGAGAGAGCAGATTTCTTGGTTTTGGAAGTTTTTTTTAAAAAGTATTAATATAATAAGTACAAGTTTCAATGAAATCTCATTATTAATATTAAATTATGCTATATACAAAATGTAAATTTGAATGAAGTTTTAATAAATATTTGTAATTGTAGTATTACGTTATAATATTTTTAATGAAGTTTTAAAAAATCTTTATAATTGTAATATTATATTATAATATTCTTAATAAAGTTTTAAAAAATATATAAAAATATAATATGTGATATGTTACTATGAAATTTTGTACGAAGGTTTTGATTTCTAAATTTTTAATAATAATTTTAAAAACATATTAAACTTAGTTCACAATTTATGCTCAAGTAATGCATCTTTTTTCATTTGATTAATTTTTATTTATATAATTTTTGGTGGTAGTAGTAAGGTTGTGTAAGCACAACATTTTTATGTGAAACGTATTTAAAATTGTAGTTTCTACATTTATTTATATCCTCAACACATTCTTTAGAATGTCTAAATAAGGGTTAGAAGTATTGGAAATATAAACAATTTTCCGAAGTTAAAACACATTTCTTCATATGTAGTGTACATTAAAATTTAAAATTTATAGCAGATAACCATACTTTTATTTAATTTTATTCAAAGGTTTGAAACACATTTAAAAGCCGGTTAAATAATATTTTTAAAAATGTGATACTTTCTAACAAGTTTTCAGAGTACTTTTTAATTAATGTAGTCAATACATTTACCTGTAGTAACATTTGCTTAATTTAACCATAACCGATTTACAGGCGTTTATTTAAAATAAAAAATTGTTTTCTTCACAAAATACGTGGAACTCCAACTGCATTACAAAATTTATTTCAACTGAGTGAGTGGTTTTTTTTGCTTTGGCAGCGTGCATGGGCTCAAAGAGGGTCATGGCGTGTGTCGATGAGTCAGAGACAGAAAACGGAAGTGAGAGGGGGGGGTGTCTGAGCGAATAAGCAATAATAACGCATAATACGTTGTCATTAACAGGTGATCGACTTTGGCTCGAGTTGTTACGCGAACCAGCGAGTCTATACGTATATTCAAAGCCGCTTCTATCGTGCTCCAGAAGTTATCCTTGGCGCAGGTTATGGGATGCCTATCGATATGTGGTCCCTCGGCTGCATTCTTGTGGAGCTTTTTACGGGTATTCCCTTGCTTCCTGGGGAAGATGAGCCTGACCAAATGGCTTGTATAATCGAACTCCTGGGTATGCCTCCTGTACGGCTCTTGGAGAAGGCCAAGCGTTCTCGGCAATTTATCAGTACTCAGGGCTATCCACGTTACAGTGGAATTACAGTTAAATCTGACGGCAGCATCGACTTTAACGGAGGCCTTTCCAAGCGAGGCAAGTTTCGAGGTCCACCCGGCTCTAAAGATATCAAGCGCGCACTCAAGGGTTGCGATGATCCGCTCTTTATCGACTTCATTGAGCGTTGCCTCGAATGGGACCCAGAACTCAGGATGACACCCACGCGAGCTCTCAAGCATTCCTGGTTGAAACGTAGATTACCGAGGCCACCAGATGCTAATCACGAAGGAAAAAGTTTATCGGCTAAAAGTCAGCAACAGCCACAGCAACCAGGAATACTTGATTTACCCAGTCAAGAGAGCCTCCAACAGAGTTTACCACCTCCAACTTCACTCCAGGTATACTTGCTGCTTACATCGCCAGAAATTCGTGGTGTAAAATGAGCGATAACTTTGCATAAATATTTGCAATTTTCATTCAATTCTCTATTGTTATTTATATATTTAATTAAACACACGCACGCACGCACACACGCATATAATGTATAAATGTACTTTAAATTTTACATTTTTCAATAGTATGTTCAATAATTTGCTCCTATATATTGCATGCAAATATCACAAATATTTTCGTTATGAATTCAGGAAAAATTTTACTGCTTAACTATTCTCAAGTTTTAAAATATTACAAGTATTATCATTTGAGTTTATAAATTTGATTATATTTCGGAGTTAAATATAATAAATAAAAATATTTATATACGCTTTTTACATATAATATTTAACGAATGTTTATTCTTAGATGTCGACCTAATTATTTTTATCTCTTTAATTTTTTTTTACTATAACGTCATTTATCTTTTGTTGAAATATTATAAAATACTAATTTTTAGTATACAAAACATACATGAAATAACATTTTTACACGATCAGAATTAAAATGAAATATAATTATTACTCATTTATCGTAATTAGGAATAAGGATTCGTATAAGTACATTTATAAACAAAAAATGTATATACTCTGTGTTAGGGTAGCGGAACAATGAGTCTGCGTGCGTGCCCGTCTGACAATAGTCAAGCTTCTAGTAAAGCAACAAGTTGTTGCAATCTCCAACATCAGCAGCTGCTGCAACAGCAGCAGCAACAAGAAGAGGAACGACAAAAGAGGGATGGTAGACAGCAAAGTGATAGACTGATCAGGCTGTTCGTGAACATGGAAACCAGTAACAATATCAATAACACTAGCAATGGTGCATTGAACAAAAATCGCCGTAAGCTATATACGGAGCTTTCAAGATTAAACTTTTCCGATACATGTGAACCTTCATTACCGGCTTATCCATATAAGGCTAATTCGCAGTGCCACTCGAAAGCTCTGTGGGACAGTTTAAGGTAAGCCTAACAGAAGCTTGGGTTCGGATTTTTTTATTCTTCTTTAGATTAGTACCTTCCCTACTTTTCTCCGTACATGCATTAGGTATAGCTATTTGTACTAAGATCTCCGGTTATCAAATGCGGGCCAAATAAATATCCAACTCGGTCACTTACGTAATAACCAAATAAATTATAACTTCATTTTGAGGCTTTTGTCGCTCTAATCTCAACCGAAAACCATATAATAATATCATCATTATCATTATTATCACTATCATCATTATTATTATCATTATTATCATTATTATTATCATTATAATAATAATAATAATTATTATTATTATTGTTGTTGGTGTTGTTGGTGTTGTTGTTGTTTATAAAAACAAAATGTAATTTGAGTCAAGATTCAGCAACAGATATCTGCAGGTTCTTTCAGCATTAATTTGCAACTACATTATTCGAAAATTCTTAATCCATTTTCTGCTTTTATCGTGCTGTTATGCATGACCAATTTCATGATAGAAGATGCAATAGCTTAGGTCGTGTCTGGTAAATATGAGACATACCTTTCCTCTGTTTACCAAATTGTTTTATGTAAACTACTACATTGATAAAACTAATAATTGTGATTATCAGCTTAATAGGCGTCAGTAATAGTGGCATTTATCAAACATTTCCATATTGCAAGTAACGCTATTTTATAGCAAACTGTTTATAGCGAACCAAACTGACCGTATGTCAGTAATCGTAGTTTTCACCTAGATAATCATTTTCGAGATTGTAACATGTCAACACATATAATTGATACCTATTTTCAATTAGTATTTTAGGACGGTTATTTTCTTTAGGACAATTGTTTTGTTTACACATTATCTTCTGCACCACATCAGCCTTATATAACATAATTGTCCATTGTCCAAATTGTCCAAAAATTTTAGTCGACATAAAGTACATAAAAAAAAACTTAGTTTTATTTAAGAAATATGAATATGAATGGAATTATGTTGAAATTGGTTATCAATTTATATAAATTAACGTAACGTACATCGTTAATAGTCTGAGCATCGATAATCTCGTAACACTATAATTGTATTTTAAATAACTACTTTAGAAACTTAATACTTAATAATGTTGGAAAATTAAAAAATAATATTAAATTAAATTTGTATTTACAAAGGAATTTTATAAAATTATAATTTGTACTTTTGTACTAATTGTTGAAAAAATTCAACAATAAATATTTTTATTGGGAAAATTTTTGTACTATTATAATTATTATTTTTAATAATTATGAAGTTTTATTAATAGTTGACAAAGAAAATTGTGTATCATAAAAAAGTATACAAGTCCGTTCAATGGTCAAACAAATTTAAGAAACATTTTGAAAACATATTATAATTTAATACTTCTACGAATATATTTTACGAATTTCAAATATAATTTGTTATTCATACAGCACTAAAGTACCACATGATCATTGAATTCTAGTTTTTTTAGTAGCAGATATAATATAATACCAAATGCCAATATTTACATGTATGGATGTATAATCATCAGCATGATAAAACGAGTTTTATAGGAATTTTTTTATATATTATTTCAAGCAAATCTATCAAGATATTCTATTTAAAATTTATATGAAAAAAGAGCTTCTAGAAATTTTGCTTTGGTTACATTTTTTTACTTTTTTTTAACAATTGCATTTTTTACTTTTATACATTTCCTTCAATATATTTGATAAAATATTATGTATTCGATTATTTTTAGTAATGCAATCAATTTGAATGTTTATGGATAATTGTAGAAGGCTGAATTTATGCATCAGACATTTTTTGTGCAAACTATATGTTATTTAATAGTATTATGTCTCGAATTTTTCCATTAGCAGTGTTATTTTATAATTAATATTGTTAACTTTTATGTCTGAAAATATTTAAACATAAATTTTTACCGATTAATTAATTATCCAATTATACAATTTGTATTGCATTAGATTTTTAAATTAATATTTTGCTTTTGACAATTGCTAGTATTTCATTTAATCACTTTTACTTATGCCTGCTTGAATGTATGTTTCGATTAACCTATACTTTTCTAAATACAAAATTTTATATTACATTTAATATCAGTGACTGCACAAGTATTAGGCAGCTTTCAAAAATATTTATATGAAAGTTCCTTATAAAATCTAGTCTTGTTAAATTCATGTGTGGTTATCATGATAATTCGTAAAATCTTTATTGTTGCTAAAATGCCCCCATTTTCTTTTATATCCCGTGGTTATTAGATTATAGTGTACGAGTGAATTTGATTGGACATTATTTTACTTGCTATTTTACGTTTGTATCTAGCATTGTACGTGTACGGCTTCAGAATCGCGTAATGTATTAGATTTCTAATGTATTAGAATCTTTAACTAACACCTTGAATGGTTGATGAGGTTCGAGATAATTTGAAATAACCTAAATTTTGTAGATGAATTTCTTTTAAAGTCGTCGTTTTTAACAATATTCTGTTGTATCGTTAATTTTTTTATTAAAGAATAATGTATCAATTTCTTTAACGTTCCTTAAGATTGATTATTACTCGCGATTTTTTTTTATCATTTTTTAATATTTTCTTATAGTTATTTGAACATTACTCTTATAAATTAAGTGCTTCTACATAATTTGTATAATCTAAATGTGCGATGATTTTAATTTCATAAGTATTGTGATACTTTATCGTTTTCTCGACAAATACTAATAGAATCTTGGAACTACCTGTGATTTGACTGTGGAATGGTGGCACAGACGAATTTTGTTTGTTATATCAATAAATATAGTACCAAAATGTCGATATACAAAATTTTTTATCAGCTAAAAGAAATGAATTTTTACATATTCATGGAAATATGGTTTACTGAGTAACTAATTTCAATCAAAATCAGAATCATATAAGTATTAGTTCTTTTAGATGGACCTTTAATGTTAATGTTATCAAATTTATTGTAGGATGTTTACTTTAATTTATTTTTATTGCTAAGAGGATTTGGCACATACAATTGACCTTAACATATTGCCAAAGATTGCTGTTTTTCTTTTGAATTTCCAAAGTGGATGAGTAAATTATTACTAATTGCTGATGAAGATGAATACAAATTCTTAGTCGAGAATAAGAGTACTATCATTATTATATTGAATATTATCCTTAAACGGTATGTGTTATTAACTTAGATACTGTTATAAAAGAATTATATTTTATATGTATGGTAAAATCTGGCTAGGTACACTTTTTAAAAATTACTATAATCACGTTTACACTAAATTAGATGAACATTTATAATAGGAAGTATCAGACGCAGTTATTTCTGTTGTTCTAAGCATTATTACAAGGTGCAGGTGCGGTAGATATAACATTTATTCTTCGTCATTTAGATTATGAATTTAAGAAATTAGCTTGAAGGTGATCTCAAATGATGAACGGATTCGAGATAATTGATATGTAAATGTAAATTGTTCCATAAGTTTAGTTTATTTTAATACTAATTATAGGGCTTCTAATTTCAGGATTTTATCTTTGTTGTCACAATAGACCACATTTGCGATCATTCAGGCAGAATCGTAAAAAGTGACAGGATTCTGTTTCCATTAAATTGAAGAATATGATCATAATTACAACATAATTAATTGTTCATATGTTACGTATATTTCTTCGAATCATTTAGGTAAAAGTAGACTTCTTCGTGTTCTTAGATTGGATGTTTAATTGAGTGAAAATTAGGGACTTCAGTATCGTTTTTACGACCGCTTCTTTGGACAATTTTATTTCACGAGTTAGTACTTTTCCATGATTTCATTAATGATTAAAAGAGATTTTAGTTTTATTTCACCTTGGGTTAAAAAATGATCGTATGCTATCACCACGAGTATACTTTGTTTTTCACTAGAACAGCTGTGATCTGTCTTTGTTGATTCAATAATGATACTTAATAAGATGGTTACAATGATTATCCGTTTAATTTATTTCAATTTTATTAATGCCATATATTCTGAAATTTGGATATTTTTCTTATAATTAAAAAAAAAAAGCTATATGTTATTTGGAGTCAACCATCTCAATAGTAAATGAGTATAGTTAGCCACTGCATTCATTGTGAGAGAATGATTTTTTGATGATTGGAGATTCTCTAGTCCGTATTTAGAAAAAAATTTTAGGAAATCGTCAAATTGTGTTGCTTTTACATATTTTAAGAAGATATTTTAGATAGGCATGATAGCGAAATATTCTTTCAATTAAATTTGTCATCGTAATTCAGTTAATTAATTGGAGTGGAATATATTATATTAGGTTTATAATTAATTTCGATTATTTGGGGATAAATAGTTAGTAAAGGAATCAAGATTTTATGTGATAACCGGATGATTAGCTATACTTTTAAGTGTCTTGTAAATCGTTGCGTGAAACACTTGAAGTTTCATTTATTTACCGATTGGATGCTAATCTACTGCCATTAGGTTTTGTCAATGTAATGAGATAATTACGAATTTTACGACGCGTAATTTTGCACTTAATGTATATGCGCAACTGTAATACATTAAAAATTGTTAAAATTGTCTACGTACAGATATTTATTGTAAGTGGGCCCAAGTAAAATTAGAAAATATTTGATACAGTTATTTATTTTTACTAACTTAAATTTAATGTATTTTACGAGGAGAAAAGTAGTGAGTGAAAATAAAATATTGATTAAAATTAGTAAGTGCAACTTGATTTGCGAACAAAGTTCTAGATGATTGAAGTGTCAGATGAGCGTTGAGGAGTTGTAATATTAATAGTATAGTGGAATTTAGAAAGAAGCTTTAAAAGTGTTTATGTGACGTCCATATTGTATAAGCATTTGTAAGAAACATTTCTTAAAGCCCAAGTTTATATTAAATGAATGAGGTCCAGTACAATACATCACCGGATGTAAATTCGTATGCGCTGGATCTGCCGATATTGTTGACATTGAATTATGAGGCTGTGATCCAACGTCTTGACATCGCGACACTATGTCGAGATGAATTTCTTTGTATTTGAGGAATTAGAAAAAAAATGTAGCGATAATATAATTGAAAAGCAAACTGTCTAAAGTATTTAAGGTTTTCACGGAATGCATGCGAAATTTATAAATGCAGTATTCGAATTTTCTGCATAGTAAAGCAATCGTAGCTATCCACCGATTTGGATAATTATTTTATTTTAAAT